GTATATCCTTAAAAAATTTCTTTTTATTTAAAAAATAAAATTTTACCTCTCAAAAATAATTCCTTAAAGACAAGAACCATGTCGAATCTTCCACCAAAGTGTGAAAAAGCCACAGTATCATATTGTTGAGGCAGATCATTTAAAATCCATTCTACAAAAGCCTCCAATGGATTGGGAGAGATAACCATTTTATCAACTTTTGTCCCATTGAAAGATCGATGAGAAAAGGTGATAAGACGATTTTCACCACATACTTGGCAATCTTTTTCCTAAAAAATTGTCTTTTCTAAAAAGGATTTAAAAAATTACCTCAGAAATACATGTTGGACATGTAACTTTGGCACATATAAAGTTAGCTTCATGACGTTTACCTTTGTTGTCAGCTGATGGTAAATACTGTGTCGTTTCGAAGTCAAAAGCTATAATTCTATATTTTTTGTTGTCTTTCAGCTCCAAAGGTTTGATAAAACAGCCTCTCTTCGGATCGTGGTAGTCTCCACATGTAGTGCAGTATTTTTCACTACATACATGTCCATTTCGCCCTTTTTTGTTGTTATCATTCACATTCCACACCACTCCACATTTTTCACATTGTTTCGAGATTCGACAAAACCCAGATTGTAAATGATGTTGATAACATCCGTTGTTATAAAATATTTTGGAGCAGAACCGGCAAAGCTTATTGAATGCAGCAACAATTTTGCATGGGAAGCCAGGTCCAACACGCGAGCATTTGATGCATCGAGCTTTACAAGATGCTGTATGTGTAGAAGCTCGGGCATAAACTTTCTCACAGTGTAAACAGTATGGTTGTCCGAAAAGTGCATTGGCCCATTTTACACCATCAAAGTGTTCATTCTTGTAAAAAAGAATAACGGGAGTATCGAAATTATCTGGGCCATATTTGTAGTCTGGTTCATAATGCCCAATTGAACCAAAAATAAAAACTTTAATAATATGTTGTCCTTTGTATTTGTTGTTCCAAAAGTCCACAACTTGAGGAACCCAGTGTTCTGCATTATAAAACTCCAAGTCCATTGGGGCTCCAACATTTTCCATCAAATCAATTGTATCATTTTTAAATTTATTGAACATTCCATGCTCACTGCGTAGATAACGGGAGAACTTTTCCCAATGCCAATTGAATATTCCATGGGCAAGTGTTGCCATTAAAGAATAAAAAAGGCAGAAGGAGTCATCGTTGCAGATCTAAATAAGCTAATTAATTTAATATTATTTTTTAATCCAAGTCCTATTTTTTAATTCCCAATTTTTATTAACAATTTTACTATTAAATAAATTCAAACAATTTTTAAAATTTAAAATCTTATTCTATATTGATACATTATAAACTCGGTAAACCAGCCTTAATCAGTGCTTTTTTGTTAATCTGATGATGAACAGCGGGCACTTTTCTTCCAGCACCTGGAAGATGATGCTCAATTGATAGACTACTCTTATCCACAACAGTAGCTATTACTTCAAATGGCTGCCCCCATAGAGTCACATCCTTCTGTTTGAAACTCTGGGCCACCAATAGAAAACGGTTGAGGATAGACTCAACCGAATTCTCGTTTATATCTCTGAAAAATCAAAATTTTAGTTTATTATTGTAAAATGTCGCTTACCTAACCGGTACCCATATATCATGGTCCAGCAGTGGACTGGTCACCACACATCCTAGTTGTTCTGCCTTCATACCACGTTTTCGGCTTTCTTCCACAGCCTCATCGAGGAAAAATTGAAAAATTCCTGAAAACATTTTAATATGAAAATAAAGATAATAACCAACCACTTAACAACCCCTCAGGGTCGCGAGGCAAATCCTTTATCATAAATTTGCTGCGGCTTTTAATAAATTTAAATTTTCGATTTTCATCTATTGTTGTCTCAAGTCGCTGCACATAGTCCTCCGGTTTTTTAGAAGTACCTTCTCCAATTTGTTGTTGTTGACTTGTTGAAGGATTTGAAGAATTCGACGAATTATTAAGGCCAAGTAAATTGGCAATAGAAAATATTGATTGAAGCCCTATAAGACTTTCAATCGTAAAACGAGTACGTTTTGGTGGAGGTTGATCCTCCATTTCACGTGGTCGTTTATTAGGTTTTTTATCCATTTAAAACTTCAAATAATCAAAATATTAATTAAAAAAAAATAAACAATTTAAATATATTTATTGATTAGCAAATACAAAACAAAATTTCTAAAATGAATCGTTTATATAAAAATCAATATTTATATATTATTTCCGTCTTTAAATTATTTCCAAACGTTCAAAAACATCATATGTTGTTCCTAAATAGAGTCAATTTTAAAAATTTTTCACTCACTCTTTCATCCAGTCTTAATCCTTAATTACCACGGACCCTTCCACCACCCGCTTGACCGTTCATTTCCGTTCTACTACTCATCGCACTTTCCCTTTGAACTCACTACTTTATTTTTAAATTAAATTCCATTCTTTTTATATTTATACAGCTACTCCTGCCACCCTTTTCCTCTCACTTCTATTTTTCCTTCACACCGTATCTTCAAGGTAATTACAGTAATATTTTCCTTGAGCGATTGATTTTCTTTCAATTTATATTTTTCTTTTATACCATATTTTAAGGTAATTACAGTAATATTTTTTAATTTTATATTATGTCTCAAGAAGAAGAGCAAAAGTTTTTTGAAATAGAGGTTGACGGAAAATTTTAAATTAGTTTGAAAATTAATTAAAGGGATTTCATCAATACAAGACGTGTACTCGACACAGCTATCTCACCGCTTTAAATTTATCTCTGAAGAAAGGAGAGAAGCTTGATAAGGGTGCTCGCTGCAGTTTTATTTATCACTATTTCCTTGGTTGGCACTGGTGCGAGGAATGTTTAAAGTTCAATCTTATGAAGAAGCAACGAAAGACATTTATACCTATTACCGATAATTTATTCTTTTATTCTTTTTGGTTATGCACTGATTGTGCACTTTTTGCTACAACACCTTGAATCATTTTATCAATTTATTTACCACTTTTACAACAAATAAATCAGGATTTTGTTTTGTGTTTAACATTTCTAAATATTTTTCAAAAGCTAGACCTTGAGATAAGAAATAAGTTAGCGAAATACAGTGGTGTGCACAAGTTTTAGATATAGGTGATTGGTAGGCTTTAACATTATGTATTACATTGGAAAAATTTTTAAGAAATGAATTAAAAATACAAGTACTTATGGGGAGGGCTAAACTATCAAAGTAGTAAACTTTATTAAAATTAATAAAAATTAATATCCAATGAGATCCTTTCATTCCTTCAGCGTCCAAATTGACGATAAAAATCGATTTTTTCAAATCATTCGTTGGAATCGAATCACACGGGAAGCAGCCTCTGAAAATCTTTCTCGTTTCTGGGTTTGAGTTCAATATCACAGTTATCTGATGACTGTTCATTTTCTTCTATAAAATAATAATGATCATTTTTTCAAAGAAAATTACCTTTAAACTTTTTTCTGGGAAGTACTACTTTTAACCAAAGAAATGAACGTAATTGATAAATAATAAGGCTAATCACAAATAGAATATACAACCCTATCATTCCCCAACAAAAAATATGGCCATATATATTATTTTCTCCGGGACTTTCTTTACAAAGTTGAATAGTAGGAAAATTTGGGAAATTTATAGGGATATTAGTCTCGGTTGTAGTTCTTTTCCCTAAATATTCTGCATATTCAGGGAGATTTTCCACCTTGGAAATATCATCTATACTTAGTGTTTCAACATGAGGAGAAAAAATTCGAACAAGAAAAATTATTATAGATATTTTATTCATTTTAAATATTAGTAAAGCTATGTACAATTTTAATGTGTTTATATAGTAGTGTCACTTGCAATAGTTCTGTTTTTATCCAAAATAATCAGTGAATCTGCTTCACCCATAGCTACAAGCATGATTCCTCCTTCTGGTACTGGCTGGCTAAATTTAATATTCACCGCTGTTGTTCCATTCTTTATTAGATCAAAAAGTCCTCCTTGATCATCACCGCTATTGGTCAAGTTAAAAATGTATATACAATGAGTAGTGCCATACTGTTGATATGTAATTCCATTACTTTCTGATGAATTTGAAAGTCCTATGGCCTCATTCATGTCATTGAATGCTCTAACATATTTTCCATTCATATAATCAAAGTCATAGGGAGCTTGAGGATAGCTACGCCCGTTCGCGATTATTGAAATTTCTCGAACATTAAAGTGTTGAAAGTTGAAAGGACTGCGTCCCAAATGTCCAACATAGTCAGAATTAGAGACAAGTCCAAGTGTTATTCTTCTAGGTATTTGATCATTAAAGAGGTTAGCATTAAATTCATATCTCCCCATGCTAATAAAGAGAGGTTTCATCATTGTTTTCCTTATCGCATAACGTGCTGGTTTAGTATCAAGTTTTCTAGCAATGTCCAAAGCTAATCCATCCATAAGATCCATCTTTTTAATGTACAGTTTACAATTCAAAACTTCAAAATAGTAACGCGTAGGTTGGGCAATACCGAGAACTGGAGGAGAAATTAAAACAAATTTTGCATCATTAGGTAATATTTCAATGTCAATTTCGCATTGATTAATTAAATAAAGAGGTTGATTAAAAATATCTGCATCAAGCTTTGCAATAAATTGTGCAGTATTGCTGTTTGAAAATAATCTTTTCCTAGCATCATATCCAACTCCGCTTTCTAGATTTGTATCTGAGCCAAAGTAATATCCTGCGGCATTAAGATGGGAGCTTTTTGATCCTTGAGAGTACGATAGCTCGTATGACAAATATGTTTTGTAAGCGTACAAAGAATTTGAATTAAAAATTTCGCGCCCATTAATGTTAATTTTCATATTGTTAATAAACGTTTGCCCTATAAGTTGGATAGGTGCAACATTATCTGTTGGTGCAAGATTTACCAAATAGCCATTTTCATTCTCCTTTCTTATTCTAAGTTCCGTAAAAAGATAGCACTTTGACAAGTCAATATAATTTTGACTTGAATGAATTTTAAAATGGTAGGGAGTGTCTGTAAGTGGATTGCTGGGGAGAATTTCAAATACTTTAGAAGAGGTTACTGTAACATTAGTTGGGGGAATTTGAAAGAAGTCGAGTGCACTAGTTATCGAATTTATGCTTTCATTATCAATTTTTTGAAAAGCCATTTTTAATAAAGTCCAAAGGCGTCTGATCTTAAGCGTTTTCTAACTTTTTTCCCAATAATTGTTTGATATGATGGCATAGCTTGTCTTTTTATACCCTTTTTACGACCAGTACCGAATTGTTTAGGTAATCCTCCTTTCTCTAGAACAGTATCGATTCCTTTCTTTCCTTCTTCTCTAAGTGCTGCTTTAAGTGGTTCCCCTTGATTTACTCTCTCTAACACTCGCTGTCCGGTATTTAACGCTTCACCCGCTACAGTACTTCCCGCTTGACGAATTATTGGTAGAAAGAAACGCCACAGTCCCCTCATTACATTACCAATCCCAGCCCCATTTTGTAAATTACCATAGCCTCTTTGAAAAGGTGATGAACCTTTGAAATAATTATATTCATCTGTAATACCACTTCCTTTCATAGGAACAAATTCTTCATATCCAACTGATCTTGTATCAAAAACTACATGAACCATTTTTGAAAATTTTATACAAAATATTAAATGTAAATTACAATTTTAAGGGTATTTATATACACGAAAAAATGAAATTAAAAATTTATAACTTTTTTAAATATTAAGACTATCATTACTGTTCCAAATGCAAAAGGGACGAGTCTTCCTCCATCCATTGTTCTTAATTCAATTTCTATTTCATTAATTTCTTTGGGGAGTACACGAATAAAAATAGGAGAGTCGTATATCTTTTCATGATATTCTCCTGGTGTTGCTCCGGAGACAGACACAACTCTCAATAATGAGCTAAGTGAGTTTCCTACAATCATATTCTCTGTTAAACCCCTGGAGTAAACAGCAAAACTAGAGAACCCTCCTCTCAAATCACTTCCATATTTTGCGATTTCATTATGCATAACCATATTTGAATTTTCAAACCCCAACACATAGCCAAGCTGAGGAGAGAAAGATAAATATTTAATATTTGGATGAGAAAATTCTAATTTAAAACGCTTAAAATCTTTGTGAAAAGACAGAGAAATAGAATCTATAATTTGTTTCTGTACAGCAGTGTCGATCTTGTCTTTTCTTAGATAACTGTATTTCTTCAGAAGACCTTCTATCATTGGTAAATAATTTTCTCTTTGGAAGTCAGTAGGGGGTTTTCCAATTACATGTGTTAGAACCCTCTCCATGTCATCTGTCCATTTTATTTTTTGTTGAACCACTGATTTGTTCTGTTTTAATGGGAGAGCTTCAGGAAGTGAAGGAAGAGTTTCTGAAGGTAGAGGTAATTTAGGAAGAGTTTTTGTTGGAGAAATTATTGGCGGTTGAATAATTTCTTGCGGTTTTGTAGAGGTAGCAGGTTTTGGTGCTAATTTTTGAGGTGTTGATTTTTGTTGAGAGGGCTGTGTAGGCAAAAGCTGAGGTGGAGATTTAGGTTGTTGTGTAGCTAGAAGAGGTTGTGGAGTTGAAGGTTTTTGGGTAGGCGGTGGAGGTTTTTGAGGAGTTGAAGGTTTTTGGGTAGGAGGTGGGCGTAGAGGAGGTTGTGGCGTAGAAGGTTTTTGGGCAGGAGGAGGTGAAGGGGGTTGAGGAGTTGAAGGTTTTTGAGCCGGAAGAGGTGGAGGTAGAGGAGGTTGTGGAGCAGAAGGTTTTTGGGCAGGAGGAGGTGGAGGTTTTTGTGGAGTTGAAGGTTTTTGAGGCGGAAGAGATGGAGGTAGAGGAGGTTGTGGAGCAGGTTTTTGGGCAGGAGGAGGTGGAGTGGGTTGTGGAGTTGAAGGTTTTTGAGCCGGAAAAGGTGGTTTTTGAGGTGTTGGAAGTTTTTGGGTAGGAGGTGGAGGTAGAGGAGGTTGTGGAGTAGAAGGTTTTTGGGCAGGAGGAGGTGGAGTGGGTTGTGGAGTTGGAGGTTTTTGAGCAGGAAGAGGTGGAGGTTTTTGAGGGATTGAAGGTTTTTGGGCAGGAGGAGGTGGAGTGGGTTGTGGAGTTGAAGGTTTCTGGGCAGGATGAGGTTGAATTGAAGGTTTTTGGACAATGGGAGGTTTTTGTGGAATAGGAGGTTGAGGCGTAGACAGATGTGGAGATTGTGGTAGCCTAGGAGGCGATGGAAGTTCTGGAGTTGTAGGTCTTTTATTTTCTTGAGGTGGAGGCGTAGGTTTCTTTGATACAGGTGAAGAAGGATTGGTAGACGAAGTTGGAGGAGGAGGAGAACCAAGTCCTCCTTCAACCCCAGGAGGCGATGGTAAATTAGTTTCCAAACTTCGTTTTGGACGTTGAGTTCTGGGTGGCGAAATTAGAGGTTGCCTATCTGGGTTAATCGTCGGAGGCGATTGTAATTCCAAACTTCGTTTTGGGCGTTGAAGTCTGGGTGGCGAAATTAAAGTTGGGCTATCAACAAAACTTTTATCTATATTAGATTCTACTAGCACTCCACTTTGATGTTGCAAAGTGGATATTAAAAATTTCAGTAAATCCTCCGGTTTATTGTGTGATCCTCTTGGCACCGGGACTCTTATGACCTTAGCCATACCTTTAAAGTCTGTACAGTGAATATCAATCCATTGTTCATCAAGTGTACCAATAGTTGACGGCCATGAATAAGGATAAGAAATGCTATGTAAACCACAAACCCAATCTCCAGAAAAATAAATTGGTTTGGGAAGATGAACACGAAATTTATTAGGCTGATTATCGGGATAATCAGTAGTATTACTTAATAAACAAACATAAAAGCTGTTTGACATTTTATAACAACAAATAAATTAAACAATATGAAAACAAAATGCTTTTTATACTAATTGACTCTCATGTATCCATTCTCTCTCAGGATAGCCAATAAATTTTACAAGTACTTCATAGGTGCCGTCTGCCCGTTTTCTTTTTTGGTAAATCTTCTCAATCCTATACTCTGTACCCGCATCTTTTTTTACTTTTGTAAGTTCTTCGTTGTAATAAGATCCCTTGTACTTATCTCCTTTATCATCTATTAATTTGTAACGAATTGGTCTAGAATTGTCTTTGACTTTGTCAACTTCCGCTATTACATCCCCCCAATTTGGAATGTATCCTTTTTCAAATGTCCCTTTATTTATACTTGTACGTACAAAATCTCCTTTTTTAAATTTGGGGTTTGCCTTTTTAATTTTTGTAGATAATTCATCACCATAAATCCTTTTCCACACCTCTTGAGCATTTTGAAAATTTACGTCAATAGGTCTCATTCCATGAACCCGACTCTTTGCTTTATTTATTCCTTCCAAAATTTTTGGTAAAATCTCAACCCAATTTAGTGTTTTGTAATGAGCAAAATATCGATATAATCGTTGTTTAACATTTCTAATTGCACGCTCCGCAAGCGAAGCTTTAACTATTGAATGGGTAGCTTCAAACTTTTCAATTTCTTCTTTTTCAAAAAATTCTTTTAGTTGTTTATTTTTAAATTCTAATCCTTTATCGGAAAATATTCTATGTGGCTTCATAGGCATTTGTTCAATTAATTGTTTAAATGCTTCTAACATGTCATCAATCTTTTTAGACTTGACAGGTACCACAAAAACTCTTTTTGAAAGGACATCAATTCCCAAAAGTAAATATCTATTTCCTTTATTGTGTCTGGATAATGATTGGAAATCCGCCAAATCAACTTGAACATCTGTCATAAATCCAGCAGCCACGGTTTTACTTCGAGGATAATGTATTCTCTTGGGACGCATAAGAGTATACGTTCGATGTCCCTCTAGAAAATCTTGCACAACCTTTCTAGGTAAATGTTTAAGAATTTTTCTAGCCTCATACCATAATCTATCAACTCCTGAAAAGGCGGCAGGGGAATCTGGATCATTATAGAGATGTTGTAAAAGTTTCATATAATCAGCCATTATTTAATACATATTACCACAAAGAGGGTTTAAATCTATTTATATCCTCCTGTGTTGGTTTTTTCGATGCCCATTTTTTAAAAACTGTTCGATCTTTTACTTTACGTAAACTTATATCTTCCTTTGTAGGTTTTTTCAGTGCCCATTTTTTAGTCTCTTCTTTTCGTCCTCTTAAAATATTTAATTTCTCTGACCAAGCTTTTGATAATTGTTCCGCCTTCCTTTTCGAAGAAGGTCCCTTAATCCTTTTGTAATGAACCATTGTAGCGCCTTCAGGGATTTGATATTTTCTTTTAATACGTTCGCGCTGTCTTGGGGGAGAGGGAGATTGTCCACTTCTTGCAACTCTTTGTCGTCTTCGCCTTTTAGCTTCTTTATCAGCTTGTCGAGATTGAGCCATTGCTGCTTGGTCTAAAGGAACTGTTTGCTCTCGAAACTTTTTTATCGATTCCCATCTTTTCTTTTTCCTTTCCTTTCTTGCAATTAACTTTTTTTCTATCTCTTTATCTTGTTCTAGTTTTGTATTATTCTCTTTTCGTTTCTTAGACACTTCAAAATCTTCAGCTTCCTGCTCCCTTTTTGATGTTTGAAGAGGTATAGGGGTAGAATCTCTCAAAGGAGCATTCTGAGATTCAATAACAGGATCAGTATCTTGTGTAATAATTGAGTTAGAGGGTAAAGAGAGGTTTGCTGTAACTCTTTTCTTTTGCTTCTTTTTTACAATAATTTTTGGCTTTTTAATTTTTTTATGTATTTTTAACCTTTTTTGCTCTCCTCTATTCACCGTTTCTTTCCTTTTTACAAGTTGACTTTGGGTTGATTGTGTCGGAGGCACTTCTTCTCTTAATATATTTCTACTTCTGGATCGAGAAGGTAAAGATGGGTGGTAAGAAGATTCAGAAAGAGGAGGCACAACATTATAAGCATTATTGGGAGGCTCTCTAGGGTAATTAGAAAATGAAATATCATCGCTCATCCATAAATCCTCATCGTTATCTACTGTAGAAGGATGGGTTTGATTAGTACTCATAACTGCTCCTTTTGGTGAAGCGACCATTTCTACCTTAACAGGCCGATTCTGTCTTTCATTACGTAAATGTAAGTAACGCCTTAATTCTTGATTATAATGAATATTTTTTGCACTTGGATGTTCTTTTACTCTTCGAGTTTTATCAAGCGTTCGTTGGACATCGTCGAGATTTGGTTCTCCTGTATCAAAAGATGTAAGACCACGATAAATTTCTTGAGGAACAAGAATAAATTTGTTAGCCATAATTTATTAATTTCTTTACTAAGTTGCAATTAATTTCCGCTTTTTATAGAGCGTGCCAGTTCAATTAGTATAGGGGTAAGAAGAGCAGCAAACGCTCCAACACCATTTCCTTTCTGCAAAGCATGTCTTGCTCCTCTTTCACTTCGAGCTCTACTCACACTTCGGACAAAACATGCATAAGGCATTAAACGCTTTTTTTGACGTGTTGTTAATTGAAATCGGGACTTTACAATATTAAGACATATTTCTACAAGTGTTAAAAGTTGAGAAGTACTTGCAAGTCGTAATAATCGACGAATTTTTCTTTGTGATTTTGTATGACATAAAGTATTTAGAAAGTTTGAATTCTCATTTATTAAATGACTAACCATTTTATATTCCACTCTTTGGAGTAAAGACTATTTTTTCTTCATCATCCTTAAATATCCCTGTCCTCAGTCGTAGACTTGGGTCCGATGATGCGTGCATATCAATTAATAGATACCCGTATGGTTGATTCGTGGCTTGTCGATAGGCGTCAAGGTAATAATCTAGTCTTCCTGGAAAAAGCTGTACACCTATATTTCTTACTGCTAGAGCAGAATTTGGAGAACGCATTAGGACAATGTATTGAGCATTTTGTCTCGCAACCTTGATTTTACGATCGAATAAGTTTTGAGTTACAAAAATAATTGCAAAATTCTGGTGGTGGGATTTTTTTGTAAAGAGTTCAGATAAGTACTTTTCATCAATAGACAGAAGTAAGTCATCAAGAATTAAAAGAAGTGGCTTGGGAAATTTTTTTAATAATTCTTCAGGAGGGACACCGACAAACACATCAACTCCAGATTTTTGAAGTATTGGAACAATACTACTCATTTCTCCAAAACAATATAATATACTCCTTGGTTTGGGATCAATCAAGTCTGACGCTTCCGAAATAAATTTTAATAGGAAAGTACTTTTACCACTTGAACTGGGACCTGATACGATCATACCAAAAGGCAATTTAAAATTTAAATCTTTATTAGAAAATGTTAGTGCTTCCATTTAAAATAATAATTAACTAAAATTTATTAACTTAAATACTATCAGTAAAATTAAAGGGGTGGCTGTAGATTTGTATCATCTGGATTGTTTACTACTTGTTTCTTAACCTCACTTTCTGTTGACATCATACCCATTGTAACAGCCTGCATAGAGTCATAAAACTCTAATAGGACTGTATCATCATTTTCTTTAATTGAAGGTTCTTCTTTGATAGGAGATAATTCTGTAGGGTTCTCTTGTGATGGCATTTCTGGTTGCGGAGATGCAGGAGGCGGTGTTAATAATTCCTGATGTGGTGCGAGAGGAGGAGACATAGGCGGGGGTGTTAATAATTCCTGGTTTGGAAGAGGAAGAGGTTGGGGTGGTGCTGGTGGGAGAGGTAATTGGTCAATTGCTTCACGTTTTAGACAATTTGAATTTTTAACTGAGCAAACATTTTGGGAACCATATGGAATATTCAAAACGCGGCCTTTATTCTTGATCTTAAGTTAAATACATTTTTAGCATTTTATGATTAACAACCTTAAAGAAACAATGCCCGGGCAGGTCGTAAATACAATCAAAAGGAACGAAGCGAGGTGACGATAAACGAGTACAATAGATTGTTATCCCCTCTTTTGTAACAATAAAATCTAATTCAACTTCAGTGCTTTTACACTCACGACAGCGGCCACCATGTTCAAAAGGGATGAATCTAGGAGTTGATATTCTTTCACTAGTCAGGGTAATCCCATTAGCTGTGAGATTGAAATCAACCTCGGGGATAATTTGGGAAGCCAAATATTCCTTGTCGTTCATATTAAGTGCCATTTTATTTAAATTTTTCGGAAATTAATTAGCTTCGTTCAAATTTTTGTGCTTATATACCCTCGTCTCGCTTCGATAGTGTCAAATCGCTAACCTACAATCTCCTTCATCTATTTTTAAAAATGAAGCCAAGCCGACTTTGAAATGAAATGAAACCGGTTTTGAATATATTTTCTACAATAATAAAAAGCCACGCCTCTTTTGCGGTTAGATATATATCATTTTTATTTTCTAACCTCATTCTACTTAATTTACAACAAATTACTTTCATATTTCAATATATTTTTATTTAATTTTTTAAAATTTAAAATATGATACAGAACAGTTCATTGGGTGAGAAAAATATTATTTTATTTTAAAAACATTTAAGTTCCTATTGTAGAGGATGTGGATTGTGAACAAACCAAAGAAATTTCTGTTAAAAAACCTGTCAAATTAGAAAGGAATAAAGAATCATGTGGTCAAAACTCCTTAGGTATTTTAATAAAATAAATGTTTTCCATAAAAAATTTTTTAAGACGCAACGATTACTAATCCTTCTGTGGGTATTAATGATACAAAAATTGTTAAAGAAACTACTGTTTGTGGACCAGTTGTTAAAAAACAACTTTGGAAACTTATACGTGGAAAATTTTTAATTACCTTCTACCTTTGTCAAGGTAAGAACAATTAAAATTATATTCAAAAATTAATTTGTTTTTCAGAATGCCAAAACAATTTATTTTACTCACAAGAGAAATTTGGAGAGAATTCTACAGGTATTACATTAAAGATTGATCTATGTAATAAGTGTGTCGACGCTAACTGTAAAGCTACAGATATTCTTGCACCATATAAAAAGATTGGTCAAAAAAGAAAAGCCGATTAAATTAATTAAAATTGGAAAAATAAATTTTGATTCTTAATTGCTAACTAAAGAACCTATTTAAATTTAAACGAATAAAATTGTTTAATGACAATAAAATTATTTAGATGTATTAGTCTCTAATAATCCGAATAATGCAATCTAAGACTCAATTTTCTTATTAAAGTTCAATTTTTCGAATTCAATTTCAATATATAATAAAAGATTAGAGTCAAGTTGCTACTCTGCGTCTCTAACCTCGATTCCATCACCATTCAATACCTTTCATCTAGCCAAACCCTACCGAATGAGCCACAAGGGTATTAAAAATACTTTAATAGTTTGATTTAAAATGTAATAAATTATACTTATATTGATTGATTATAATTCATATGAAAATTGATATTAGACTCTATACTCTAGATAGACTCTATTGACTCTGACTGGACATTTCAATTTCTCTTCTGAACACACATATCTTTACTATATATTATGTACAAGCTTAGAAGAAAACAATTTGTCTGACTAGAGATTGATAGTTCACCCTACAATAAGAAAAGAGAAGAGAAAGGAGAGAAGGACAAAAAACCAGTCTTTAGAATCAGTCTGAGGAGAAAAGAGGAAAATTGAAAATTTCCAAATTTTTAACCCTAATAGAAATTTCTAGCCTAACTTAAATTTTAATAATCTATACTTACACCCTATCTAAAAATTATATAAAAATATACAAAGACATTTAATAATATTTACTTTTTAAAAATTTAAATGTTTAAAATATTTTTAAATTTTTATTCTTTATTAATTTCTTTAAATTTCATTAATTTCTTCTTCATTAATTTCTTTATTCCTTAAAAAGATGCTCGGGTGGATTCCATGGCTACCAGAGTTTCCATCTTTTTAAGCGTCTGTGCTGCTCGTGGATCCACAAATTTAGGAGCTGGGCGGTTCTACAAAAGAATATAAAATTATTTAAGAAATTTACTTATTTAAATTTAATAAATTATTATTAATTTGTAACATTATTTTACCTCAGAACGCACATCAATAACTAATGGACCAGGTAACCCAGCTTCACGAACATGGGCCTTAAATTGATAATTTAGATAAATAAAGTATGTTATTTTTAATTAAAAAGTACCAGTTCAGTAAGTGGAATATTTTGAATAATTTGTTGTTGTTGTTTTTGTCGTTTTTGATGTTGTTGGTGAGTTACTTTTTTGCGGCGATAGCATAGAGAGAACAACTGAATTACAAAAATAGATAATTTGTTAGAAAATTTAGGATTACTTTAAGACCCAGAGAGAGTATAATGAGCAAAAGTATTGTATTTAAAATAAATTTTTCGTAGCCCCCAAAACCAGAATTAATATAATTTTCTGGACGGGCCAAGAAATTATCAAACTCGGTAGGCAAAACAGTTGTGGGGATGCACAAACGAGGTTTGCTGTACGCCTCGGGTCGGATACAGTGCTGACCCGAGGTACAAGAGCAGTTAGTAAATGTCCAGTTCATTTTAGAAAAAATTAACTAAATAAAAATTTTAGGAAAACTTTATAAAATAAATCAAATGAATCATTATACTCTCTCTATTATTTACACAAATTTTCACGTAAACACCTATTTTACAACAATTTTTTGACTAATTTACATAAATTGGCACAAAAGAAAGCTTACATTTATTGAAAGAAACATATTGGTCCAAAAGATCAACACAGATCAACACTGTAAAAATTGCGTAACCAAACTCTAGGGCTTTTATTATAAACATTTATCTTAGGGAACATTTTTTGCGCCAACTAGCCAAAAAATGGAAAAAAAGGATTAGGTAAACATCTGTGTACAAATTAAAGTACACAGAAAAGATACCCCCAAAAGATCAACTCTTTGATTTTAAAATAATTAAAAAACATAAAAAATTTTATACAAAAATCAAAATAGTAATTGTCTCGTTCCACTCATTAAATTTGAAGCTCTAAAGAGAGCCGTTTGGGTTTAAGATCCATTCCATTTGAGTCCATGCATTTTTTCAAAAAAAAGTTTTTTGGTAAAGAATATCCATCATAAATAAATTTGTATCAAATAAAGAAAAAAAGAAGGAAAGGGGAAAGCTGAAATTATTAATTACTCCTTAAAATCGCCCTACCCCTAATTAATTCAAACAATCGCATTTCTTTTCCCTTCTCTCAATTTGTAAAATCGTCCCCCTCCAACCCCTATTAGCTCAATAGGTTGTTGTTTGCTCTAACGGACCCCACTACCCACCTTAACTGTTAAAAGATTGCGGTTAGGGTAAGGGTCAACAACTTAAAAAATCCCCTCCCCACCACACACCAATACTGTCAAAAGATTGCGGTTAAATGGGAAGGGTCAACAAATTACTCCTTAAAAAATCCCCTTCCTCCTACCACTCCCCCATCTCTAATTTGAAAATCCTCCCCCCTCCTACCACCCACTCACTCAATAGGATTAGGATAGCTCGCGCGGACCCCTCCCCCACCAAAGCTGTCAATAGGTTTAAGCTAGTGCGCGAACATAAATCATAATTAATTGCGGTTAACCACCCATCCAAAAGGATGGCGGCATCCCTTTGTGCGCAAAACGTTGGGTTAACTACTGAAAAGAGGAATTTTAAAATAAATAAATAAATTATTATTCAAAAATTCTTTTCTTTTTTTCAACATTCTTAACAAATTAAATATTTTTTACTGAATATTAAATTTAACCGTTTGGTTATATGATGAGTGAGGGGCAAAACAAGGAATTTCAAATCACGGAACAGACAAGTCAAGGAACGACAAGTCAAGGTCTTACCAAATCACGGAATATCTTAAAAATCAGAATATTCTTGTCCATTCCTTGAGTTATCCCGACACGGGTTGTGATGGCTCCTTTAAAAATTTATTGACATTTTATTGTTGGGGAATTTGCACCAAGAATAAATATTATTTACTAATTTGGGAGGACATTCATTCATTACCAAACGGTTAAGAGGAAGCCGGATACAAAGTCAATTAAATTTTTTATAATTAAAAATTAATTTTACTTATTTTTTCAAAATATTATCGTTATTAAAATCATTATTTTGTTTAATTTCTTGAATTTTTCTTTGCTTTTTAATTATAACAAACCCCTCTTCATTTTCTTCTTTTTCATAATTATCTTCCTCTATTTCTTCCATTTCTGCATCTAATCCCCCCAACATTTCTTCTCCTCTTCTTTGTTCTTCAACTAAAATATAATGAATTGTTGTTGTTGATGTCCCTCCTCCTGTTTCGTTTAGTATTTTTTTATATTTATTTTGAATTTCTTTTTGAATTTGTGGAGGAGTTAAAGCTTCTTGAGTTAAATTAATTGTTGTTGTTTCTTGTTGATAATCATCAACATCCTCTTCCCCATTTACATTTAACATATCTAATGGAGGTTCTGGTCCCGGAAGTGGAAGCTTTTCGACCTTTAAAATTTTTTAAAGGAATTTTAAAAATATATTAGGGGTATTAACCATTGGGTAATGTGTTGTGTTTGTTTGTTGTTTTTGTTGTTGTTGTTGTATATTTGTAGAATAAAAATTCTGGTAATGTTGTGTTGTTGAAGAAGGTAATAAATGTACAAGTGAAGAAGATGTTGAAACATTTGGAGGATTATTTGGAGAGGGAGAAAAGCTAAGAGAAGTTTTTTCTGGTTTTAATGTTATTGGTGTTGTATGCTGCTGTTGTGCCTGGTTTAAACTTGCTTCCATTTGTAGCCACTAAATTAATTTAAAATAAAATAATCTAAATTTAATTTTTATGATTTTATAAAGATAATATAGTTAATCCTAAATATATTATTTCTGAGGTATTCATATTTAATTAATATCTTCACAAGGATGAAATAAGGGGAAAAAGTTAAACTCTCCATTCCATATTTCAAAAAGTCAAAGAAAAACTTTAAAATTCTCAACAAAATTATTATTAACCTCTGGTGCCATCAATTCAATAGGCAATTTCCCCAAAATTTTTGCCAATTTTCTTTCCATAATAATAAGTAAATAATCATCAAATACAAGCCGAACTAAATGAAATTCTCCAAAAGAAGTTGAAGAATGTAAAGTAATTTCTTTTAAAAGCAGAGAAGAATGTAAAGTCCAAGCTAATAGAAAGCGTTTTCCTTTACTAGCTATTTGTTGGGGAGAATATTTAAATGTTTTTGGAAAATTTAAAGCTTTATCAACAATTGATTCTAACCAATCAGCCCATTCTTCTATTGAACAATGACAAGATAAACGTTCACGAAATTGCCCAACCTTTTTTTATTAAAAAATAATTTTTTAATTTTTAAATTAATTATTATTTCTTTACCAATTCACGTGCCAGCACATTACAATTACAAAAACTTTCATTTAATTCTGTTGATTCTTGGAATGAATTCTTATTTAAAGAAGAGCTAGAAGAACATAACCAATCGGCCTGCCAATGAAAAACTCCAAAATCAACACTAATAATATTAAAAAATTTTTTTAAGTAAATTTGGCTAATTTAAATGTTTAAAATCAAAAAAGATTAATTAATGTTTAAATAAAATATTAAATTAATTAATTAAAAGAATTATTTTTAAATTCATGGGAGGGAAATGATGTTAATTAAATTAATTTACCGATTAAAATCATCATGTACTTTTTTAACTTGTTCTTTATTTTGTAAAACACTTCTAGCAGTAATAGCCAAATGAACAAAAGAAGATAAACGAGTTAAAGAATTAGCCAATAACCGAATACATTCTAATTTAGCTTTTTTAAATGCTGGGGGAATTAAATAATTTAAATTTGAATTATTTCCTCCTCCCAAAGCATTTTCCATCCAAAATTCAATACTTTTACCAAAATTTCGAAGATTATTACACAAATCACCTTTTTTAAGAAAAACATAATTTTTTTAAATTAATAAATAAAAAAAACTTTCTAAAGGAATTCTTAATGGACTGGAAAAGAAAAAATCCAAAATAATTTGATAAAATTTTAAATCAAAAGTTTCAACATAAGAAATAATTTCAGGCAAAGAACAAAGACGACATAAAGAACGATTATCCAAAATTGGAGCACCACGCATTAAACCTCTATAAAAAAATTAATTTTTAAATATAAATATATTAATTAGTTAATAGATTTATTATCCTATCCATTTGCCGCAAGACTTGAATTAAAATGGCATGCTTTAAAAGAATTCTCCCATCATGAGAAAATAAGTTTTTGCACGTTTACAAAATGTACAAGAACAGAAAAAATGCATTGGAAACAGAATGTCATTTCATTGTATTTTTTAATTTAAAATTGTGAGGTTTAATAGTACATCCGAATTTTTCTAATATGTTAGTTTCCTTGGTATATTCATATTTAAATAAAGTGTGTTTCAGAGATCTTGACTCGATAATCTCGAAAAAATATTACGTGTCTCGCACTATTCACATATAAATATAAAAAAAACTAACGAAATTACTTACAATTCAACATTATTTTCTTCGTTTATATTTCTTCCTCTTTGTTGACATTGTTCAATATCAACATTAGTTTTTTGCCAAAAGGATATCCATAATTGTTCAATTAATTTTAATCGAAAATCCTTTACACAATTTAAAACTTTCTTCAAAAATATATAATTATTTTCTTTTCTTTAAAATTAAAAAAACCCTGGAATGCTCTCTATAATCATCAAAAAATTTCAAAACATGCCCAACACTCAATCCATATCTTAAAAGAATACATTCATCCAAAATAGGTAATTCTATTTCTGGTAATCTTAAGCCTCCTTCTTTTATTTCAATTAAATCATTTAATTGTGGAGGGGGTAATAAAAATGTTGGGGGAGATAATGAAGAAGAAGTATTTAGTGTTGTTGTTTGTTGTTGGTGTTGCTGATGATGATTAATATTTGGTGGATAAATTAAGGGAGGGCTATTAAATGTTAAATATATACATATAAATTATTTTTAAATGTTTTTACTAAGAAATTAAATTAATTTTTGAAATTTTGGTGGTAATTTAATGAAATTCTCATTATTTTAAACACTCTAGAATCTAAAAATCTGAAGAACTTTTAAAGGCTGATTAAAAAATCGTGGGAACAGCGATTTTATTAAATATTTTAGAGGATTATTTAATACCTTTGTTGTTGTTGATATTGTTGTTCTAATTCAATATTAATAGACCCTTCTCTTTCTTCACATGGAGATGTTGCTGCGGAAGAAGAAAAATTATTTAAATTATTTGAATTTATTTCCCTTTCAATTTTTCTTTTTGATTTTTGTAAATTATTATTGTTAAATTGTTGTTTTCTTTGTGAACGTTGAGAATTTTTATGTGGTTGTTGTGAACCGTTAATCATTCTTTCTAATTCCTCTGCACTCATTGTAGCCCGTAAAGGACTATTTTGTTTTAAACAAATACCTGAATTTAAATTTTAAATATTTATTTTTCCCTTCCTTTTATTTCTACCATTATAATGATATTTACTATTCCCTCTAGTACCAAGACGACGAGTTGATAATTTTTTATCAAAAACTTGACGAATTAATTTTCCAAAGGATGCGGCATTTACTTGAGTAAATCCTAATTCTTTGCAATGACTAAAAAATTTAAAATAAAATTATTTAATTAAATTAATTAATTAAACGTTTTATATTGCTCGTAAAGTATATTACGAGGCAAAGAAGCCCCTTCTACTAATTCATAATTTGCTTTAATCCATTCTAACTAAAAATTAAAATATTTAATTTTTAAATTTAAATTTATTTTTTTTACAGTTTCTGGAGGCGCTTTAGCAATATTATTTTGATTATTTTGTTCTCCTTCATTCTCATTTTGTAAACAATTTTTTGTTCTTTTCCCCTCATTTTCAGAATTAATATCTTCATTAATTATTATTATTTGCCTATTATTTTCTCCTCCCCCTCCTCCTCCTTCTACTTCAACTTCGTCTACAGAAATATTTGGAGATTTTCTTTGATTATTTACTCCAGATCTTCGAAGAACAAAAGTATGTGGAGATTGTAATAAAGTACTTGTGGGAGGTTGTTGTTGGGGATTTAATGGATGTTGGGAAGTATGTTGGTGGTAATGCTTTAAAGAAATTTAATTTTTAACTTATATTTTGCTACTTTTATTTTTTGCTTAAATTATAAACTTAAATGAGACAGCATGATAACTTTGTAAGAGGGGAGTCTTTGGGTGAGTTTTAAAATTAGAAAAACAAAATAGGTAAATTCCTTTCATTGGAAATTTTATCATTTAATATCTTATTTTTATTTATCACAAGAATTTTTTTGTTTCTCCATCCCTTTCCAAAAAACTCTCGACTGGATATAAAAATCCAATTAAATAAAAATAACCAAAGGTTGTTGTAACAAAAACATTGTGTAGTAAACTTCCCCTTTATTAGAGGATTGTGCCATTTGCGCAAAAGAAAAAAGAAGAAAATACCAAAAATATTTTTAAAAATAATTTTTCGAGAATTTTAAAAAGGAAAATAAGAAAAGAAAAATTGGCCAAAAGTTGGTAAACTTTATACAATTTTGTTTTGAATATTTTTCTTCTCAGCAGGTAGTAAGTACATAAATGGAAGGCTTCCTCCTTATTTTTTTGGAAGAAAATATTTAGGTAAAAAATAAAAAGAAATATTTTGAATGAAGAAAACGTTTATAAGGTTCAACCGACCATAAAAAATATTTAATAAATAGCCCAAACACAAAATAAAAAATATTTTAATTTTAGAAAATAAAAAATCTTAAAAATAAAGTAACTAAAGCTTTAATATTTTAATTTCAAAATTTATATTTAAAGTCCCAAATAGCTAAACCTCTCTCGACCTCTCTGTCAAGTAATTTAACTTCGAATTGAAACTCTCGAAGGTAATAAATTAAATATTTTTAGAAGATAATTTAGTGGCCATTTTCTCCTTGGTCTCCGAAAGTTTAGGCATTTCCAATAATAATTTCCCAACTCTTATTTATTAAAGGCTTTTTTAACTGCTAACTTATCAAAATATTTTTCAAAAAATAAACTGACTATATTTCTAATATAATTTTTTTCCAAAACCTTTTTTTCAAAAACCTCTTTCCCTCCTTCTCCTACCCATCCCAATTCATTCCCTTATAAATTCCTCACAGATGCTTCAATTAATTGTTGTTGTTGTAATATTTGTTGTTGTTGAATTTGACGTCTTCCTGTTGAGAAATAATTAATCTGTTGTTGTTGTTCTTGTTGTTGTAATTGATGATGATGATGTTCAGGATTATTTTGTTGTTGTAATAGAGAATTAGCCGTTAAAATATGAAATGTTATTGGAGCTGAAGAAGATACTGCTGCTAATGTTGCCTTCAATTTTATTTAATATTAAATTAAATTATTAATTTTTTTAATACCTGTTGTTGTTGTTGTTGACCCCCCATTGTTCCAATTACATAACTTCTGCTTAAATCAAGTTTTGCCGTCGTAACCCCTTCCTCTCCAATAATACGTCCACACGGTCTGTTTACAATAGCAGTTGATGAAGAAGACGCAGGAGAGGGTGTAGATGAAATAGATGATGAAGAAGGATGTTGTTGACGTCCAGAAGGATCAATTATACAGGAAACACGTGAATATGTCCCTCCATTTCCAAGTTGGTGTGGGGGAGGGGGAGGAGGTTGAAATCCGCCATTAGTATTGTTGTTGTTGTTATCTGTTTCTTGACTATATAAAGTCCAACATGAAGAAGGATGATGATGTTGATGTGAACAAGAAGAAGAAGATGACGAAAGTTGAGAAGATGAATGTATGGAAAGATTTGTAGAACATTGTTGCTGGTTATTGTTTGTTGAAGTTAAATTATTGTTAATTGGCTGGGGATGTGAATTCCCTAACAAATTTACAGGTGGAAGAATACCTCCAAATGAGGGAGAAGATGAAGAATTAGAAGATGTAGATGAAGAGGAGGAGGAAGAAGGGGAAATGAATGATGAAGGACATGGAGCGAGGAACGGTGGTAATTCCATTGAGAAAAAATAGATTAGAAATTAGATGAAGTTAGAATTTCTCTGATACTTCTTGTTAGAATAAAATTTGTTATATCTTCTGATTAATAAACTTATTTTTTATTTAATTTATTTTCTTTTTGTTTATTTTTAAATTTTTTTTTAATTTTTACGAAATATTTATGTATGTAGGTTGAGGTAAATATAAATTACAGATAGTTAAAAAATGCAGCCGGCTTTCTTTTAAAAATTATTTAGTAATTTAGGAGAAGCCAATAAAAAGAATCTAATCAAAAAATCTTACTGTGCTTGTCTTATTAATTTTCTCACTTTCTTGTTTCATTGCGCGCCGTTTAGAAATATTTATTACATTTAAGCAATTTACTCTAGCTTTCCTTTCATTGCTTTAACATTTAAATTATATATCATTTATTATAACCATATTTTTGCCATTCTAATATCTACTATCTCTTCAAATAAAATTTCCTTCACTTCTCAATCTCTTCCTTCCCCCCCCCCCCCACATCATTAAATCTCTTCTCTATATTTATCTCTACCTCTCTCAAAGGATTATTAATCCAACATGAGATATACCTTATGCTTATGTTAAGCATCTGTTATGACGGCACGCAAGCCGTTTTACATGCTAACATTTAACGGCTATTTTCCATTTTTGCCCTCTAATTATTTAGCTACACAGCGGTAAATAATAAATATTAAATACAAAACTGCCAAAATTGTAGGGATATTTTTCTCATTATCGCGCACAATTTGAGAATAAAAGGAGTGTTGGCAAGGAAACGGTAAGAGCCAGTCGGTGGAAGAAGGAAACAAGAGAAAAATATATTTTTTATAAAATTTTAAAATTAATAAAATTGTGATGAGACATTTTTGATTAAAAATATTTTAGATCGAAAAAATTATGAATTTGAAGTAAAATTTTCTTTAAAATATTATGAAGAGAAAAAATGTGTTTTGTGTTTATTTTTAGATGATTATTTAAAAGATAGCTTATAGACTCTTTAGTATAATTATTATTTAAATAATAACTATACCTGATAATATCCAGAATGTATTCCAGTATTGTTTCCATATATACCACCAACATTTCCCGTATTAGTTGTATTTGTATGTATTTGCCCAAAATAATTCCCGGTTCCATTAACATTTGAAAGTCTATAAAAATACTTTTAAAAATTAACAAAAAAATTTTATTTAATTTGCCTAGGATTGTTTCCGTTTCCTGGACTAAGCAATAATAAACTAGAAAATGAAGGTGAATGTGTATTTATGCCATTATCGTTAACGCCATGCGCGCCATTGCCATTCAAAATATTATTACCAATCAAAAGATTCCCCCCAACATTATTTTCTTGTAAAATTAAGGGAGGGAGAGGTGTCCCCCAACAACAAGCCGAACAATTACATTCATCAAAAACTACAGTGCTCGGGGTATTTGTTCTACTAGAGACACCCATTAAGGGTGGATCATTTTCTAATGAAGAAGAATTTGGGGGAGAAGTGGAGGGAAAGGAATTATTTGGGGGTGGAATATTTGTAGAAGGATTAATTGTTGATCCAAAAATTTGTTGAGTTTGTTGCTGATGATGTTGTGAGAGATAGCACCTTTTATGTTGTTGATTGTGAGGATGATGATAGTTGTTTTCAGCTGATAATTATTTTCTTTTTTATAAATTTTAAACTACCAAATTTACTCTAATCGAGTGGCAGACATGAAATTTTTTTTAGTATTTTTGTATACATACTATATTAATATTTTATCCTTAAAGTATTATCTCTATCCAATATAATGTTGGTACTAATTATAATATGGGTAAACTTAAAGAAATAAAAAATTATTAATTAATAAGTGCCATATTTGCCATTTTAATTAGAGAAAATAAGGCTAGAAAATTTTTTTAAATTTTCAATATTTTATTTTCAATCACCAAAAGAATTATTTGCTGTTCTAGTATTTCCCAAATCTTCAATAATTAAATTATTTTGTGGTGAAGGCAAAGAAGAATTAAATAATCCAAATTCGTTATTGCTTTGTTGATTATGTTGAATAGAATTAGGATGATTATTATCTCCCAACAATAAAAGAGAGGGGGAAGACCTCTCACACTCTGACGTATTTTTAGTGGTTGAGGAAGAGGAAAAGAACATTTTTGGAAAGTTAAAGATTTGAGAGATTTATAAAACTTGGGAAATTTAAATAATTTAAATATTTTTTGATTTTATAAGAATACTAAAATTTTTGTTAATTTTTGATAAATATATTTTGTTTATATATTTATTTTCAACAAATTTTTTTTCTAAAAATAGAGTAAAAAAGGAGTGTTATTTATATTTATTTTGTGTTTAGAAGGTGCCAGATTTGTGGCTCCCGGACAATCCGTCAGTGGACAATCCGGCAGTGGAAAATCCGTCAGTGGACAATGCGTCAGTGGTCGGACAATCGGTCAGTGGACAATCCGTCAGTGAACAAATTCGTAATTCCTAACCATACCCGACTACCAAGGTCAAAGATTTTCATTTCATCGTCTGGGGGTTTATAAGAGATATCGAATTTTGGAGATTAATGAGGAAATCGGCAGATATAGCTAGATTAAAAGGATATCAGTGGATTTGGGAGTTAACGCGGATTTCGAGGATTAAGGGGAATATAAGAGATTTGTAGTAATTTCATAATAACCATCTAAAACGATCTCTCTTATTCATATATTTCTCATAATCCCACGATATTCATACAAATCCAATGTAATCCCACACGTTAATCATGTAAGTTTAATCCATCCTAATCCCCTATAGACTTCTAAATCCATCGACATTCGCTTAATTCAACCGAATTGACCAATATCTTTCAAATCCACTGATATCCTTTTAACCCAGCTAAATCTGCCGATTTCTTTATTAATCTCTAAATTTCCGATATCTCTTATAATCCACCACACGATAAAATGAAAAGTTTTGGCCGCGATAGTTTGGGTATGGGTAGGAATTACTAATTTGTTCGCTGACGGATTGTCCACTGACGGATTGACCGACCACTGACGCATTGTCCACTGACGGATTTTCCACTGCCGGATTGTCCACTGACGGATTGTCCGGTCACGAGATTTGTAGCCTTTCTCCCATCATTATATAAAAAATATAATAATTTTCCAGGTGCCCTTCTTAGCGAATGGTACGAAAATGAGGTGTTTTGAATTTAGCTGGACATATTAAAGAAGGGAGGGGTTTCTTGGCAAATGATTGAGAGTGGATAAGTGAATAGATTTTTGATGGTCAAAAAGATGAGGAAGGGAATGAATTCTCACATTAAATGAAGTGAGAAAGAGAAAATTGAAGTAAATGTGAGATATTAAAAGTAATTTTGGAATGAAATTGAGACTGATATTGTAATCATAAAAGCTTGTTAGAGAGAAGGAAAGATCGTTTTAAATAACAAATTTGTGTGAAAATATAGTGAAGACCTAATTTAAACCAAAAAGACCAACCGGCAAATAACGGTCTTTGGCCCCGCCCTTTATCCTTTCTAATGGTCAATGAGGAAAGAAAAGGTGGACAAGACCGGATAAGGACCTTCTTTCCCAATAACTACCACAATCTCCACCTGGCACATAAGAACGATAACAAGCATTTAAAGGGATAATAACGAGGCGGCAACAAAAAGAGAAAAAGGCCAACGGCTATAACACATGCACACAAATATATAATTGCTCCATTTTGTGGAATTATGGGAAGGAGTTGGATAAATCATGAAAGAGAATTAGAGGTTATTTTTAATGAAAATTTACGTTCTGGATAGGGTTGGGATTCTAATTTACTCCAATTGTACTTCATATAGCCTCATTTTTTGGCCCCATACTCGTACTTCTACCTGCCTATTTTCCGTATCTCGCAGAAGTAAGGAAATGTGCAAATAATCCAAAATTTTCGATTTTCTGGAGCCAAAAACATTAAAACTTTTAAATTGTTAAATTAAAATGAATTAAATTCTGAATTAAATAATTCAAACAACCAGGCACAACAATCTAAATTTCCAAACTGTTTAGAACAAAAGCAGTTATGTTTGGCAGATAGTATCTTTGCGAGTTACTTGCGACAAAATAAATTACTTTAAAATTTGTCCTCATAGCTGGAGCTGCCAAGGAATATGGCAATTAATGTGTAGTTTTATATTATTATAAAACTTTTATATCTTTTGATTGGTATGGCAATGGCGCAAAGGCAACAAATAATGGCATAAAAATTACGTATTTAAATAAAAATTTAATTAAAATCAGCAGTAATTATTAATAATTAGTTAATAATAAAAATATAGTCAAATTAGAAACTTAAAAAATAATTAGAATTAACAAACTCTTTTACTAAATGTAAAATTAAAAAATTGTTTAATTAAAATATTAAATATTTTTTAAATTTTTTGGGAAATAATAAAATTTCTAAATAAATATTCAAATATTATAGAAACTACTACATTGGACATGAATGAATTCAGTTTGGTAACCAAAGTGAATGAATAAAATTGTGAATTAAAAAATGTTAAGTGTTTATATATACAAGTAGCCGTTGTTGTTGACGACACCTTGAACCAAAAACCATGGAGAGAGGACCAATGCCGGAGTCCTGGTGACCAACCAATTCTGAATTTTTTAGCCCCTCCTCGTTCTCCTGGCAACAACATCCTCCCCATCATCATAAAAACACAGAAATATATAAAAGTTTAAATTTTGTTATCCTTTCTGATATACCTAATTTCATCAAATCATGAATGAGAGAGGGAATTTGAAAGACTGAACAATTAATTAGGTGTTTTGTTTTAAATAAAAGGAATTTTTATAAAATATAAGACTGAGGATGAAATAAATGTTTAAATAAAGATATATATTCGTCTCGATCTCCTCCCATTTATTTTTCGTTTCCCTGGACATCAAAAATATATCAGTTAGTCTCTTAGTAACATCCACACATTTATTTATTAAATATCGGCACGGCAACGGAAGATATATATCACCAAGGTTCTACAAGTCTCAAATTTATCCGTTGCCCTGGATCCAATTTTGCAAAGATCCATTTAGTCGTTACCTTAGAATCCAAATGGATAACATTAAAATCCATGGCAAAAGCTTTTTAAAAATGAAGGATCCATTGGCAACAAGGACGAATTTTTGTTTAGTTTGTTTTAAATTTAATAAAAGTTTAAAATAATTTTAGAAAAATTAAAACGTCAAAATTAATTTTCAAAAAATACTAAAAAAGAAATATAATTTAGCTAAAAATCCGATTGTTTTAGAGACAATGGTTATATGGTATACTTATTACTAATAAGTTAAACATTTATTTTAAATTAATTTAATTTAAATTTTATAAATGCCCATTTCTGTTAATGATTAAAATATTTACTTTATCATTTTCAATTAAATAATTTCCAATATTTTTTTAATTGAAGAAATTTATATATAAATTTCATTAACTTTGTGTTAGTTTGTATAAATAAATGAAATTAATTCAACACAAGGTTAGCACTCAATGATTAAAATTAATAATTTAAATTAATAATTTACCCATCATTAATTAAAATAAAAACGAAAATAAAAGAAAAATCGAAGAATTGAACGGAAATTGGCAAAAAAAGGAAAGAGAAAGAAAAGTACCTAACCCCACACATTGGTGCCAATTATCAGAGCCGGCAATCTACCTTGATTTTAGAAAATGAATTGGCACACACCTGCCTAAAACGAAATGAGCGGAAAAGAATTGGAAGGATTTGAATAGAGAAAAATTATTTGGAATTAATGGGAAAAGGAAATAAAAATATTTTTGAATTAAAAAAAAATAAAATGAAATAACATATGGAAAATGAAAATATATTTAATTGATGGAAAATAAAAAATAAATAAAGGTTAAAATTTTTGTTAAAATTTAATTTAAAAAATCATAAATTATTTTACTAAAATTTTACATATTTTAATTAGTTTACTACCTATTTTCAGACAAAATTTGCTGTTGATGTTGTGCAAGCCATGGCAAGGAAGCAAATGCTGCAGCTGCTGCAAAACTTCCATGAGCGGCAATCAAAGCGGCAGAAGAGGAGGAAGGAGAACATGAAAATGATGGATATTTTAATTAAAGATTTAAAAAATATCCAACTTTCAACCCTTCCAGACACATTTTTTGTTTTTAATGGTAAATTGTTTGGAATATTAGAAGGGTTTTTGTATAAAATTAATGATGATGGGGAAGAATTTAATAGACTATTAGAACGCATTTTATTCAGATAATTTCTAATATATTTTTTTAATTTTATTATTTTATAATTATTAAATAAAACTAAGCTTAAAAAACTATATTTTTAGCTTAAAATAATTTCAAAAGTTTATGAAAAAGTTTAAATATAAGCAAGATTCTCTTTTTGTTTCTCCAAAAATTTACTCCAATTACAGTAAAGCAATTTGTAAAAAGCGGCAAAAATGAGAAAAAGTGGAATATTTAACTAAAAACAAAAATAACCGGTTGGCCCGTTTTCTAAAGCAAAAACAATTTTACCTTTTATTCTTCATAGAATTTTGCATATTTTTAGCAGGCTCAATTACTTTTATTTTTTGGCAAAGAGAAAATTGGGAAAAATGAGGAAACAGAAAAATATGGAAAAAAACTTATTAAAAGAATAAAAGGAAGTTGGCACTTAAAAATAAAAGGAAGATTACTTAACAATTAAAATCTTAACAAATAAAAAGTGATACAAAGTTCCTAAGTAATTAATTTGCTATAAAAGTTTATTCAATTTAGAATATTACAATATAAGCATAGTTTTCACATACTGGGTCTCGGTAGTCTTCGTCTTCGGCAGCGGTAAGTCGATTTCGGCTTTTTTCTAAATTATACTTTCCAAATCACTTTTACAGATGAGTCAAGCAGATGCGTGGATTTTTCTAAGTATTACTGCTGGCATTCTTGTTGCTGTGCTCTTCATTATCTTCTGCACTATAACCAGGGGTTCGAATAAAAGAAAGGGCCATGTCGTTCGTACAGGACCGCCATCACACACTGGTAGACCTATGCATAGTGGCCCTCCAAGAAATGTGTTTGCTGGTCCGCCGCAATTACAAAGGCCGCCACCGATCGTAGCACATCCACCGGTAGATGTATTCTTTTTTAAAAATACTTTAGTTCTTTTTAGATGCCTGTTGGGCCGCCACCAATTCAGCGACAACAGCCTGTTCCTCCGCCAATGTATCCTCCTCCGCAAAGTTTGCCTTCGGCACCATCGACGCCTCCTCCTGCGTTTGTGATCTACTACAATAAGAATTTAATGTCTTCATTTATTTTAGATATGTAGCACCACCGCCTTTACCAGCTAATATGCTTCCTCCTCCACCATCATCTAATGTCCCAGTTAAAGAACCTTCGCTGCCTCGATTACCAATTTTGAACACTCCAGCAAAAGGGACGTCTACCGATTCGCATCCACCTCCTAATGTTGGGTGGGCTCCCACAATAGGACTGGCAAAGGTAGACAAAAGAATTTTAACTTTCATAAATTCAAAATTTCAGGATCCCTCAACTGCATCGCCGAATGCTGTCGTTCTTCATCCAATTGGACTTTCTAAGAAGAAAAATACAGCAACAAGTACAACAACAAGTAGTACCGATAGCTCTGATTCAAGTGTTGGAACTACAGAACGAACTCAAGAAGATGACGGTGGGATTCTAACTGTGCCAAGGAAGAAGGAAAAGAGTCGTCGCAAGAAGCATAAACGAGGGAAGCGACATTCGAAATCAAAGAGGAAGAGATCAAAAAGAAGCAAAAGGGGAAGGCGATGAATCATAAGGATAATTGGGAGGTATGATAATAGATATTTGTGATCTTCTTTGGTATTCTCTGTATTAATGTTGATGTATTACGTTGTATAATTATTGTAATATATTTGTTTGGTGTATTGTAAAATTAGTTATTAGTTTTAATTTAGTTTTAATCTAGTCTACCTCAAGTTTACATTGGTAATATCTCTAAAGATAATCTTACTGTGAAAAGCAAGAACTTTAATAGGATTTATAAATTGCGGGATTTGTATTATTAAAGAGAGAATACTTTTCTTTATATAAATTAAAGCCTGTGCTTACTTTTCGAAATTTTTCCTTTCTTCCCAAAAGTTAAATTTAAAATATAAATTTATTTAAATAATTAATATACAAATTTTTAAATTTTTATAATTAAATTTAATACATATTTAATTCAACACACTATGTTGACCTAATACATTACGACGTTGTTCTTCTACATCCACTTTCCATTTATTTTGCTCGGCTGTTACCTGAATATTTTAAAATAATTTTTTACTAAAGAAAATCAATTGAGAAACTATCCAAAGTAAAACAATTCCTCGCTTAAAATATAAAAATACTCAGATAATACATTAATATATTTAAATTAAAAACCTTTTCAATAACTTTGTCATGCAATGAAGCTTTAACTGTGCTACTAGCAGTTGTAGCATTAGCTGAATGGCGAGAACGCGTTTGTTGTCGATCTTCTAAAGAAATAGCTGAGAATTCATTTGATGACGGTATTCCTTCTGTTGTACTCGAAAAAATATGATCATCCTTAAAAAATAAAAAGGTTAGGGAAAATCCAAATAAATTTTTAATTCAAAAACTTATTTAGGGAAGAAAATGTAAAGAGCTCTCACTTATTATTTAAAAGTAAAAAAATATTTTTAGACTAAAAATTACAAAAAAAAGTTAGGTCCAGAAAAAAAGGAAAGAAAGAGAGACAAGAAACGGAAAGTGCCTAACAATAATGGATTGATCATCCATGACATCGGATGCAACCACCGAGGCTTCATCCGAATCTTGAAGGAACCAAAATGTGTTCAAATCACCAACGTCCTCTCTATCAACATCTGTGTGGCGACTGTAAGGTATAAAAGCTGTTGAATTTGGTTGCCTTTGCCTAAAAACCATTGGCTCAACAACACCCAAATAGAGCATGTAAGAGCCAAGAATGAAAATAACGGCAATGACGAACATAACAACAACCTTAAAAAGTAATTTAAAATCAAATGAATTTTCCCCTAATAATCAAAAAATTTCCTCCAAAAAAAATTAAACCTTCAATAAAAGTGAATTTCTTGATTCAAATCGACAATTACAATTTGCCAAAAAAGCGTCAAGTCTTGCCTCCTCCACAATTGACTGAACATCTTTTTTAACAACAGTTTGTGCATTACTTTAGAAAAATTATAATTTATTAAATTTTTTAATTAAAAAATAACCAATTTGACGACTCCAAATTAGTTTTTGTATAATAACGTCTATAATGTTGTGAATGATTTGTACCTTTTGGAGCAAAATATTCAGTACTTGGACATGTACACCGGCAACGAGTATCTTCAAAATTCGCCTAAATATAAATTTTATTTAAAATTAATTAAAAATTAACTTACTTCTGCCAATATAAAAAATGCCGAAAAAAGAAAAAATAAATTAATTAAATTTAAAAATGAATTGGTCGTCATTTATAAATTACTAAAAAAAATTAAATTTTAATATGAATTAATTATAAATAATTTTCATTGTCTACAATGATTTAAATGAAAAATAAAATTTGTAAAAAAATAATTTATTTATTTATAAACGTGGATAAAAAAATAAAAACAAATTTGGATGAAATGTCATTTTCAAAAATAAACTATCCTGTGCAGAACATGTGAAAAAACAATTAAAAAGATAATTTTATTATCAAAAATTTAAACAAAAAATTTTCTTTAAAATCAATTATATAAAAATACAATAAATTGATAAAAATATTTAAATAATTAAATTGTGTTTAAATCATCGATTGTTCTTTTGTAAACTTTTCCTGGCACAAAAGGCTCCCAACGAGATGCCGGGTAAATATGTTTATTTTTTTCGTACCACGAACGTAGAACAACCTAAAATTTTATTCAAAAGCTCCTTCAAATTAGAAAATTACCTTAACTGGATGGCTTTCTCCAACATCAAGAGCAGCATCTTGTCTAACTCGTATTTCACCAACAGACTCAAATTGCCACAAAGGACCAGTTTTTCCCATTTGCCGAGTTTTAATAAAATCTTGAAATCTAAATTAAATTTTAAAAAATTAAAAAAAAAATTCATTTACGTATAGAAATGAGGAATGATTAAATCTTCTTTAATGAACATCTGTACAAAAAATATTTTCAGAAATTATTTTTATTTTTTTACCAAATTCTCAACAGTTGCCAATTTCAATTCCAAAAATTCTTTCCGAAATAACTAAAAAAGGAAAATAATTTTTAATTAAATTTAAAATTTTAAACATCCAAAGCTTTTTGTAAAAACTGTGCAATTGTCGTTCCCTTCTTTGTTTTAAAATCCCTACGATGTGAAGATCCATCCCAATAACAAAATGCAACCATAATTTCTTCGTTCTTCTCCTTTTCTTGCATTTCTAGCCATTCAGCTCCAATTCTTTCACGTTCTCTAAGAAAATTTAATAAAATTCTTTTAAAATATTAAAACCTTTGAATTTGTTCATCACGTTCTCTGTCAGGTAAAAATGAAGTATCAACAGTTGGGTCCATTCCTAACCGTTTCTTTACTATAACAACTGGTTTTTCATCCTCCTCCTCATCATCAAAATTTTTGAAGGATAACACTCTCTTCTGAAATAAAAAAAACTTTAAAAAAATTTGAATTATCAAGTGACCCTTATGTAAATTTCCTTTTGACATTTAAGTCAGATTTTTTAAGAAAATATCAATTTTGGCAGATAACATTTTCCAAAACTGGAATTTTATTCCCAAAATTTACTCTTTTACAAAAGCCCCAGATTCTGACAAAAGTAATAAATTTAATTAAAAAGTTCACCTGAACTACTCTATCAAATCTCGGCTTTTGTTCATTATCGTCAGTTACTTTTGATAATCTAAAATGAAACAAAAAATAATTAAATTTATTAAAATCCAAACTCTTTATTTAGAGAATAAATCTCATTTTGTCTCTCTTTAACTTCATCCAAAGTTACTAAACCAACTGTACTAGCTTTAAATTTTTCTTCAATCTGATCAACATTTGTTGTAAATTTACTAGAAATACCAGCAGCAACTAAAAATAAAATAACAATATTTTAGTAAAAACAAACAAGATTTCTTTTCTTCTTCCAATTTTAATCTTTGCTTTTCAATATCTTCTTTTGCACGTTCTCTCCTCTTTTCAAGATGTATTATCCGCCCAGAATCTGCTTGAGACATCATTTTTGAGGATTGAACCGAGTTTTGACTAAAATTTTTCAAAATTGACAAAAAGAAAGTGACGGCCCAGTTAGTCGCGAAGGTAATTTCTTTCAGTTCGCTTAAAACTTAAATTATACACAGGTAATAACTATGGATTTGGGTGTGATATCGAGGGATTGAGTAGTGTAAATTAGATATAGGGATTGGATATTTGGGGATTTTGCCTTCCAAAACTTGGCATTTCTCACTTGGCCTTCCTAAATTCACAAAATTTTCGCCTGCGGCGCTAAAAAGGAATGAAGAATATTATTGAAAATTTGCATGGATTAATGGAAATTTAGAGTGAGATCCGCTAGGAGCGTCGAAACAAAAAATTATTTAGACTGCACAAAAAAATAATCGAAAATCGTAAAGTTAAAAGTTCGTAAATCGAAAGTCAAAACCTCTGACGATAATTACTGCGTCGTTGATCAGTTTTAAATCGCTTAGCTAGTCACTCACGACATAGAATAGTGACTAGAGTAATGTAGCAAGTCTGACCATTTCGGTACTTTAAGGAAGGAAAGGGGGGGTACGAAATTAAATACAACATACTATCAAAAGTAAGCTAAAAATTTATCAAAAATGATTTTTCATCCTATAGAAAAGAATAAAAAAATGAACCAATTTCCCTCTGATCGTCTGCTCCCAATTTTTAAATTAGAAAAAGGAAAAAAATATTCGTCTTAATCAAAAACAAATTACAAATATTATATCTCCTCTTTATGACAGATGGACACTTGGGCGCAAGCCACTTATACGTAAGGTAACTTTCTTAAGTGCAGGCTTTAAATTTTTAGAAATTCTTTTTTCTTCTTCAAAAAATTATTAAAGTATTAAATTTGTTAATTCAATTAAACAAAAAAAAATTTAAAATAAAAATTTTATTGATTAAAATTTTTTAAATAAAAATAACCGCTCTCATCTTTAGCGGCAGTTAAAAATATCAACAATTAAAAATTTACTTCATTTTTTCATTTCTTCAATTAATTTAAAATTTATTCTCTTATTTTTGTTGGTTTTTCAAAATCATAAATATTTAATAAAGGAGAAATTAAAATTCTCAAATTTGTAAAAAATATTTTGTAAAGAAATAAAATTAATTTTAAAGAAATTAAAAATATTGGAATAAATAAAATTAAAAATAAAATTAATCCAATTGGTGTCGGTGAAATTTCTAATGAGGAAAAACTTTTTGGTAAAATGTAGAAACGCATTTTTAATTTAAACTTTTTTTTTAAATTTATTTTGATACGCGCCAGTTCGTGAAGTGGTGGCACGGATTTTCGTCAACGGACTTTCCGTCAATACTTTTCGTCAATGAATGGATGTTTTTTTTAATTTTAAGAGAAAGGGAAGATGATACATGTATGTAAAAGTGTAAAACTCTTGGTAAAATTGTGTCAGATTGAAAATCAGACTGATCTGATAATTCTTAACAAAGTTATGAGCAACTGAATTTTCACTGTTCAAACAAATTTTTGTGTTACTACGAAGGATAGGTAATTTTTTGAACTATGGAAAGGTGACGCTTTTTCATATAAAAGCAAGAGATGAATGAACAAATCTAAACTTCAATTCGTCATTAGCGCCTAAAACGACATCATTGGCACAGCAATCTCACATGGCTGGCGAGCTGCACTCTCACATGGCTGGAGTATCCTTGTTGGACAAGCAATATACCTGCGAACGTCGACTGGTTCCTTCGCCACTAAAGATGATAAGCGGTAGTCCTGCTCAGGCTTCAGAAACTCGTCAATGCGAAGTTGAACTGTTCGTCATTCGGGTTCAACATGAGTTCACCAAAGTAAGTTTACTATACTTTTTTAAACTAAATAATTCGATTGATAAAATATTTTTACAGAAAGCTGTTTTGCCTCCATTGGATGTGTGGAAGCGTGTCTTGGATCGTGGCTCATTCCGGTTTGCCTCGTTGGATGTGACCATCAAGCGTCGTGGGCTGTTCGGGATTGAACGTGCGGTGTCCTATGGTATACATACATGTGTTCTGAGCAAGCAAGGTCATCTGGTCATCTATACGGACAATTGGAAGCACGAGGGCTTCACCATTAATCTGAGCAAGGCTGCAAGAGCGGAATTCAAATGCAAAACTCAGAAGGTAAAAATAAGAAAAGTAAATACAATTAAAAGTTGTAATATTTCCTTTAATTAACAGGTGTTTCTATCAACAACAACGCAAAGAATCTGCAATGTTCGTGTGAAATGGAACTTTGGCTCGGTAAAAATCCGTCTTCCGGAGTCGCTAGTCTTAGATTGGGGACGCGCGATACTTGAAGCTGTACGTGGCAGGGCTGAGGCTTCTTACGAATCTCATCATTGTTCACCGACTGTTCATTATCGACCCACTACTCCAATTCTCTTCGAAAATGGCACTCAGACAGATTCTGTGTTAGAGGAGCAGGCAAGCATTCCCTTTTGAGCATGTTTAATGAATTATATTTCAGACTGTCACCTTCGATGGAAATGTTGGCGATATTGCTCCAGTTCCTTTTGTGCGTGCGCCTAAGTCCGACGATGGAATATTCCAACTTCTTGATCCTGATGATTCCTTTGGTTAGTTGATATGTATTGTTAAATAATGTTTAATGATTTTATTTTTTAAGCATGTCGTTCGGATGATGAATCTCTCCGTCTGGGCCAAATGTTTGGGAGCAATGATCAGAGCATAAACACCGCCAAAGAACAAGAGATGCAACCACATTCTGTTGAAAAGAAGGAAGATGTTGATCATGATGAGAATGAGGAGAAAATCGCGTTTCCTCTTGAAAAGGCGCTGTTGTTGAACTTCCCTTCAGAGAACAAAGAGCAACAGCAAGAAGACTACATTCCTGAAACTGCCGTCATAAGCTCGGGTTCATTGCGACGTCGTGTCACCTTCTCAGACCTGAACACTATCTTCGAGGCACCAGAGAATGAAGATCCAGTGGAAGAAGATGAAACTTCTGAATTGAAGCAAGACGAGATCATTCCTAAAATTGCTTGCAACAACCGGAATGATGTGAAGGACACAGAGGGGATTGAGGAACGCAGAAAGGTGATAATTAGTTAGAAAAAATTATCTATATGTAATTTTTCTATAGGAACACATTGTCCAATTGGCGCTTGATCAAATGCGCATTGTTGGTCAACACGGAGTGAAGGAAACAACAACAGCTGAGGAGGTTTCCATCAAGGATGAGAACGGCAAAAACGCTAATGAGGATATACAGCATGAAACTGTGGCACTGCAACCTTGTGAGCAGATGACTAAGACCAACGATGGTGACAATTTCGTCTCGACGCAGCAACTGGCTCTCAAAATGCAATTTCCTTCACAATCTGAGCGCTTCGATCGAACTCGTTGTCTCTTCGAGCACGGTACTGGAGGTGTCAACACCGATGAGGAAGAGGATAAAGAAACGAACAAACAATAGGAAGAGAAATAAAAATTCTCATAATCTTCTATAAATAGGGTTATTGTATTCCCACAATGTTCTTTCACCTGACTTAATTTATCTGCATGTATATGTATGTACCATAATAATCTAATTCTTTTACCCATTTTTGTCTTGAAAGTTCATTTGTTAAATCGTGTCTAATATTCACAAATATGTTTCTGTTGATTATATTCAAATGTATAGAATGTAAATAAAATATAAAATCGAAATTTGTTTGTATATTTTCGATCCCCTATCAAAATTACAATAAATATTTTTATATACATCGACAAAATTAATAATAAATTTTATATTAATGGATGGATTATTTGAGATCATTTTTATTATTAAGCCGGCTTTTCTTCTTGATTCAAATCAATTTTATGATTTTCATTGTTTTGATTATCTTGATCATTGTTAGGAGAATTAGCAAAACCATTTCTAAAAATAATTTTAAATCAATTATTTTTTAAATTTTTAAAAGAAATATTTACTCATTTCTTCTTCCTCTTCTTGAAGAAATTCGTCTTCTCGATGAATGATGTCGTTTTAATCCATTTGTATTAACTAATTGGCTTTGCTCTTTTTCATTAACTTCTCCATTAGTAATTTTTAATCCCTCATTTTTTTGCTTATTACTTGTTAATGACGAAACTCTAGAAAGTGCCATAGCAACAACTACTCGGTCAAAATCTGTCCCTGCAAAATTTCAAATAAAAAAATTCATTTTCTTTGCCAATTTTCCTTACCTATAGGTGGAAAATCACCAATAGACCAATCTCCTCTGAATGACCTTAAAAATTATTTACATAGTATAAAAAATTAATGAAAAATAATTTCTTCAAACTAATTAAAAATTTCGTCATTATTTTTAAAAAATACCTGTAAGAACATTGCCTTACAGGAGTATATTGTGTAGATCCGTGTCTTTGTAAAGCAATTTTTTCATCAAATTCATATTCAATTCCATTTTCCCCTCTCCTTTTACATATCCAATTTGCACAAAGAAAATCATAAAATGCACTTCTAATTTCTTCATTACAACTTAAATAAATTAAAAGACGAGAGGCACAACTTAGAACATATAACATTGATATTATCTTTAAAAAAATATTTATATATTAAATTTAATTTTGTTTGCCCTATTTTCTCGAGTAATTATTCTTTCTATTAAGTTTCAGCCTCTAAATGAGAGGCTTAAACAAGAATTCCCGAAGCCTAATATTCGAGAAAAAAGGGACCATTTAAATTAATTTAAATTAAACTTACATCTGTCAATGTCTCATATATCTAAAATTAAAAATATTAAAAAAATTTTAAATTAATTAAATTTTAAAGACTACTAACACTATAAAAGTTTTCACTTTGTGTTGAATCTAAATCTAAATATTCCCAAGCAGTAATAGCCACATTTGGAAAATTTGCCAATAAATAAGAACAAACAATCAAGAGTAATAAACGAGTTGCTGAACGAACACGAAGCTTTAAAAAATTTAAAGAATTAATGAGGGAATGAATGGACTAATTAAAGATTAAATGAATTAAAATATATTTAATTATTTATTTTAATTAATTAATTAATTAAAAAATACTTTATGGTCATAAGCACTTCCAAATCGAAACATTGCAGCTGAACGTTTTTGACGCCGTAATATTAAAACTAACAAAAAAAATAAATTTTATATACTATTAATATTCTTATTTGTTAATTTGGAAGGAGCAAAGGGTCTTGGCCTATATATTTATCCAAAAAATATTTTTAAAAATTTTCTTTCTAAAAATTTTCCTCCCCAACTTCTTTTCTTTTAAAGTTTAATTTTTAATAAAAATAATTAATTATTAACCAATTCTAGCATTTAAATAAGCAAGTAAAAAGAAAGGCACAAAAACTGTAGCAATAGTTCTGACATAAAATCTAAAAACTGTTCCATAAAACCAGCTTTTAGTTAACGTTGTAAGGCTTGGTTCGAATTCACTTAAACCCGTACAATTTCCATTAGCAACAATTTCAACTTCAAAAATAGCCGTTCCTCTAAGTAATAAAGCTAATAAGAACATTCCTAAAGCCAAAGGACCACGATTAGTACGAAAACAAGTAAGCAAAGATGACTTTAATGTAATTAAAAAACGTTCAATTGTTCCAAGAATAATCACTGAAAAATAAAAAAATAATTTAATATTTAAAAATTAATTTACTAAAACAAGAAAATGTCATAGAAACATGGCAAAGAGCCAAAAGGGGGCCAACATAACTCCACCAAAGTCGCGTTAGCCAAAGTAATTGTACCCGATTTTTAATTATATCCATAGCTAAAATGATTATTTTTTAAAGATTTTAGAAATATTAACCAATAACAGGTCCATAACAAGTTGATAAAAAAGCATCAGAAACAGCTAGAAGCCCAAGGAAGAAAAAATGAGAATTTCGAGGCCGTAATAAAACACAGGCAATTAATACATTACAAACAAGAGAAATTAAACTAATTAAAGATTTTAAAATAAATATTTTTAAAAAATTAAAAATTGCCTTAAAGATGTCCCCGCAACTGCAACCAAATACCTTTTTTAAAATTAAAAATATTTTTTACAATTATTTAATTCTAACCATCTCCTATCTGGAAAAATATCAACAGAGCAATCATCTTCTGAATCATTGTCGTTAGTTAGATTTTTGTAATCCTCAATAGGTGAAGAAATAAAAGAAGAAAAATGCCCAGATTCTGTTCCGTGCATTTTATTTTTAAATTTAAATCAAAAAAATATCTTTTTAAAATAAAAATAAAAAAACTTTAAAAACAAAATAAAATTTTAAAAATTCAAAAAAATATTTAGGACACTAGGAACGTTGTGTTAGAAATTACTAAAAGACTTCTCTAAGAAAGATTTGATTGAAAGTTTTAATAATTGGGTATCAATAAATTGTATTTATCAAAACTAAAACAAAAAATAAATTTAAATAAATATTAATTATTTAATAAACAAAATTATTTTTTAAATGTAAGTAAATATTAAGAAAAGTAAAAAAAGTAAATAAATAAATATATGATTTAATTTAGAAAATCTTACTTTTAAATGAAATAAGTAGAGGTGTGTGTGTGTGATATGGCACAAAATATATACAAATTTAATTAACAAAAATATTTGACAAGAAAAGGAAAAATAAAAGAGAAAAAGAAAGGAAAATAAATAAAATAAAATTATTATTTTAATTTAAAAAGTTTTTGATAAAATTTTATATTTAAAAAATAATTAAAATATGAAATCAGTTTTATCATAAAATAATATATATTATTAATTAAATTATTATTTATTATTTTGAGATAGTTGATTTTAAATATAAAATAATTTGTTCAGATGATTAAAAAACTTTCTTTTTTTGTAAATTTAAAAATAAATTTAAAAATTCTCTAGGGCCTTTTATTTTACAAAAATTTCTTTAATTTCAACTGAAATGATGATATAAATATATTTAATTTATTTTTGGTACAAAAATAGTTTGAAAAGAAGAATGTTGCCAAATAAAAATAAATTTATTTTCTTTCAATTTAAAACTTTAAAAGAAATAAATATATTTTGTTTGTTTAAAATAAATATTTCTTTTTATGGAAAATAATGCTGCTCATTTATTAAAATACCGAGAATAAATAAATGCTTAATTAAAAATAAAAAAGTTTAAAGAAAATTATTTAAATATTTAATTAATTACGTAATTAAAATATTTTTTAAACAATTCTGAAATTATCCAAAAATTAATTTAGAAAATATTATTTTAAATTAATTATCATTTTTTCAATAAATAAAAGAAATATTCGAGAATATTAAATTAAAAAAGAAATTCTTCCAACAAACCTCAAAATAATTAAATATTATAAATTTTTGTAAATTAAAAAATATTTGTCATTTTTAATATTTATTTTTGTGTTTTTCTTGGATGAAGATTATTATTAATATATTTTCTGAATTAAATATTCTTTACATCATTGCTTTATCCAAAAATAAAAAAAAAATATATTTTTTTATTGTCTCTATTATTTTTATTTATTTTTTGTTTAATAAATAATCAAATATCAAAAATATTTTGCAAAAAATGTTTTAAATTTAAAAATTCTGATTAAAATTTTTGGTATTTTAAATATAAATTAATTTATTTTTCAAAAAAGAAAAACAAACTTTATTTAAAATTTTTTTAAATATTAATTTTATTTATAAACTAAATTCACATAAAATATACAAATTTCTCTTTGATTTCTAATAAAGAAAATTAAAAGAATTCCCTCAATTTTTTAATTTCGTGTAAATACTGAATATTAAAAGATTAAAAAAAGTTTTTTTAATTTTTAATTTATTAAAAAATGATTTTATTTTAATAAAATATTTATAGTTATATTAATAATAATTTTTAATTATTATTTTTTGAATAAATATGCAGTGCAATATATGAGACTTAAAGAATATGTCTGGAAAATAAATATTAATTGCAATGATTTTTTTAAAAAATTGACCAATTTTGCTTTAAAATTAACCGATTTTAAGCTTAATTTTTTAAATTAAAAATATATAGTCTTTTTGGATATAAATATTTAATTTTAGAGTAAGAATTAGTTAGATGTGAATTGTATTTTAAATATAAATTAATTATATAAATTAAGATTAATTAATTTAAAATTTAAAATATTTTTTCGGAGAGATTTTGAAAGTCGGAGAATTTTTTTGATAGTATTTTATGGAGATTTTGGAATAAAGAAATGTCTCTAAAATGAGGTACAAATGAATTTGGTATTTTAATAATTATGTTTAAACAAATAAAAGATTTGAAGGGGCTTTTCTCATTTAAAGGTTAATAAATAGTTCCCGACGGTAGGAGAATTTCAAAATCTCCCGAAAGTCGGAGAGATTTTGAAAGTCGGAGAATTTTTTTTGATAGTATTTAAATAAAATTAAGAAAAAAATTTTTATGGAAAGACATTTGGATAGAAAAATTAATAAAAATCTGACACAATTCTTTAGAATTTTTGCGTGCCATATCGCACCTGGAATAAAATAAAGGGGGGAGTATGTACATATATTAAATAATGTTCATTCTTCGTATCAAACACACAAAAATACACACTCGAATGCGCGCGTGTGAAAAATTTTTGTCCCAAAAGGTTTACCTTTACGGTTTGTCTTATAATAAGAAAAGGTTGGAATAAAATAAAAAGAAAATGTCGGGGCTATGAAAAATTAATATGTTTGAATCCAAATTTTGAAAAATTAAAAAAAAAGAATAAAAAATCACGCTATTTTAATTGAAACTTATTTTAAATTAAAAAAGAGTTTTCGTTACAATAACCAAATGGTGCTGTATATTAAATTAAATGGCTCGACCACTTGGACCAATTTTGAATAGCTGTTTAGAATCTATAGCAAAACCAAAATTCGTATTAGTAACTATGAGTTACGAGGGAAAAAATAAGGAAAATAGAAGCCCGTACCTTAATTTTTTAGGTTTGATTTAAGTTTTGAAAAACTAAAACATTAGTGAACAATTAAACCTTTTCTGAACGAGCGGTGCTGTGAGTACGGAAAAATATGACAATTATGCGTACGAGTAAAATTGAATTTTCTAGTCCCGGCTTGTAGGTGAGAATTTCAACCAAATAATTTTTTATACCTTCTGTTTTTGATTTTATTCCCATGATATTAAAAATAAATATAAAACATTATCTTTTTATTGGGAATATGATATAAAATTAAATTTACAAAAAATAAAAATAATTAAAAATTATGGTAATATTAAATAATTAAAATTTTATAAAATTAATTTTAAAAAATAAATGTATATATTTATTTCCTTATTAAAAAGGCAAGAATGATTTAGAAATGTAAATATATTTTTTAATTAAGAAAAGGTTTAAAGTAAGTCAGGTGTGTTTAGTTAAAAATTAATGACAAAAAATTGCCAAATGCACATTGCCAAGATAAACTTCTAAAGATTAAAATAATAAATAAACTCTTCCTCAAATTATCAAAACAGCTCTTGATATTACCCCAAATTTATATATTTGATTTAATTTTTAATTACTTAATTTTTAGATTCTTAAAATGAAATAGAAATAATAAAAATAATTAAAATTCAAAATATATTCAATAATTTATTTTAAAATTAAGGAGGTTGGAAGTTTAATTTAGGAAAAAATGTGTAAATGAATTAAAAGTTTATTTTTATTGCCATAAAAGAATTCACCAATTTGGTATTGAATGTGAGAAAAAAATTGTCTTTTAAGGGAGGAAATACATAAATATTTATTTACATTAAAAATAAAGTTTTAGCGCCAAAACTTTGCATGTTAAAAACTTTCTTCCTTTTTTATTTCTTTTTAGATGACTTTACATCCTCACACAGACAACTACCCATTTTTAAGAGGTTTTTCCTTATTCATTCTTTACGTGTTGAGAATTGGAATGACAAAATGGATATTTGAATGATGATTAAAAATTAAAATAATTTTAGTGGATAATAATTTTGAAATTAAAAATTGTTAGAAAAATATTAAATATATGTATGTTGCAATAAAAACAAAATAGTTAATCAAAATATACAAAAAAATGACCAGGTTAAAGTACAAAAAAATAATTCTTTTAAAAGAAATTTAATATCAAAGCGTGAGAAGATTTCAATAAAATGCAAAAAAAGAAGTGAATTTCTTTAAAAATATAAAGAAATTTAAAAAGAAAGTAAAGATGACGTATTTATCTTTCTATTAAAAAAAAAAGAGAAAACCTTTAAAGCCTTTTTTACTAATGAATAGATTATGGGGAAGTGTTTTGTATTATGTAAAGAGATGTCAATAACCCCGTCCAGTAAATTATTAGCTCAAGAAAAAAACAAAGGAGGAGAGGAAAGATGACTTCCCCCCCCCCCTCCCCCACTTTATAATAAAAATTGGCAAAATAATAATAAAAGAATATATAAAGTGTTCTTTTTTGATGACTGTCAATAATAAAAATATATAAAGGCTTCACATATACACTACTAACAATATTGCCGCGCGCCTCAAATTCCTTTGTCCATTAAAAATTCTCAAGAAATTTATTAAAAATATTATTGAGTGGAAAGAGCAACAAAATTTTTGTTTGTTGTTTTTCTTACCGGAAGGTTGGAAAAAAAAGGAAATTTGATATAAGAAAAGGGGGAAAGGAATATCCGTATAATAATTGCGAAGGAAATTAAAGTTGCATAGTTTATATTTAATAATTCTTAAGGGAATTTTATTTTCAAAACTTGGTTTAAAAATAAAAGTTTATTTTTTAAAAATAAAAGCAAATTATTAAGAAAACAAAATAAATACTTTAATTTAAATAATGTAAAATCTAGACAATAAAAGGATAATTAATTTATTTAAACAAACGGAACAACCAAACACCAAGACAATAAAAAATAATTAAAAAAGGTCAGAATAGCCTTGTATAGTTTAAAGAAACCCCCCCCCCCCCCCATTTTTTCAAAACTCATTTAAAAATGCATGTGTTCACACAATGCTTTGAAAAATGAAAAAAAACAAAAGAATTACATACAAGAAAACATTTGATGAAATTGAGAAAAAAATTTGAAGAAAAAAAACAAAAGAAAAACTAAGCCAACTAAAATAAAAATATATTTTTGCAATATACTAAAAGATTTGATATTTTGTACTATCAAATGACTAAAAATTTAATTTGATATTTAAAGATTTGTTTAGAAATTCTTCTAAATTTTCATTCATACTTTTCTTCCTTTCTCATAAAAGTTAAAAATTTAATCAAATTTTTACTTAATCACAATTATTTTGTTTTTATTTGACAACTCGATGATCTCTTCCGAGTAATTTAAACTAAATTATTCATCAAATCTAAAAATATCGGAAAGTATAGTCAGGACAGAAAATGTGGACGGATATAGAAAAGTAATCATTTTCTTAGATTTTCCTTTTAATTAAAAAAATAAAATTATAAACAATATTTATTTACTTAAAATTATTTAAATTACATTTTTTAATCTGTACTATTTTTATGTGTTTGTGGAGTGGTAGAATTAAGAATTTCAGTAACATGTTTGATAACAGGTTCAACGTCAGAAGAAGGAAAATTAGCAGAATCAAAAAAGAATTCCTTTTAAAAAAATTAAATTTTAAATTTAATTTTTTTTTTAAATTTTTACCTTCAAACAAATTGCCAAAAGTGCATGAGCAGCAAAAACAAGAAAACAAAGACCAAAAGCATTCTTAAATTAAAAAATTAATTTAAAATATAAAATTTTTAAAATTTACAAATCGATTAGGATCATCTTTGACCATCGCCCAAATTGAAATTATTAAAACAGAACCACTAAAGACAGCAGCAGAAATTAAAAGAGTCCATCTTACCCAATTGAATGGAATTAAGGGGCAAAGAATCTAAAAAAATAAATGTAAATGTAAAAATATTTTAAAAAATTACCGAAACAGGTACAAACAAACTAAAAAAATTATTTATTAAAATTTAATTTAATTAACATTTAAAACCTAAGAGAATAACCATAAGCACAAAGAATGTCAAAAAATGAATATTGAAGTCCTGCAGCTCTGTGATACCAAAGATATGTGTAAATAGCGAATGGAAGGAGAAGAACATATCCAAATATAAGAGATGTTGCTCCAGTTACTTAAAATTAAAAATTATAAAAATTATTATGTATATTTAAAAGGGAATATCCAAAGAATGTTCCCCCTGATAGATACACCTTTGCCTGTTAAATTTTTACAAAAAATACCAAAACTAAAATCGCTTTGAAATTCTTCTTCACCATTTCCATAAACTTGTAAAAAATTTGCAAAGTTCCCAACAATTGCAATTGAAAAGACTAAAGTCACAGAAATCCAAAAAGGTCCCCATAAATCTGGAAGTGGTTGAACAAAATCAGCGATAAAATTTCCGGTGCGCCGAGGAATACAACTGTTTAAAATGCGAGCAAAGACCTAAAACATGTTTTAATTATTAACAAAATTTTCAGAAATTGAAATAAGAATGCCTTAAAAACCCTCACAAAAGTAAATTAATCTAGTTAAATAAATTCCACAAACCGTTTCTTCATCAACATCAAAAAAGCGTTGATAATATGAAATTGAAAGCAAATGAGATTTAGAACCCCCACTTTCAGAAGAGCTTTCCTTTTGACTAGAAGAACCATCAAGTAGCATTCCAGACATTGATTGCTAAACGAATTGATATAAATTAAAAAATAAAAAGACATACAGAAGAATTCGACGGATCCGTGGATTTTGAGAAATCTAAAATCTGATGAATTAAAAGTTATAATTATTAATTACCTTTAAAATTTAGATCAGCATCCATCACTAATGACAAATTTAAAAAGTTAAATTAACCACATTCTAAAAAATATAATGTATTTGAATGATAGTACGACAAAATCGTCAATAAAAATATCAATTCAACTTTTATAAAATATTAAAATGGAAAAATTGATTATCCATTCAAACCAAAATATTTTATTAATATTATTGAGCCATCAATCAATATTTTTTATTTCGGTGATAGTGGTTGCGAGATCGATGCTCCCCTCGATGCCTTTCACGATCACGACTTTTAGGGTGGCGTCGAAAATCGTTCTCTGTTGTTCTTTCCTTTTCTAAACGCTGTTCTCTAAAATTAAAATTAATTAAAAATAAAACTTTTATTTTTACCTAATTATTCTTTCAGATTCCAATTTGATTCGTTTTGCCTCTAATTCATCTTTTCTCTCATCTTCCTCACTATCTATACAAGAACAATCGCCACCACTACACGAACAAGAACAACTTAACGAGAAAAAATTAGAGAAGGATCTCTAAATTAAAATGAAATCTGATTTAAATAAAAAACCAACTCTGAGCTATCAACAGAATCAGAATCTCTAGCAGTTTGTTCATTTGTTTTTTTCATTGAATCTCTTCGACTTTCTATAACCATTTTCTTTCTCAGAATTTCCAAATTATCTTTGAAAGTAGTCAATTCCATATCTGCTGTTAAATCATATTTATCCAAATCCCCGCCCTCATCATCTTCGTCTTCCTCATCATCAACCTAAAAGAATATTAATTTCAAAAAATTTATAAGCTGAAAATTAAACCGCTTCTTCCTCTTCCTGTTCTTTCTTCTCTTCAAATTTTTCAACTTTTTCCTCCTTTACAACTTCAGAAGAAACAATTTCAGCCTCAAATGATTTTTGTGATTCATCATCATTCTAAAAAGTAAATATCAAAAGAAAACACACAAAAATTAACCAAAGCATTTGATGAAGAAGCATATTTTTTACTTCGGCGCTTTTTACGTCCAAACTCATCAAATTCTTCATCGGCATCGTCACGTTCAATATATTCTACCTTAAACAATTTTGAATTTAACATTTCAAAAAATATTTTTTTAAACAAAAACAAACTCATAATTAATTTAAAAAGATGTTCATTCAACTACTCACATCCTCTCGGTCCATATAACCACCACCATAACCTGTCCGAACTTCAAGATCTGCCAACTTGGGAGCATTGCAAATATTACACATATGTCGACGTGCCCAATTAACATTTCCACATCTGAAAATTCACAAGAACATAATAAAAATCAAAGAATTTATTTATGAAATTTCAGGGTTAAATTGAAAATAAAAATCAATCATAAAAAATGATTGAGACAAATGATAAAATACAAACTTTGAGCAAACCCAATCTTCAGCCGCAAAAAGCCCCTTTGATTTTTCCGCTGCTTCCTTGCCAATCTCCTTTCCTACTCGTTGTTTGGCACGTGGTTTAGCTAAAAAAAATTACAAAATTTCCTAAAAAATATATTTAATCTATCAATACCTTTTCCACATTTTTGACAAGTATTTCTCTTCTCTCCATTAATAAAAGCACATTTTGCATCAACACAAGCCCATTCACCTTCCTTGAGAACAGGACGAGGACGATTCTTGTCGTTATCATTCATTTTAAAAATTTATAACTAAAAGAGAAAAACAAAATTAAAAAGTTTTTTAAAGTGTAGATAAATCGAACGTTTTTTTATTATTTGATAAAATGAATAAAAGACAATTTGTAGAAATTTAAAGTGAAAATAATGCGGTTAAATAAAGCTTGAATTTTTTAGTTTTTCGTATTTTTTTCTCTTGGGGGTTTTATTTAAAAAATATTTTTTTTTCTAAAATCTTTCACAAATCTTAAAATCCTTAACAAACATTGTTATTTATTTTTTGTACTTTCTTTGTTCTTTCCATTTATTCCAAAATAAATGAGAAATATCAAATTATTTTTTCTAAACATTCTTTTTTATTTTTCTATTTTAAATTCTTTTGATTTACGTAATTTAAATGTTTTATTTTTTAGCAATAAAGGATGTTTCCTGCGCCTAATTCCGATCAGCACACTTCTACTCAAGAGGATGATGATCCTATCGTTCAAAACATTCCAAGGTTTATTTTTTTTTTGAATTTTACAAATTAATTTTTTAACAGAACTATTACCCAATTGGAGCAATATGTAGCTCAAGTCCATTCTCGTTTGTGCCATTTGAATGATATCATAATTCCTCAATCTGAACTCACCACAGATTTTGCTTTGCCGCGAGCGGATATTGAGGCTGAACGAAATAGACTTCGAGTGTGATTTTTATTTTTTATTTTGTTTCTCTAACTTCTGTTGGATCCAAGGATTAAAATTTTTTCTTTATATTTCAAAAAATTTTTTAAATTTAGTCGAACGATCCATCTGTCATTCGTCAATTGGCCGAGTCTTATTTGATGCGTTATAAAGAATTAGAACGACGTAATAAACAGCAAGCTCATCGATTGGATGCATTAGAAACGCGTGTAACGACGGCCGAAACTGTTTGTTCTGAACAAATGAGGCTTAATAAGGAGGTTAGGATCTTTCAAATTTCTATAAAATTTTAATAGATGGCAGACGAAGCTATTCGAACACTTCGACAATTTGTGGATGCTGAACGGCGTCGTACATCAAACTTAAAATCTGCAAATGCAAGAGTCGATTCATTAACTCTGGATTTGAGCCGTTCTAGAAGTCAATGTGAACAACAAGAACAGACAATTGCTCGACTTGGAGAACAGATTACTTCTCTCAATCAGGTTTTTAACAACAAAAAGTTTGTTAATAATTATTTTTCAAAAGGGATCAGCTTCACTTAATCAGCACGTAAATAAATTACAATCTGACAAAAACATTCTAGCATTGGAACGCGATCGTTTATTACACGATCAAGATAGTTACTTTAATATTTTAATTTTTTAATTTTCCTTTAATCATTAGCTTTGTCAGCTCAGTTAGCTGAAAGAGACGAGATTATTGAAAGTTTTCGTGAAAAAGAGCGTCAAATGTCGGCCGATTTGCGTGAGCGTAAGGCACTCATTGAATCACTTGAGGAGGATCGCGACCAACGTAATCAAGAGCTTGTCAAAGCCCAGCGCGAATTTGAAAAATTTTTGGAAGAAAAGGATGCTGACAATAAGAAATTATTGGTGAGAATTAATTGAAGAATATTTTGGCTTGAATCAAAAATATTCTACTTTAAATAACAAATTTTAAGTCTCCGGATCTTAAACTGATTTTCTTTTAGCCCTAAGAATGAGTTAAGGCTACACAGTCAATTCGAGCCCTTAACAAATTTTGTAAAATAAATTAAAGTAGGAATAACCTAAATTTAAAGAACCGATTACCCTTTGCTCAACCCCGCTTTTATGGGACGAAAAGTGGGTGTTAATAAATTTTATTATATTTCACTTGTCAGGAAACCAAAAAGAAAGAAATTATTTCTGAATTGAAAGCTGCTCATCTGGCTAAAGCTGAAAAATATGAAGAACAACTTCGTAAACAACGTAAAGATTTTCACGATGGTCTTCAAGCGGCATATGGTGAAGTGACAAAATTGGCCGCGCAACGAGATGATTACTACGCCAATTGGAAACGTCTGGAAGGCACACTTGAAGCACATAAACGTAAATTACATGCTGCATTAAGTTAGTGAATTTTTAAATTTTTTTATAGAAAAATCGGTATTTATCCTTTATGCAACATCCTTTTATATTTAATGTAAAAATGAGTCGTATATGATGATAGGTTATTGTTTGAAAAGTTTGTCTTGGTTAAATTTAAAACCCTAATGATATATATTACACTATACTGACTAAAATATATTCCTCCACGATTGATTGTTAATAACTTGTTCAAAATCCATTCTATTCAATCGACGGGTCATTGCTATAACCAAATAAGGGTGTAGCATGAAGGATATTTGCTGGGAAATTGACTATGATTTTTAAAATATGATCGTTTAGGCCGGAAAATGGTCAACAAATGTTCGGAAATGGTTCGCGACTTGAAGGATATTGGAGGTAAAAACTTTTTATTAAAACGCTCAATAGCTATTAAATTATTGCAGGTTATGAGAACGGCCATCCTTCGTCTTCAACTCCTCGTACATTGGAACCGGTAGAAAACGTGGCGCAGCGCTTATTAAATGAATTGGCTGGTCAAGATGAACTTGGAAATCTTATTTGATTGATGGTATAATTTCGGAAAACTAAACAGACTCCGATTGGGACAAATTATATGTCATTCGACTCAGCTCGGCGAGCTGAGTCGAATGACATCAAAATATCGATTGGGACGTAACTATGTGCCGAGTTATAGGTCCAGAAAAATTGAAAAACCATAGGGGGGACCAAGCACTTTTTTGGGGTGAAAAATTCGAAAATGCAAATAATAGCTCATTTGAAAGAGCTCTTCAAGCTGAGTCGAATGACACCAAAATCAGCGAAATCCGACTTGTTTTGACAAAGTTATGCTCGTTTGTTTTAGCTCCTTACCTATGGCCTCCGTGGATGTTCTTGCTGCTGCGGAGGAAGCCGGGCATGCCCATCACAGCGATAATTGGAATAGGATTAAGTTACGAGCCCAGACCCAGCGCCCGTAGACTCCCCGCGAGGCGCGTGCCGCAAAACTCCGCGCGAAGCGCGGAGTTTTGCACAAGCGCCTTGCCGACGCCCCATAGGTTTACGTTGTTTGTTTTTCTGTCATAACTTCGAAAAAACTTAACCAATCACTGCGATTTTGGTATTATTCGACTCAGCTTGAAGAGCTCTTTCAAATGAGCTATTATTTGCATATTCGAATTTTTCACCCCAAAAAGTGCTTGGTCCCCCCTATGGTTTTTGACTATTTCGAGCCCTGTATCTCGGCCCATAGTTACGTCCCAATTGATATTTTGATGTCATTCGACTCAGCTCGCCGAGCTGAGTCGAATGACATATAATTTGTCCCAATCGGAGTCTGTTTAGTTTTCCGAAATTATTCCTCGATTGATAAAACTGAATGGAATATACTAATAAATAAATAAAAACCTCAATATTATTTATGTGCATTTATTGCAATTTTATGTAAAACAATTTAGTTTTTGTGTGGAATTTAAAAACATTAAAATAATTTTAATTAATTATAGTTCGGATTAATTTAATTATTTTTAAAACAAAAAATGAGGATTTAAAAAAACTTTTTATTAAACGCTCAATAGTTAAATTCTTGCAGGTTAAATTCTTGATGGTCGAAGCTGAGTAAATAAAAGAAAAAAATATTTTAATTTTGGGATTATGTGTTGCTAAATGCTTATATAAATTCTTGTATTCATCGATTCTTGTGGCTTTTACCTTTTTAGAATTTTGCCACGTAAAATTAAAGTTATAAAAACTTGGTTTAATGTTATCTATATAACAAAGGGGGAATTTTGTGGAGAGTGATTGACAAAATTGAATTTTTTTATTTTATATTTTTTATAGTATTTACATATCAATTTTGAATAATTTTTATTGTTTTTTATTAAAAATTATTTTATTATTATTTTAAAATTATTTTATTGTTTTTATGTAAATTATATTTAAAAAGTGATTAATAAATAAATAAAATTATTTTTTAAATGATTATTTAAGTATTTTATTCGATTTTTATTCAAGTTTTTGTAATTATTTTAAATTGAAAATATTTTCTAGTACATTAAATCATTACAAAAATATTTAAAAGATTTTTTTTATTTTTTTCCTTAGTTGATTCATGCACTTTTCATTCAAAAAATGTCTTTTTTATGTGCCATTTTCTCTCTTTAACAATGTCCCCCTCCTCCTTCTACACACCTTCCAAATAAAATGAAAATAAAAAAAAGACAATTTTATTTTGTGTCAAAAGCAATTATTAAAAAATTGGCCTGACTTTTACTTAAAAATTTTAAATAAATAAAAATCTCTCTTTCCTTTTTTTAAATTCTGATTTCTAAAAATTAATTTTGTTTATAGATATAATTTATAAAATACCTAATTTTTAAAATGCGTTATCATCCTTTTTGTATTTTCCGAACAAAATATAGAGTTTGCTATTATTTTATTGTAATTACTTCTTTTTTAATATATTCTTTATATATTATTTTCTTCTTAATTAAACAAATGGTAAGAAGTTTTTTAGATTTGAATAATTTTAAAAATTAAATTAGTGGCACCACGAGCCTTCAGGGACAGAAGTGTTGGGTTTCGGGTTTTGTCGGGGTAGAGCCTTCGGGTCGGGGTTCTGGTGGATGATTAAATTTACCCTAATTTAAAGTAAAATTCCTTCTTTCTTTTTTTAGAGTTTCCCTTTTCTTCTTTCAACATTTAATTATTTTCGAAATAATACACAATTTAAATACAAAATAAACGATAATAATGGAAAAGAAGTAATTATTGTTAAATTAATTTTACCAGAAGGTAGCCCTTCTTTAGAAGAACGTGCAACTCTTTCTGATAAAAAGCCTAAAGGTAAATTGAAAGTTTTTCTATTCGGATATTCTTCCTATTTTTGTCTCTTGGAATTTAAGTTTCTAAATTTATATGAGTGAGAGGAAGTATTGTTTTTGGATACTTTTAAGGAATTTAATTAAGTCCTTTTAATAATTAAATGAATATTGTGTTTATTAGAAGATTAAATTCAATTTAAAAATTCAGATCAATCTTTAATTTTAATGTGGGGTGGAGGATTTGATGATACGATAATTCGTGGCTGTTCGTGAGCATTTATTCATATATATTTTAAATATTTTATGTTTTATGTCCCGAATGGAATTGTAAAACAACGGATAATCGTTCAATGTTGGCTAAAGCAAGTGCCGTTATTTTTAATTATGTCGATACAAATGTTGAGAGAAGGCCTGGACAATATTTCGTTTTTTATAGCCAAGTACTTTATTTTTTTTGTAAACATTCTGTAGAAAATCTGTGCTAAATAATTTGAATTCTGTCAGTAATTTTAAAAGAAAATATTCTTCCAAATTAAAAAGAATTTCAAAATAATTAATTTATTCAAAGGAATCACCTATCCACATGTCTATTAATTCCAAATCTGATTTTTTTAATATGAGTTTTGGATTTAGAATGGACACCCCTGGAGCTTCACCTTATGGTAAAAGTTTCCGATTATTTTTTATTTAAAAATATTTTATTTTCAGGTTTTGCAGCATTATTGGCACCCGAATCAAAACCAAATAAAAATAAATTAAATAAACAAATAAATGAATTAATTGCTAAAAAGAGAAAAGATGTAGCTTGGTAATTAAATTAATAAAATTTATTTAAGGCGTTTGCAGTAGTTAAAAAATAAAATTATTGCAAAAAATTTAAAATCAACAAAAAGTTAAAATTTATGGAAATTATTCATTTCTTTTAAGGTTCGTTAGTCATTGTTCAACTCATAGCAAAAGAGAATGGATTGCTAAAGAAATGCAGGTAATTCTAGTGGTTCTGAAACTAAAATTTCAAGAAGCAAGACAAATACTTAAAACCTTTTGATTTTTTACGGTTTCCTTGTAAATCTTGGGTGTCTCGAATGGCTTTAAGTAATTCTAATACTTTTGAAATGAAATATATTTCGGGATAAGTAGAAAAAATTAGACAAAACAAAATAATTTGTTTAATCAAAAAATATATTTATTTTTTTAATTTAGAAATATATTAATGTAGACATTTATGGTAGTTGTGGAACTTTACAATGCTCTAAAGGAGTTGGGTTAAAATGTGTGCAAATGTTGAATACTGAGTAAATATTTTTATTTTTTATTAAAAAATATTTTAAAAATTGATATTAAAAATTGCTTACAAGCATTTGAGGATTTTTTTAAAATTAATTTTCGATACCTAAATTGCTTTTACATTAATAATTTAATAAATATTAATTATTTAAAAATTAATTATTCCATTTAATAAAATTTTTTTAAAGTTATTGGTTTTATTTTGCTGCAGAGAATAGTATATGTAAAGATTATTTAACTGAAAAAATTTGGGATCAAGGATTGAGTACTTTTTCTGTTCCTATTGTTTTAAAAAGAAGTTTAGTTCAACATTTACTTCCTCCTTTCTCTTTTATTGCTGTTGATGATTATAAAAGTATTCGAGAATTTACATATCATTTAAAAACTTTAATTAATACACCACAAGAATATATGTAAGTGAAGGAGGAGGGGGGGGGGGAAATTAATTAATTTTTAATTTAAAGGAAATATTTATTGTGGAGATATGATTATGTATCAATTAAATTAAATGGAGATACAGATCCTAGAGCAGAAAAACTTTTTGGTGTTTGCCAAATTTGTAAATTAACGCAAATGCATCCAAGCCCAATAATTACACTTCCAGCCCCCGTTAATGAATGGTTAAAAAATAAATTTAAATATTTAATTTAATTTTTAATTTATAGGTGGGATAATAGTTGTGATAAATCTGATTTATTAATTAAAAAATTTAAAAAGAATGAATGAGGAAAATTAATTTTTAAATGGGTAATTTATTTATTTTCTCTAGTCAACTTTAATTATTTTTTTCTATGTAAAAATAATTTATTTTTCTCAAAAATTTTAATAAATTAAAAGAAATTAAACATAAAATATTTTTTAATTTAATGTTGCCTTTTTCTAAAAACACTTGTCATATTTGAAGCACTACTCTTTCCACTATTTCCATTGTTTTTCTTATTTCCTTGAATTTCTGCTTCATGATCTTCATCTATATTTCCTTCTTCACTTAAACTATTTTTTTGTTCTGATGATTCTTCTTTTTCTTCTTTACTTCCTCCTTCTTCTTTTTCCTCTTCTTTACTTTCCTCAGATTCAGCTTCTTTAACAAAAAATTTTTTAAATTAAAATTTTAAAAAATATTCTTTTATTTTTTACCTTCACTAACAGATTTTGTAAGTGTATTACTGTGTTTAACTGGTTTAACTACAAATTCTTTAATTTTTTGATTTTTTATTTTATATGAGGAGGAAGTAGTTGTAGTAATTAATTCTTTTTCTTCCTCTTTTTTTATTGTTTTTGTAGTTTTAAAATTTAAAGGAGAAATTGAAGGTGAATAACCTTCTGTTGATGTTCTTTCAATATTATATCCAAAAGTTGTAGAAAAATTATTTAATATTTCTTTCCCCCCTCCATAAATATCTTCATTTACCGAATGTATTTCATAACTTACTGGAGAAATTGAAGGAGTAGAATAAGGAGGAGGAGAAGGCTCTACTAAATTATTATATCCTTCTTCTTTAGCTTCTTTTTTTAAACAAACATCTAATAGAAAAATTATTTTTTTTTTAATTTTTAAATTATTTTAAATACCTTCTTTTTCCTCTTCTCCACCAATTTTATAATGTACCCTTCCATGTTTTGGAGTTGCATAAACCAAAATATATCTATAAATTTAAATATTTAATTAAAATTAATTAATTATTACCGTCCATCTCTGTGTATTTTACAAATTTGGTTACTCCAAAAATGACTTTTACTAGCAAAATCGCTAATAGCAGTAATTACTTCAAATGTTGTATTAAATTTTGCTTCAGTCAAAGCTTGAACTCTATTTGTTATTTTTTGAAGATTACTTCTAAAAATACTTATATCCAATTAAATTCATTATTTATTTACCTAAGAAATATATCCTCTCCCTTTTCTTGAAGCAATCCTTTATAAGCATCTCTCATCGTGTCTTCAAGCTAGAACAATTAATAATAATTATAAAGTAATAAACTTAACCTTAGAATTACAACACATCATTTTATCATCATTAGTATAACATTCTGGAAGGGGATAACGAATATTTCCAAATTCTGGTGATTTTGGTTTTGTTGAAGTCTGTGCTGTTGTTGTTGCTGGAGGCATTGATGTTTGTGGAGAAGGCGAAGGTTGGGCTGGAGTTTGTTGGGCTGAAGGAGATTGGACTGGCGGTGGAACTTGTTGGGCTGGAGGAGGTTGGACTGGCGGTGGAACTTGTTGTTCTTGTGCGGGAAATGGTGGTTCTAAAAATGAAAAAAACTTCTCTTTATATTCAATAAATATAACCGAATGGCTGTTCTTCAGGCGGATATGGAAGTGGCTCTTCGTATGGAGATTGATAGTCAGAAGGATTGAAGTCTGAAGGTGATTCTCCTGCTGATGACGACTGTGACTGTGCTTGTGACTGAGATTGGGATTGAGACTGCGACTGGGATTGTGACTGAGACTGCGATTGCGACTGGGACTGAGATTGTGACTGGGATTGAGGCTGAGACTGAGATTGCGATTGGGACTGTGATTGTGATTGGAATTGAGATTGTGATTCAGATTGAAATTGTTGTGGTTGCTGTTCAAATTCTGGCTGGGGCTCTGGGAATTGTTCTTGAAACGATTGCTGGTTGAACTGCTCAAATTGTTGAGGTTGTACTGGTTGGAAGTTGCTTAATTAAATTTTACAATTTAGATTTCAGGTTATTCTAATATTCTTTAATTTATTAATATTTGCTTACAAATTTGTAGCTGCCGCGGCCGATGCTGCCGCGGCTGATGCAGATGATGCAGCCGCTGGCCCCCCAGATGGTGGAACAAATAAAGGGGGAACAAAAGGAAAGCCAACTCTTTTATTTCTTTTAATTATTTGATCAGTTGAGTTAAAAATGTAGTAGAGAAATTTGGCATTTTTAATTTCTGAAATATTGTTTAAGGGAATAAGTAAATATTTTTTTTATTTTATTTAGCATTAGAAAAGGCTACTAATAATTTTAATTAAATTTTTAAGATTTATTATAGTATTTATATTTACAAAATCAAACCTGTAGAATTTTTCTGTTTAGAAATTCCGGTACTTGCGGGTCCATATAAATTTAAAAATGAATAGAAAAATAATAAATATTTAAAATAATACATTTATTTATTTATTAAATAAAAATAAAAAGAATTTAATAAAAATAAATATGGAGAGAAATTAGAAAGTATAATCTGTTTTATATGTTAACACACATTAGCTAAATAAATTAGTATTAGGTAAAAGCCCCACCTCATTAGGTAACTAATCCAAATTTTACTTTTACACAAATTATCTTTAATCCTTTTTTAAAAAAAGAGTTTTTGCTCAGAAGATATATTTTTAATTCTTTTTTCTCTCTTTTTTCTTAAAAATATTTTTAAATCTCATCATAATATTAAAAATAAATATTTAATTAAAATTAAAATTATTTATAACAAGTTTTTTTTTAAATTTTTTCTTTTTTCGCTTATTTTTTATGCCTCAATAAATTAAATAATTAATTATTTTGGAAACATTTATGTAATAGTAATCTTTTTTTCTCTTTTTTCTTGTCAATACCTTCGAATTAGTTAAAATAAAATTAATGAAAGAAAACAAAAATATATATATTTATTTATTTAATTTTAACCAAATAAAAAATTTTAAATACATACATAGTATTTTAATAAATTTAAAATTAATTTAATTTTAAAGCAAATAAAACTTCGTTTTAACCATGTAAAGGATTAAAACAAATGATTAAATCTTGTAAGAATTAAGTATGTCGAATTATTTTGAATGAATTATTAATTATACTAAGTAGGGTGTTTCAAAACATGCAAATGCATATTTTGTATGCGGATATGAGCTAAAACGCTCAAAAATGATGTTTTTACGTCGGTATGAACTTTAGGGACACGGTTCCTATCAGGGATGAGCGTCATGGCGTTTTGGCGTGACGTTTTGGCGTTTTGGCGTGATTTTTGGCCGATTTTGGCGTCCTGGCGTTTGGCGTGATTTACATCTTTTGGCGCGCCAAAACGCCAAAATTATACACCCCTAATGATGGGAATTTTCCAAATATATGGGGGAAGTGTTTTCAAAAAGATGAAATTTTTTTGCATGCAGCCTTCCAAAATTTGCAAAATTTTCGCCTGCGGCGCACAAACAAGGAAGAAGAAAACACGGAGCCGGACTGAAACCAAGGAACTTTGGCCGCATCAGGTCTCCCCTGTTCTCTCCGATAGATGTCCGAACTTAATGCACTTTTCTTCAATTCTCCAATATCCATCAAATCCTATTAATCTACCAAAGTCCACTAATGTCCTCCTTAATCCTTTCTAAGTCCCTTACTTCGGGAGGTTAAAGAGGATATCTGGACATCTAAACCCTTCGATATTCTACAATTCTGGGGTTGTAATTTTTCCATTTTTCTTGAAATTTTTTGGAAAAAGTAGGATTTCTGCTTTTGTTCTTAATAAATTTCCATAATTTTGGGTGTAGGCACTAAAAAAGGATGATTTTGGCTTCTGGAAGTCATGATAATTCAAAAATTTCGCCTGCGGCGCTAAAAAGAGATAAACACTTGTTTTTGGGCCTTAGTTGAATAAAATTTTTGGCGTTTGGCGTTTGGCGTTTTGGCGTCGTTTTTTGCCGATTTTGGCGTTCTGGCGTTTGGCGTGATTTGAAAATTTGAAAAATTGGCGTTTGGCGTTTGGCGCGCCACGCGAAAATTCTGGCGCACATCCCTGGTTCCTATAGCATAGCATATTTTTGCATATTTCGGCATTTTGTGCATATTTGCATATTTATGCATATTTAGGCAATTTTTTTGATCATTTTTCTTTACAATTTTTTAAAATATTAGTTGTCTGACTTAAGAAAATTAAAAAAAATTTTTTTATAAATTAAAAGTCCGTAAAATCTTTTAGAAGTGCTTTTAAATTGGAGTTTTAAAGACTAAATTATAATTTTTACTTAAAATATTTATATTTGAAGCACATTTTTAATGCTTTTTTGCTGCATATCTAGTTTGCTTATTTTAATGCTTATTTAAGGGCTTTTTCGATGCATATACATGTACATATTTTTGGATTTCTCTTGCATATTTTGAAACACCCTAATTATTAGTATGGCAAAAAAGACTGGAAAGTTGGTAGAGCTAACCGATATTTAATTGAATTTAAAGAAATATATCTTATTAAAAGGTTAATGAATTTTTTATTTTAATTTTAAATAAATAAAATAAATAATAATTATGTATGTATAAACAAATTAATTTTTATTTAACAGCAATTAATTTTTTATTTAAAATATTTCCATTCCTTTTCCTTTTTCCATGAATTACTGCCTCATGATCTTCATCGTCTTTATTATTATTATTTGTTTTTTCTGAAGATTCTTCTACTTCCTCATCCTCTTTTACATTTCTTTCATTTGAATATTCTATTTTAAAAGAAATTATTTAAAAATTAATTTTTAAATAAAGTAAATATCCTTTACTAACTACCCTGGATAATTATTGCTTCGACCTTCCACTGTAGGGGGTAATTAATCGAGGGAGGGTAATTATACGAGGTTTGAAATTTAAACCTTTATTATTTATAGAGGTTGGAGGGGTTTGTTGCTCTATTGGGGCTGCAACAATTTCCTCATTTTTTGATCCATAAGCAAAAGTAGTTGTTGTTAAAGTTTGTATTATTCCATAGATATTTTCATTTTTATCAGTTTTTGAAGAGGGGGAATATTCATTTAAATTATTTAATTCCTCATTTTCTTTATTATTATTTCCTCCAAATTTTTTAAAATTATTTTCTCCATCAGAAGGGTTATTCCCTTTTTTTCCAAATTTTTGTAATCTATTTTTAATACTCTTTGAATGTTTAACCATTTCATTTAGTGATAATCCTAAAATAATTTTCTTTAAAAATGTTTAAACAAATATTCTTTACTTAATCCTTTATGCCAGACCCCCTCTATTATTTCCAATTTTTGGGTGATAACAAAAAAGAGGGGAGTCGAACGGACAGAAATTAGCGAGTTTATACGAATTTCAACAGGCAAACTAGACCAATCAGTTATGAAGGTGTTGATCGAATTAAGATTATTATTTAATGTCGGATAGTTTGTTTTTAAAAATAGTTCAGTCAGATAACAGCGTCAATTCATAAATTTAACCAAGACCAACCGAACATTTGGCCCAAATTTATTAGAAGACCCTGATCGACATTAATTTGATTCACACGTTCCAAATTTTCTGAAACTAGCACATTCCATTAAAAATTAAGGGGTGTTGCATAAAGGATAAGTACCAATTCTTCATATACCCGTCTCTCCTTCAACATTTGATGGAATGGAATCTCTATCATGTTTTGGAGTTGCATAAACCAAAATAACTCTATTTATATGTTAATTTAGTATTTATTTAATTAATATAGTACCTTCCTTCTCGATGTATTTTGCAAATATAATTTTGAAAAAAATGGCTTTTACTAGCAAAATCACTAATTCCAGTAATTACTTCAAAATTTGTTTTAAATTTTGCTTCAGACATTTCTTGAATTTTATTGGCCATCATTTGAAGATTACATCTGAAAATTAAAAATAAAATTAATATTTGTATTTTATTTAGTAAGAGATTTGTAAATTGCTTATCGACTTGGTTATTGGGGCGCTGCTTTAAGCTTTCTTCTTTAATCTTGAACCTCTGCCTAAACATTCTAAATGCTAACAGCATCTGGATCTACTTATCCATTCTTCTTCCTTACAATTTACCTGTGAAATGTTGAATTTCCCTTTTCACGAATTAATGTTTTATAAGCGTCTTTCATTGTATCTTCCAACTAAATTAAATAAATTAAATAAATATATTTAAATTTAAATATGTACTTCAGGATTACAACACATCATTTTATCATCATTTGTATAACATTCTGGAAGAGGATAACGAAGAAGTCCATTACGAGCACAAATAGCAGCAGCTGATTCCGTTGTTGGTGTTGGAAGAGTAGTGGATGGTGGAGATGTTGTTTTCGGAGGGAGTGGAGAAGGTGGGTGGAGAAGGTGGTTGGTTCTGTTGTTGGCGTTAGAACTGGTTGCTGGTTCTGTTGTTGATGTTGGAACTGGTTTTTGGTTCTGTTGTTGGCGTTGGAACTGGTTGCTGGTTCTGTTTTTGGTGTTGGAACTGGTTCTGTTTTTCTCCACCATTTTCAACAATGGTGGAGATGTTGTTTCCGGAGGTGGGGGTGAAGGTGGTTCAATTGTAGGAGGTTGGATTGTTTCAACTTGTTGTGGGGTTGGTATTGTAGTTATTGGAAGTTCTTAATTGTTTAATTAATATTTCAAACAGTGAGTATATATTTATAACCAAATTGTTCCTCGAGTTGAGGTGGTGGTGGAGGGGGTTCTTGGTTTTCGGGCGAAGGTGGTGGGAGAGCTAAGGGTGCTTCACCGGCCATTTCAGGTTGAACTGGTTCTGGTTGAAATTGTTCTTGAGTTTGTGGTTCTTGTTGTGTTTCGGGTTCCTGTTGAGGCTGTGGTTGTTCTTGAGGTTGTTCTTGGAAGTTTTGCTGAGGTTGTTCTTGGAAAGTTTGTTGATTAGATTCTTGGAAAGTTTGTTGATTAGATTCTTGGAAACTTTGCTGATTAGATTCTTGGAAACTTTGCTGATTAGATTCTTGGAAACTTTGCTGATTAGATTCTTGGAAACTTTGCTGATTAGATTCTTGAAATTGTGGCTGCTCTGGTTGATTATTACTTAAATGAAAAATATTTTTAATTATAATTGCTTTCACATACCTATTTATTAATTAAAAATAAATTACTTACAAATAGTTATCAGCAGGCTGAGGTCCTTGTAACGATTGTGGACTTTGCACTGGTTGACTTTAAAGGACTTTTTTTATAAATATAAGGAATTCTCAATTAATTTAATTAATTCTTTTATAATAAAAATATTAAATAATTACAAATTAGCTGGCGCCTGTGCAGTAAGGTTGGCGGATCCGTACATCCGGATCCGAAAAAAGGCAGGATATCCGAAATTTTCGGTTCGGATACAGGATCCGGATACCGAAGATTTCCAACTATCCGCCAACCTTACTGTGCAGCCACAGGTGCTGGAGGGAACATCTGAAATGGTTGTTGAGGCTGTACTGGTTGGAAGTTACTTAATAAAATTTTACAATTTAGTTTTCAGGTTATTCTAATGTCTTTTAGGTTAAACAAAATTCAGCAGGATACCTAATTGTTAAGACTAACTTTTTAGGTTTAACTTTTAATGTTGGCGTTTTTACTAAAACAATTCAATCGAAAATTGGTAGTAGTGATATATCATGTTCTTCTAATATAATCCCACTTTTTTTCTCAACCCGGCTCATCTCTGGTTTTGATAACAAAAGATTAAAAAAATATTTGATTAAAATCAAATAAAAATAAGTTAGTATATTATTTTTTAATTTATTAATATTTGCTTACAGATTTGTAGCCGCGGCCGTTAAAGATGCTGCTGCATTCGCTTGAGCAGATAATGCAGCATTCGCTGCAGCAGATGCTGACGCAGATAATGCAGCAGGTGGAGCTGGAGGAACTAATAAAGGTGGAACAGGTGGAGCTGGAGGAAATAAAGGTGGAACAAAAGGAGGAAAGCCAACTCTTTTCTTCCTTTTAATTATTTGATCGGTCGAGTTAAAAATGTAGTAGAGAAATTTGGCATTTCTAATTTCTGAAATAATTAAAAAAAATTTTTAAGGAATAGGTAAATAAATTCTTTTCTATTTTATTTAGCACTAGAAAAGGCTACTATGTAATAATTTTAATTAAATTTTTTAAATCTCAAACCTGTATAATTTCTCTGTTTAGAAATTCCATATAAATTTAAAAATAAATAGAAAAATAATAAATATTTAAAATAATACATTTATTTATTTAAAATAAAAATGAAAAAATTTAATAGAAATAAATATGGAGAGAAATTAGAAAGTATAATTTGTTTTATATGTTAATAAGGTAAATGTCCACCTCATTAGGTAACAAATCCAAATTTTACTTTCACACAAATTATCTTTAATCTTTTTTTAAAGAGTTTTTGCATAGAAAATATTTTTTTGGATTAATTCTTTTTTCTCTCTTTTTTCTTAAAAATATTTTTAAATCTCATCATAATATTAAAAATAAATATTTAATTAAAATTATTTACAACAAGTTTTTTTTAATGTTTTCTTTTCACTTATTTTTTACGCTTATTTTTTTTCTTACTTTTTCTTTTTTTCTCTTTTCTTTTGACAATACCTTCGAATTAGTCAAAATAAAATTACTTAAAAGAAACAAAAAAAATATTTATTTATTTAATTTTAAACAAATAAAAACTTTTAAATTAATTTAAATCGAAAACCTAATAAAACTTCGTTTTAACCATGTAAAGGATTTTAACAAATGATTAAATCTTGTAAAAACTCAGCTCATCGAATACTTACTTTTGAATGAGTTATTATAAAGGTGCCAAAAAAGACTGAAAAAAAGGAGGGGATAACTGATATTTAATTGAATTTAAAGATATATTGTAAAGCTTTTAATAACTACTCAGAGTAATTATTGTTTCGATCTTCCGTTGGAGAGAGTAATTAATCAAGGGAGGGCAATTATATGAGGTTTGAAATTAAGAACGTGTTTTGAAGCAATTGATGTGGGGGGGGGCAATTATTGTCTCAGCCTGTCGCTGGAGGGGGTAATTAATAGAAGTGGGGTAACTAGTTAAGGAGGGCAATTAATACAGGCTAGACTGTATTTTTATACTATTTAAAAATTAAAATAAAATTAATTTTTTATTTTAATTTACTGATAATTAATAAAAATTAAAAAAATAACTAAAATAAATAATTTATAAACAAATTAATCTTTATTTAATAGCAATTAATTTTTTATTTAAAATATTTCCACCAGTTTTTCTTTTTCCATGAATTACTGCCTCATGATCTTCATCGTCTTTATTATTATTATTTGTTTTTTCTGATGATTCTTCTACTTCCACATTTCTTTCATTTGAATATTCTTTTTTAAAGAAATTATTTAAAAATTAATTTTTAAATAAAGTAAATGTCCTTTAATAACTACCCTGGATAATTATTGCTTCGACCTTCCACTGTGGGGGGTAATTAATCGAGGGAGGGTAATTATACGAGGTTTGAAATTTAAACCTTTATTATTTATAGAGGTTGGAGGGGTTTGTTGCTCTATTGGGGCTGCAACAATTTCCTCATTTTTTGATCCATAAGCAACAGTAGTTGTTGTTAAAGTTTGTATTATTCCATAGATATTTTCATTTTTATCAGTTTTTGAAGAGGGGGAATATTCATTTAAATTATTTAATTCCTCATTTTCTTTGTTATTATTTCCTCCAAATTTTTTAAAATTATTTTCTTCACCAGAAAGGTTATTCCCTTTTTTTCCAAACTTCTGCAATCTATTTTCAATGCTCTTTGAATGTTTAATCATTTCATTTAATGATAATCCTAAAATAATTTTCTTTAAAAATGTTTAAACAAATATTCTTTACTTAATCCTTTATGCCAGACCCCCTCTATTATTTCCAATTTTTTGGGTGATAACAAAAAAGATATCTCACGACTAGTAGAGTCGATCGGCCAAAAATTAGCGAGATTAGACGAATCTAAATAGGTTAACTAGATCAATCAAATATGAAGGTGTTGATCTAATCAAGATTATTATTTATGTCGGATAAATGCTGTTCAGTCAGATAAAGCGTCAATTCATTATACTACGCAATTCATAAGATTTTTAAATTTAACCAGGACCAACCGGACATTTAGACCAAAGTAAATAGAAGAACCCTGAACGACCCTAATTTGATTCACACGCTCCAAATTTATTGAAATTAACACACTCCATTAAATATTAAGGGATTTGCATAAAGGATAAGTACCGATTCTTCCTTACCAGTCTCTCCCTCAACATTGGATGGAATAGAATCTCTATCATGTTTTGGAGTTGCATAAACCAAAATAACTATATTTTATATGTTAATTTAGTATTTATTTAATTAATATAGTACCTTCCTTCTCTATGTATTTTACAAATATAATTTTGAAAAAAATGGCTTTTACTAGCAAAATCACTAATTCCAGTAATTACTTCAAAATTAGTTTTAAATTTTGCTTCTGACATTTCTTGAATTTTATTGGCCATCATTTGAAGATTACATCTGAAAATTAAAAATAAAATTAATATTTGTATTTTATTTAGTAAGAGATTTGTAAATTGCCTATCGACTTGGTTATTGGGGCGCTGCTTTAAGCTTTCTTCTTTAATCTTGAACCTCTGCCTAAACATTCTAAATGCTAACAGCATCTGGATCTACTTATCCATTCTTCTTCCTTACAATTTACCTGTGAAATGTTGAATTTCCCTTTTCACGAATTAGAGTTTTATAAGCGTCTTTCATTGTATCTTCCAACTAAATTATATAAATAAATATATTTAAATTTAATTACCTCAGGATTACAACACATCATTTTATCATCATTTGTATAACATTCTGGAAGAGGATAACGAAGAAGACCATTACGAGCACAAATAGCAGCAGCTGATTCCGTTGTTGGTGTTGGAAGAGTAGTGGATGGTGGAGATGTTTCTTCTGGAGGGGGTGGTGAAGGTGGTTCAATTGTAGGAGGTTGGATTGGTTCAACCTCTTGTGGAGGAGGTATTGTGGTTATTGGGGGTTCTAATTTGTTTAATTAATATTTTAAACAGTAAATATATATTTATAACCAAATGGTTGTTCCTCGGGTTGAGGTGGTGGTGGAGGGGGTTCTTGGTTTTCGGGCGAAGGTGGTGGGAAAGCTAAAGGTGCTTCACCAGCCGGTTCAGGTTGAACTTGTTCTGGTTGAAATAGTTCTGGTTGAAATTGTTGTTGCGTTTGTGGTTCTGGTTGAGGTTGTGTTTCAGGTTCCTGTTGAGGCTGTGATTGTTCTTGAGGTTGTTCCTGGAAGGTTTGCTGAGGCTGTTCTTGAACAGTTTCTTGAGGTTGTTCTTGGAAATTCTGTTGAGGTTGTTCTTGGAAAGTTTGTTGATTAGATTCTTGATATTGTGGCTGTTCTGGTTGATTATTACTTAAATAAAAAAATGTTTTTAATTATAATTACTTTCGCATATTTATTAAATTAAAATAAATTACTTACTAATCGACATTTACAGGCTGAGGTTCTTGGAACGATTGTGGACTTTGCACTGGTTGACTTTAAAGGGATTTTTTATATAAGGAATTTTTAAAAATTTTTATGGGAATTAATTTAAAAGAAGAAATCTTAATTTTATTTTAATAAATTAATTTTTTTATTATACATATGTAAGAATATTTATTAAATATTTACAAATTAATTGGCGCCTGTGCAGGTACAGGTGCCGGAGGGAATAATATAAGTGGTGGTGCAACCATAGGGAAACCACTTCTTTTCCATCGTCTAAAAATCTGTTCCGCAGAGTTAAATAAATTATGGACAGACTTATTCTTTTTAATTTCTAAAAAAATAATTTTTTAATTTTATACATCAGATGTTTTTTAAAATATTTTAAAATATTTTATTAATTTTTTCTTTGATTTACAAATTGTATTTCATTTTTCAATAAATATTTAGAATTTAGCCAAATGTAATTGAATTTTTTTGTTTTTCAATAAATTAAAAAAGTTATTTAAAATCATAAACAATAAATTCGAATATTCTCTCTCAACGCAATTTTATTAAAATTATTAAAATTTATATTTATCTTAAATTGAATTAAATGAAATTATTTAATTAAATTTTAAAAATAATTTTAAATAATAAATAATAAAATTAATAAAATTTAATTTTAATAAAATTAAAATTTAATAAATTAATAAAATAATATTTTAATAAATTAATAATTTAATAAAATTAAAAATAATAAAATTTAACCTGAATTATTTTGATTAGAAATACTAGATTGTTTTATAAATAAATACAAAAATATTAAAAATTTGGAGGAATACATTGAGAATATTTTTAATATTATTTTAAAAAAATTTTTTAATGGAGGTTGATAAATGAATAAATAAATATATTTATATAGTTTTTGATAAAAGGATGTTGATTTAATTTTTATAAAACAAAACCTCTTTTTTAATTAATTTACTTAAAAATTGTTAGAGTTCCTTTTAAGGGATTTAATAATTGCAATTAAATAACAACAAGTTTTTATTTATTTTAAAGTTAATATTTTTTCCATCCAATTTATCATCATGCATCAATAAATAAATTTTAAAGATTTATATATTTATAGTTAATCCTTTTAAATTAAAGTTGGCGGATATAATAAAATTTCTTCCTTAAATATATATATTCTAATTATTTGGATCTGTTCTTATCTAACTTATTAAATAAAAAATATATTTTTAAAATCAAAGAATTATTTTGTTAAATAAACAAATTTAAATATTAAAAAGTAAAATAAAATTTATTTAAAAAATTAGATTAAATAATTTATATCTTTATTTTTTTCATTACTATCGAAATCCTAATTTTAATGATTAAAAACATCTGGGTACTTTAGTTAAACTAACAATTAACTTCGTTTATTATTATATTTAAGGGAAAAAGTGTCCATCTGTCATTTTCATACTTTACCAAAAAATTTTCTGAGGTAAAATTTTTGTTATTTTTTTATAATTTTAATCAAGAACCCATAAATCCTGGGAAATAACTTTCCAAATAATGACGTGCTTTCCTCTATATTCTCTTTATTTGGTTGAGCCTCGATTTTGGGTGTTTTGTTGGATTTTTGGATTAATAAAATTGAAATGGTGGTTAGCAGTGAAAATGACGTCTCTCACATTAGCTTACTTTTAAAATAATTTAATTCTTTATCATTATGTGCCCACTATATTATATTGAAAGGAGATATTATTTTTTGACATTACCTTTGTGCAATAAATATAGTACAAAAATGTATCTAACAATAAGACCAAAAACTTTCAAGAACATGAGGCCAATATTTAACCCTCAAAGACCAAATTAAAACTAAAAAAATTCTTTTACTTTTTTTAAATATTCATTTTGAAATATGATATAATTTACTCGTTATTTAAAAATATATTTACATAAAGTATTTTAATTGTACTTTTATTTCTTTTTCTTTTTTCTAATTCCCTTCATTATCATCTGCCCTTTATAATAAATTTTTATAAAATTATTTTTTTTGTATTTTTAAGCTAAACAAATAAAATATTTATTAAATCAATTTTTTATATTTTAATTAAAAATATTGTTTTTATTTTAAATTAAATTAAACTTTTTTTCATTTTTTACTTTAAAATTAAATTAATATTTTTTTAAATTAACTCTTAATTAATTTAACTTTTCCACTATAACTTTTCCCCTTTTCCCCTATATTTATTTTTTAAAGGTTAAAAAAATTATTTTTTAATTTCCGATACTTTTTTATTTCCCCTCTTAATTTATATTTAAATTATAAATTTAAATATTCTCTCAAAATATTCTAACAAAATTTGTAAAATTTAAATTTATTCTTTTCAAAATTATTTCTTTCTTTTTTTACCCATCAATGATTTTTCTATTTATTTTTTAATATTTCTTGACATTTAAAATAATAAAATGGCATTACACTACTAATTTTCTAAATTTAAAAAATAAAAAATATTTAAATATTTAATTTATTTTATTAAAAAATATTTTTTTTAATTTCTATGCAAATTGAAATAGGTATTTTGAATATTTTGTTTTTGTAAAATTAAATAAAAATAACTTTTTAAATTTAAAATAATTTTTTTTTAAAATATTTTTTATCATCTTAAATTCATTAAAAATCCTCTGTTATATTTTTTAAAGTTCGTGAGTTCTCGACATGGTTAAGCCCAATTTTATTATTTTTCTTTATTTTATTATCTCTTGGTGGTTTATTATTTTATAATTAATTATTATTTTTATTATTTATTTTGTGTACATTCTTATTTTTTTAAATTAAATTTATTTTATTTTATTATTATTTTATAAACACATTCATTCTATTTTTCATTTAAATTTTATAAATTAATTTAATTTTTCAATTAAGTTACAATATTATTTAGAGAAAGTTTTATTAAAATAAAAATATTTTTTTACCTTTTAATGTCTTCCTCTTTATTTTTTGTCGAAAAATTCTCGACATGGTTAAGCCCAATTTTATTATTTTTCTTTATTTTATTATCTCTTGGTGGTTTATTTGGAAATAGTTTAGTTATTGGTGCTGTAATTGGAAACAAAAAAATGTGTAAATCTGCAATGAATTTAATGCTAATTAATTTAGTTTATTAATTTTAAAAAATCAAAATAATTTTATTTTTTAAAGGCTCTCGCTGATTTATTTAATTTAGCTTTAACTTCGTTAGAATGGGCCCCAACTCTTTGGATTGGTCGTCCACATTGGCCTATAAATTGGCGTTGGGGTTGCCCTTTAGTTAGGTATTTTGAATGTGTTTTCCTTTTTGCTTCAATTTTAAGTCAATTAATTGTTTGTATTGAAAGGTTTTTTGTTAGTTAATTATTTAAAAATTAATTTAAAAAAAAAAAGATTTATTGCAATTTGTTATCCTCTTCAAGCTCGTAGATTATGTTCAAATAAAAAGGCTATTTATTCACTTATAATTATTTGGATTTTTGTTTTATTATTTTCTCTTCCAAATATTTTATTTAATAGAAGAATTAATTTATTTATTAATTTGTCAGAAAATAATAATGAACATTTAAGTATACTTTTTAAAATTCTTTTAAGGAATTCAAAAAAAATTATTTTTTTAGCAATTTGTATAAATCCTTGGTCAAGTCGCCGTTCTTGGATTATTTATAAATGGGCTGAATTTATTTTATTTTTCTTTACTCCGGCTATTTGTTGTGTTTTGCTGTATTCTCAATTATTTTTAACTTTAAAAAATCCAACAACCGGCTCTTTTTCAAGTTTATCTAAAGAAGTGTTTTTACTTGACAAAAATACTTATAAACGTATTTATGCAAGAAGGAGGGTTGTTAGAATGTTAATTGGGTGTGTTGCTGTACAGGTATAATTAATTGAAAATATAAATACTAAATTAATTAAATATTTATTTTAAAGTTACTTTGTTATTCACCAATTCAAGCAATTTTCTTGGCAAAGTAATTTAAATTAATTAAAAATAATTAAAAATAAATATTTTTTTAAAAAAGGTCTCTCTTTAATTTAACATTTTTCATTCCTTATGGACTTGTTCTTCTATTAAATGCTTTAACATTAGCTTGTTCAGCAGCAAATCCTCTATTATATACTTTATGTTCAAGCAATTTCCGTGATAGAATTAAAGAAATGATTTTAAAAGAAACAAAACAAGATTTACATCCAACATCCTTTAAAATTGCTGTTGCAAATAGAAAATATATTAAAAATAAAGAAAATGAAAGAATATTTTTAGAAGAGAAAGAAAAAGTTTTAAATAATTGTTAAAAAATATATTGTTTTTTAAATAAATTTTTGGAATTATTTTGTTTTTTAATATAAATTAGTTTTTTGAGATTATTTTACTTTTTAATAAATTGTTATTGAATATCTCGATATAACAAACTCGAAAGGATAGAAGGATCGAGATAGCATTAATTACTTGAAGGAACTACATATACAAATAATTAATTGTTAATTAACAAAATATCCACTTAATTATTTATTGAATTCGGCAGATAAATTCTTTCTCACTCTTTTTTTAAAGAAATTATTTAAATATTTATTTAAAAAATCCAAGTTTGACAAATTTATTAAAATCTTTTTTTTTAAAACACTTTTCCCTAATTTCTTTCCATGCATTTTATTTTCTTTTTTACATATATCCCTTTTTCCCTCAATTCTAGTACATATTTCCACCTACCTCCACCCAAAACAATTTCCAACCGGCAAAAATATCGACCCAGCTCTGGTCATTGCTGCCACCCTTTTGCTTTTTATTTTTCTAAAAAGGCGAAAACAAATTTTGAAAAAATAATGGAGAAAATATTTAAAGTTTGCGCAATTATACAAAAATTGCTATAATTAAAAATTTTTTTTATGTATTTTCTCGAGAATATATTTAAATTTAAATATTTAAATACATATTTAATTTTAAATATAGTATTTTGCAGTAAACAATTATTTCATTTATTAATCCAACTTCAAAATTCTAACTCTTACATATTACAAAATCATTAAAACTTATTTTTAATTTAAAGGTGTAATGTATTATTACAATTTCAATAATTTTTTAATTATTCAATTAAAATTTTTAAAAGCAACCAAAAATGTTTCTTATTTCATTCATTCATTTAATAATTCTTTCAACAAAAATAAATAATTATAATTATTTAATTAATTTAATTAATTTATTTTTTATTTTACAAATTCTTTATCTTCTTTGGAAAATCCTTCTAATTCTTTTTTTATTTTTTATTAAAATTTACAATTTATTAAATAAACAACAAATTGTAATTAATATTATTATTTTAAAAAATAACAAAAAATTAAAAAGAAAAAGGAAATTTGTTGAGGTTGAATTTATTTAAATAATTAAATATTTTTTAAAAATTATTTTTTTATTTCCCCCTTCTTTATTTATTTAAAATCTTATATTTTCTTTAATCTTCTTTATTATTATTTTCTAATTAATTTAAACAAAAAAACTAAAAATAAATACAAAGTTTTTACTTTACTAATTTTTTGCAACTGTTTGCAATAAATATATATTTGAATATAAAATTGTCATAGCAACCAAAATGGCCGAGAAAAATGGCCAAAAAAGTGCGCGAATCTCTCGTTTTTCCTTCTTAATTTTTCTTTGAAATGGCCATTCTTTCCTTTTTTAAATTTTTATTTTACTTTTAAGTCCTCTTCTTTTAATATTTTTAAAAATTTTAAATAAATTTAAAATAAAAATTTTCTGTTTTTTCTTAGCAATTTATTTAAATTTAAATATTTTTTCTTGGAAATATAATTATAGTGGGAATAAAATAAATTTATCTATAATTTTCTCATTTTTATTTCAATTTAAAAAGTATTTTCTCCAAATAGCATTTTGAAAAACCGGATGCCCCTTCCTTTGCTAATTGCAACTTTTGCCAAACGAGGCAACGGCGGATGTTGTTATTTACGCCTTCTGTCGCAGCCGCATTCTGTTCAAGTTATGATAAACGGAAAAAGGTAGTTTTAAATTTAAAAATATTTTTTCACCTTCTCATTTAAAAATAGAATAGTTTAAAATAATTTTTTGAAATAATTTTCTTAATTTAAAATAGTTTACTCAATAAATTAAAATAAAAAACATAATTTTTAACTTTAATTGAATCTTATTTTTCCCCAGTATCACAAACCTCTATCATTAAAAGGAAGAGGTATGTCTGTGCCTAGTTTATATTTTGGTGAAGAAAATGAAGAAATGGAGACATCCGGTGCTTTAAATGAAAATATTCCCCAACAATCCTCCCTCGTTGATTTACATCAAATTCCCGGTGAACTTTGGTTAACTCGAAGAAGAATTGAAGCTGGAGTTAGAGAACAAAGAAAGCAAAGAGAAATGTTAACAAATGTTCAGGAAAGATTGGCACAATGCCGATTAGAAAGAACAAAACAATCAAAATTTGAAAGAAGAATTACTAGTCCATTCCGTTTGCCACGTAGTCATTCACCTCCAAATTCTTCTGAAAGATTGTTTGTAGTTTTTATTATTTTGTTATAAATTTAAGAAAGATTATTTAAATTTATAAAATATTTTTTAAATTTAATTAAGACTTAATAAGATTAAAAAGTCTTTAAAATTTTTTTTAATTTAATTAAATTTTTAGTGCCCCAACATATCATCTTCCCGACAGACCCAGTACTTCCCATAAAAGACAACAAATTAGTACATTTGCCACAACTACTGGAGATGAATTTTCTAGAAATATATTTAATGAAGATGAAAGTATACCAGAAAGACAATTTAGGTAAAAAAAATAAATTATTTATTTAATTAAAATTATTTAAAAAAAGGAATCGTTTAACTGCATTAGAACAACAAATGGAACGGTTAAATTTATTTACTGCTCAATCTCTTTCCTCAAAATTAGAAGAAAATTTTTTTCAAGAAAAAACTAAAAAAGAATTAATTATTAAAATAAAAACAAAAGAATTAATTGAAGAATTTATTAAATTAAAAAGAAAAATTAATCAGTTACGAGAAAATACTAAATTAGAATTAAAAGAGGTTAATTCTGAATTTGGAGAAAGAATGGAATCATTGATGAGACAATTAAAAAGAGAAATTATTTTGGTAAATTTGGGGGAATGAATTGAATTTAAAATTAAATATTTAATTAAAATATACCTATAAATTATTTAAAAATATAATTTTAGTTACTAAATTATAAAAATATTAAATTCATAGAAACGCCGTACTTTAACTGATGAAGTTGAAAAATCAAAGGAGAAGGAAATTAATAATTTGCGCGCAGAAAATCAGAAAGTAAATATATAATGTTAAAAATTTTTTAAAATTATTTTATCTTCTTTAAAATTTAATTTTCTGTTTGTTAATAATTTAATATTATTATAAATTAATTAATTAATTTTATTCTTAGTTAATTTCCTCCTATGAAGATGCAGAAACTCGAGCAGAATTATCAGAAAATCGTTTAAAAGAAGTATTCGAAAGAATATGGTCAATTCCTTCTTTAAATAATGAAAATATTGAAAATTCTTTTTCTTCAATTTCTTCCAATAATTACCTCCCTTCTATTGATAATTTAATAATTGCTATACGTTTATCAATTGACCGGGCATCTTCTTCTTCTTTAGAGGCATATCGAGCACAAGCAAGAGAAGAATTAATAAATGAACGATTAAAAAGTGAAAAAGAATTGAAAAATATTGAAAAGTTTAGTGGAAAATTAATTAAAATAACATAAATAAAATTTAAATATTTTCAATTTAGAGAAACAAAACTCCAATTTGAACGCCGAGAATCTGAATGGGCTGCTGAACGTCTCGAGCTTTTAACTGAATTAGAAAATGAAAGAGCTAATAAATCTATTGAGAGTGAAAAAATAGAGGCTAAAAGGGTGGAGATGGATAAATCACAAATGAGAATTCAGAGTTTGGAAGAGGTAAAAATAATAAAGGAATTGAATTGAAAAATTATTTTTAATTTTTATTTCAATTATATTCAATTTTTCATAAATTTTCTTTCATTTTCAAGCAATTAAATCGTCTCTCCATAGAATTGGCTTTTGAAAAAAATAAATATTCAACAGAATTAATTGAAAATAATGAAAGATTCCAAACAGAAATAACCGAATATCAGACAACTATTGTCGATTTAGAGGAACAATTATTTGCTGAACAAAAAGAACGACAAACAATTCAAGCAGTAACAAATGAATTAAAAGAAGCAAAGAATGCATTAAATGAGTAAGTTTAGACTGTTTTAGGATTATTACTCTATTAATTATCCTGGGTAATTATTGTTTCGACCTCTCTCTGGCGAGGGTAATTGATAGGAATAATTATTTTCTAACCTATCGCTGAAGGGGGTAACTAATAGAGGTGGGGTAATTATTTGAGGGAGGGTAATTAATAGAGTATATATGGTATATCTATTCTATAATTACATAAATTCTCAATTTTAAATTTTAATTTAAAAATGTTTTAGAAAATTGCTTGCAGCTTCAACACGATTATCTAATGTAGAATCCCAATTAGGCATTGCTTTGCAAAACACAGAGGAGATAACGACAACACTTCGTAGAGAAGGACGGGATTTGGCTAATAAACTTGTTGATTCTGAAGCAGAAATTGAAACACTTAAAGGTAATTTTAATTTTTTAAATGTTAAATAATTAATTAAATTTTTGGATTTTTCTCTTTTTTCACTCTTAATATTTTTAAATTATTATTTTAACAATTATATTTATTTAATTTTAAACAGAACAATTAAAAACATCTGAAAAACGATTAAAAAAAGAAAGAAATGAATGGCACGTAGATATTGAACGTGCTGACAAAGATTGGAAAGCACAAAGTAAATTACTTACAAAAGCAGAAACACAAAAAGTAAATAGAAAAAATATTTTTAAAAATTAATTTTTTAATTTACATTTTTTCAGAAAGAATTAATTAAAGAATTAAATATAGCTAATTCTAAATTAAATGAAATTGAACACAAATTGGAATCTAGAATTCAAAAAGAACAAACTTTACGGGCAGAATTAATTAAAGTAAGAGAAGAATTGACAGAGGAGAGAATTCAGGCAGAAAATGTTTTTGAGGAGAAAGAAAAGGAATTTAAAAAAGAATTGGAAAGGTATTTAGTAGGGGAAGATATTTTTTAAAAAATTATTTTTTTTTGAAGATTAAAATTTGAATTAAATGAACGTTCAAATGAATTAACTTTAGCAATTGAAAGAGAAGCAGAATTAACTGTTAAGCTTGAAGATGCTGAACACAGACTGACTAAAGCGAGTGAATTATGTAAAAGATTAACTAAAGAACTGGATGAACTTAGGTAAATTAATTGGGGAGGGAGGGGGAAGTGTTTTTAATTTTTTATTTAATTTTTAAGCGAAAAAAGTTTTGTTCAAACTACCTCAACAGAAAAATTGTTAGCCGATTTGGATGAAGCAAAAGGGGAAATAATTATTTATAAAGGTTCTTTGGAAGAACAAAAACGTCGAAATATTCAATTAGAAACAGAAATTAGACAATTAGAAAAAGGTTTTAAAAAGAAATTAAATTAAAAAAATAATAATTTATTTAAAGAACGTGTCAGAATTGAAAATATTTTTGAAAAATGGAAAAATAAAGAAGAAAAACAAAAATTAAATATTAAAGAAGATTTAAATTCCCTTGAAATTTTAATTAAAAATTGGGAAGAAAAAATATTTGGAAATTTGGTAAAAAATGAAGATAAATTAACAAAAAGAGTAAAAGAATTAATTGAAGAATTATTTAAACAAAATATTAAAAAAATAAATGAATTAGAAAATGGTAATTTTTTAATTAAATTTAAATTAATTTAAAAACATTTTTGTTAAAGAAAATAATATTTATTCAAATAAATTAATTTCTGAACAACAAAAAATAATTAGTAATTTAAAAGAGGAAATTTCTTTAAAAAATAATGAATTTAATAAACTTTTAAATTTAATTGAAAAATCAAAAAATGAAAAAGAAATTAAATTAAATGAAGAATATTCTGAAGCTGAAAGGGATTGGCTAAAAAGAAAAAGAATTTTGGAAAGACGTTTAGAAGAATTGGAACAAACTTTGAATATTGAAAGGACAGAAAATATTAGAGAAATTGAAAAGGTAAAGTTTTAAAGTAAAAATTAATTTTAATTTTGTTTTGTATTTTTAAGTAAATAATTGTAGTATTGTAAAAAGTATTTTAGTAAGTAGTATTTCTAGCACACAAATAAAGCACTTTTATTAAATTTAAATTGAATTATTAATTAATTAATTCTAGTTTTTTTATTAGTATAATTTTTTAATTCTCATTTCTGATTTTCTTATATTTTTATCAAAAGAAAATATTTATTTATTAGAATAATTCAACAACAACACATTTTCCTGTTAACATTTCATCAAATAATATCAAAATAGAAATTAATAAAAATATATTTAAAACTACAAAATATTCTAGAGAATATTATGAAATTAAAGGAAGGAATAATTAATTAATTAATTAAATGTATATTTTTGTAATTTGGTGTTGGTCACAAATTTTTTTTAATTTTTATTTTGTTTTTGGTTTTCACAAATGCACTTTTTATTTAATTTAAAATTAATTTTAAATCAAACAATTTTAGTTAAAAAGGGAATTAAAAGAAGAACAAAATAATAATAAAATTAAAAGAAATATTGAAGAATTATTTCCAACAAAATTTAAAACAAAATCGACAATGACTACTGATTTTAAAGAAGAAATTAAATTAAAAGAAAATAATAAACAAATAGATAATTTTAAATTTGAAAATATTTCTTTAATTAAAAAATTGGAAATTGCCGAAAAAGTAGGGAAAATAAACAAATAAATTTAAATTATTTAAAATTTTGATTTTTAGAGAGAATTAGAAGCTAAAATGTTAGAAGGGAAATTACGTTCAGAATTACACGAACTTCGTCTACAATGGAGGCAATCAGTTAAAGAATTGGAAATTTTACAAAAGGAATTACGTGAATGTAAAATTGCTCGACAAGAAATGGAAAGCCAATTAAAAAGATTTGAACGAGAAATAATTAAATATAAAGGACAAATTGAGGCTGTAAGTTTTTCTAAAGGAGAAATTAAAGAGGAAAAAATAATTTAATGAGATTCGACTGTATTGGAATAATTAAATTATTTAAAAATATTAAAAGAAATTTTTAAAAGAAATTTTTTAAGCTTGAAATGGATCGCCGTCGTGTCGATGCAATAATAAAACAAACAACATTAGAAAGAAATGCTTTAAATAAATCATTAAATACCATGGAACGTGAAAATTCTGAATTACAAAAATATTGTCGTTCTTTGCAATCTCAAGTTGAACGGTTAGAACAAGATGGAGATGAAAGAGCAGAACAATTATTTAAAAGAAAAATAATTAATTTAGAAACAGAATTAACTAAAATTGGACAACAAAAGAAACAAGTAAATAAATTAATTAATTAAAAAATAAAAAATAAATTTTTAAGCTTGAAAACCTTCTTGTCCACAAAGAAAGCAGTAAAGAATCAAAAATTAGTCTTCTTGAAAGACAACTCCATTAATATAATTTAAAAACCTTATTGTTTTTTTTTTAATTTTTACTTCTCAGAATTTATTTTTATTGTTAACAAATTTTGTTCAAAAACTGCCATTTAAATTTTTTATAAAATAAATAAATTATTAAATTCTTAATGAATTTAATTAACATTATTAATGAGTTAAATTTAAAATGAAAATAACACTTTATATTCTAACATAGAAAATGAAAGAAAAAATGTTTAATTAAGGATTTTCAATTTTTTACTAATCTAAAAATTAAAAATCAGCGTCTTGGAAAATTAGATGGTTCTTACATGTATAATCGGCGAATAACGAAAGGCGAAACTGGCTTAATTTGAAATTATTTTCAAATTATTTTCAAATTACATATTTCTTAATTTAAAAATAATTTTCAAAAAATACATAGTATACATAAATTATTTCAGGGCATTTTCCCAAGACATTGAAATTTATAATGGGGCGGACATTTATGATAACCTGCTGTCCAGCTATTTAAATATAATTTTTTCCATGATTCCTTATTTATTTTCATAAGTAAAATAGGTATCTTATAATTTTATTTAGCATAAAAAATAATGTTTACTAAACTTTTTAAAATTTCTTTAATAATTTCTATAATCTTCATTCAATTTTCTTTGGTAGAAGCTGATAAGGTTAAATATTTTATTTAACGCAAAAATTAATTTAAAAATAATTTTTAAATTTAGATTCAACTTTGTAGCTGTTCCGCCGCTGAACAGTGTGCTACTAAAGCTACTAATCATCTAAATGGGACATGTAAAGAGGAATGTGCTCCTTTGTTAAATGAGTATAAAGACAATGGGAAAACTAACTTAATTGAATTAACAAATTGTTTTTGGAAAGAGGAGAAAGATAAAGAAAGTGGAGCTCTTAAAAGGGGTGTTAAATTAACAAAGTGTTTGAACAAAAGGATCCAAAATTAGTTTGAAAATATATTTTATTTAAATAAGCGGTTATCCCTTGAATTTTTTGTGAGCATTTAGAGTTGGAGAGGGATAACCGATAAGTGCTAAAAAAATTATTTTTAATTTTAAAGTTGTTCTAATAACGAAACACTTTTTCTTACATCTGCTCCCGACTACAATAAATGGTTAGAACAAGTAACTGGAAATTCTTCAACTGAACATTTACCACATCAAGGATCTTTCATTCGCCGTGCGAGGGCAGCATTTCTTATTTTTCGAAATTTCCAAAAATGTATGAACAATTGCGCAAAACGTCATTCTATTGAATGTTTTAAAAAAGAAGAGTAAGTAAGAAAGGAGAAATAAAGAATTAAATTTGTTGAATTTGTAGATGTGCAATTTCACTTCCTCTTGACAATTCAAATGCTCTAAAAATTTACAATGAATGCACAAAACAAAATGCAAATCGTGATGCACACGATTCGTGTCGCTGTCTTATAAAAAATTATCGGGCTCGGTAAAAATATAGTAATTCATAAAAAAATATTTGTTTCTGCTATTTTAGTCAACTTATTGGAATCTGTCCATTAATGGCTAACGCTCATTTGATGCGTAACATGCCTTGATGTGTCTTATTAAAAGAACGAGAAATAAATGAATACTGAAAGTTAAATGATTTGATAATTAATTTCGAAATTTAAAAATGAATAAAGCTTAAAAACCTTACTGCCATTTTTTGTGCAAAAAAAACCTCTAATTTTATTACACCAAAAGAATTATGTAAAACGAATGCATGGGTATTTAATTTAGGCGATTCTGCCATATGCCTCGGAAACCGATTAGATATTTCAGGCTGTGAATCGTAAAAAGGAATAGGATTGTGTTACTAGTGCGGAACAGGGATGAGCTGGGTCTAGAAAAACGTGTGTGGGATTTCGGATTGGGGTAATACCGCCCCTGAATTTTTTGATTGTTCTTGGTTAACGCTTTTTTGAATGATGGGAAGAGGTGAAATTTTGCAAACGCTAAATCTTTTGGAAGAAAGTTAAATAATAAAATCTCGTTTGGTAGCCATAAAAGAGAATTGAATGGACTACAGGAGTATAAATATATTTGAGAATGTAAAGCACAATTTTATACTCGAGATAAGTTTAACAATACAATAAAGGAATATACATTCTAATTTATGTACATGCATAATTACCTAATCACATCTAAAGATAGGGATAAAAATATTGGCATATATGTATACATACAATAGTTTGTCATATTTACAATCATCTATTCTTCATTTCTTAATTAAAGGACATACATCAATTCCTACACATAGTACATCAACAGAATCAAGCATTATAGAACTCTTCTAAATATGCGAACTTTTTAAAAGTATTCAAGTTATTAATAATTACCCTCTAGGCCAACATCGCCATTATCAGTGCCGCCTTCGTTCTCCGCTTGCTGACGCCTTACTCTAGCTCTGATTACGTACTCCTCCTCTACCTTCACTCCGTCCTTAGCAGCCTCCGCCTTCGACTTTTCAACCATTTTCCTGAAACAAAAATATACATTTTAATCGTTCACACTATTTTCATACTTGATTATATCTAGAAACTCTGTTGCCATTCTCTGAAAAAAATATTTATTGTTGGAGGCAATTTTTAATGTTTTTATTACCCTTATAATTGCGGTAGCTCACAGAAGCATCCACATTTGCCGGTGAAGAAATGTTAGGCTCATTCAGCATCGATATCACGGAAAGTAGAATACTGCGGACGCCATGAGCAGGGTTCCAACGTTCTGCGGCAGACTAAAAAACAAACGAGATTTTTTAGTAAAATTCATGTTATATTACTTCTCCACTCAGCTTATCCTGGCCAGGCGGATGCAGGATGCTTATGCATACCCGTGGATTATCGAAGCGCATGGAAGGAGGCTCGAATGGATATCTGGGCGGGAACATGAGCGTCTGCAAAAATGTTATTGAATTATGTAGAAGCGACAAAGGTAACTTACTGCCTTGAAGTAGCCTCCCTGTAAAATTAAAAATTTCAATATACTTTCAAAAACGATTATTGTAAAAGGACCTGATAGATCGGACCAGGTGCACCAAATATGGCAACCTTCTATATGAAAATATTTTCGGCAGCAGAATAAACTTTGATACCCTCGATTGGATTGTCAGTCACATCAACAAGCTCCTGTTGCAGACGACGGAGGCATTTGGAGGAGAATTGCTTAGTTGTTTCGCAGCGAAGTAATATTCTTTCATATAAAAGCAAGAGATGAATGAACAAATCTAAACTTCAATTCGTCATTAGCGCCTAAAACGACATCATTGGCACAGCAATCTCACATGGCTGGCGAGCTGCACTCTCACATGGCTGGAGTATCCTTGTTGGACAAGCAATATACCTGCGAACGTCAACTGGTTCCTTCGCCCCTAAAGATGGTAAGCGGTAGTCCTGCTCAGGCTTCAGAAACTCGTCAATGCGAAGTTGAACTGTTCGTCATTCGGGTTCAACATGAGTTCACCAAAGTAAGTTTACTATACTTTTTTAAACTAAATAATTCGATTGATAAAATATTTTTACAGAAAGCTGTTTTGCCTCCATTGGATGTGTGGAAACGTGTCTTGGATCGTGGCTCATTCCGGTTTGCCTCGTTGGATGTGACCATCAAGCGTCGTGGGCTGTTCGGGATTGAACGTGCGGTGTCCTATGGTATACATACATGTGTTCTGAGCAAGCAAGGTCATCTGGTCATCTATACGGACAATTGGAAGCACGAGGGCTTTACCGTTAATCTGAGCAAGGCTGCAAGAGCGGAATTCAAATGCAAAACTCAGAAGGTAAAAATAAGAAAAGTAAATACAATTAAAAGTTGTAATATTTCCTTTTAATTAGCAGATGTTTCTATCAACAACAACGCAAAGAATCTGCAATGTTCGTGTGAAATGGAACTTTGGCTCGGTAAAAATCCGTCTTCCGGAGTCGCTAGTCTTAGATTGGGGACGCGCGATACTTGAAGCTGTACGTGGCAGGGCTGAGGCTTCTTACGAATCTCATCATTGTTCACCGACTGTTCATTATCGACCCACTACTCCAATTCTCTTCGAAAATGGCACTCAGACAGATTCTGTGTTTGAGAAGCAGGCAAGCATTCCCTTTTGAGCATGTTTAATGAATTATATTTCAGACTGTCACCTTCGATGGAAATGTTGGCGATATTGCTCCAGTTTCTTCTGTGCGTGCGCCTAAGTCCGGCGATGGAATATTCCAACTTCTTGATCCTGATGATTCCTTTGGTGAGTTGATATCGTTAAATAAAGTTTAATCATTTTATTTTTTAAGCTTATCGTTCGGATGATGAATCTCTCCGTCTGGGCGAAATGTTTGGGAGCAATGATCAGAGCATAAACACCGCCAAAGAACAAGAGATGCAACCACATTCTGTTGAAAAGAAGGAAGATGTCGATCATGATGAGAATGAGGAGAAAATCGCGTTTCCTCTTGAAAAGGCGCTGTTGTTGAACTTCCCTTCAGAGAACAAAGAGCAACAGCAAGAAGACTACATTCCTGAAACTGCCGTCATAAGCTCGGGTTCATTGCGGCGACGTGTCACCTTCTCAGACCTGAACACTATCTTCGAGGCACCAGAGAATGAAGATCCAGTGGAAGAAGATGAAACTTCTGAATTGAAGCAAGACAACAACCGGAATGATGTGAAGGACACAGAGGGAATTGAGGAGCGCAGAAAGGTGATAATTAAGTAGAAAAAAATTATCTATATGTAATTTTTCTATAGGAACACATTGTCCAATTGGCGCTTGATCAAATGCGCATTGTTGGTCAACACGGAGTGAAGGAAACAACAATAGCTGAGGAGGTTTCCATCAAGGATGAGAACGGCAAAAACGCTAATGAGGATATACAGCATGAATCTGTGGCACTGCAACCTTGTGAGCAGATGACTAAGACCAACGATGGTGACAATTTCGTCTCGACGCAGCAACTGGCTCTCAAAATGCAATTTCCTTCACAATCTGAGCGCTTCGATCGAACTCGTTCTCTTCGAGCACGGTACTGGAGGTGTCGTCTATAAATAGGGTTATTGTATTCCCACAATGTTCTTTCACCTGACTTAATTTATCTGTATGTATATTTCTAATATTCACAAATATTTTTCTGATGATTATATTCAAATGTGTAGCATGTAAAATAAAATATAAAATCGAGAAATTTGTTTTTTAAAATTAAATTTTTAAATCAACTCGATTACCTACTGGCAACCCTCAAAAATACCGAAAAACCACTCTTAATCATTTTTTATCGGGACCAATGTTAGCAAGATTACCAATATCTCTAGCAATTTTTGAGTAAACATTTTATTATAAAAAAATAAATGATTATAATGACCAAAAAAATTTTCAAAAAAGTCAATTTCCAGAATAAAAACATCAAATAAAATACTCAACCCTCAAATATTACTTCCTTCTTCTCAATTTAAATCATTCAAGAATTTGAATCAACAGTAAAATCCATCCCAGTTTGCCCACCACCGACACTAGCAGATTTTGAAAAAGAAAAGTTTAAATCGTCTAATTGTGAATTGTTTAACTAAAAAATATTTAATTTTTTTTTCAAAAAAGTCAAAAGGAAAATAACCTTTTCCCGCAAAATCATAAAAAGTGCACCCAAAACATTTTTGCCCTAAAAATAGAAAATATTTAAATTAAATAATAAAATTATAAAAACCTTTCCAATAACTGGAATATATTTAACATATTCTTCGGTCAACGGGAACACCATTGGAAACTTAAAATAAAATTATTACAAAAAAATACAGAAAAATTCCTTACTTTAAGTGAACCTTTATTCTTTTCAATTCCAGAACACCAATCTTTAACATATTTGGCAGGAGTGCCAGATCCGTAAAAATCATCCCCACCAAAGCTTTGAACAAGAATTTTATCGCCAGTGCTAGTCAAAGCATTTCGCATATCTTGACATTGGCGAAGTTTTTCAAGTATTGCTTTCTTCAATTTTTTGAAATTTAAATATATTTTAAAATCAATTTAAACCTGGATAACATCAAGTCCACGACCAGTACGCCAACTTTCCACATCGGAACGTTTAATCTAAAAAATTATACAAACTCTTAAAAATTTGAAGAATTCAATACCGACGCCTGACGCAACAATTCACGAGCCAACGACGAATAATCACGAGTTGAACCATCAGTAAATTTTCCAGAAGAGATTCCAGTCAGATCTTTAACCTTTTGTTGTTGATAATATTGGTCAATACTTTTGTATGTTTCTCCGTCAATAATAAAGTCAAACTAAAAAAAATTTACAAGAAAAACTTAATTTTTAATACTCGATGTTGTAAAGTAAAAATATTGGCATATCCATGGAAGCAAAAACAACTGTTGCTTGTAACAGAAATTTCTTTATGTGGAACATTGTCTGGGACAGGAGAATACTGAAAATGTTAAAATATTTTGAAAAGAAAAAAGAATTACTGGATATTGAATATGTTGTCGGCGAACATTTCTTTGCTTCATTAGATATCGTTGCGTTCCATAACGTCCGCTTTGACCTGATCCGCCTCCACCACCCTTACGTCCTCCACCACTTCGAGCTCCGCCGCTACCGCCCCCACTACCTCCTCCGCCGCCACCAATAGCAGAAGAAAGCGGTTGTGGAGCAAATGCACCAAAGTCCTCATACATATTCATATGACCAGTATACCAAGGAGCAGCTGCAGCCCGAGCAACGGCTCTCTGATCAGCTAACGAAGTAGCATAACCTTCATTTCCAGCATATTCCCCAAAATTTCGAACAACACGGAAATTATCCATTTTTTAAATTTTAAAGTCGTAGAAACGGTATAAATGAAATCAGATGGATGTTAACCTTTATTAAATTAAGAATTTAGCACAAAAAACACATCAAATATTAAAATAAATCGGCATTTAGATAAAAATCTTAAAAGCATAAAATGCAAAATCAATTATGCAAGAAAATCAATCAAGTAACGAGTACAACGTTAAAAATTAAGAAAAGAAATATACAAATTGGCATTATATATTTAAATTGAAATAACTTTTATTTAAATCATACTGTAATAAATGAAAGAAAATTTTATTTTTATAAATTTGCATATCAAATCCTATCTCTTTTATCTTTTATTAAGCATAAGGAATTTAACAATTTATCATAAAGGTCCTCGCAAAAAAGCTTTAAACAAATATTTTTCGATGCATTTGGATTGAGTGAGCTTATTCCAAATGTAAGCTATCCCGTACTCGAATTCGACTGTCAAGTTTCAAAAATAAAAATAACAGCTTATTCTGACCAGTCTTATCGAGCTATGTAGGTTGAACGATATCAAAATTGATTCAACTCTTCTATACAAAGTTATGGCACTTATTCTTTTTAAGGAAACTTTCTAATTATTTAATCTTCAATGCATTGATAAGAAATACAGCGCAAAAAAGGGCGGCCTGCTTTAGCCATAAGTCTTAATTCACATAAAGTTGCATCTCTCCCTAAAAATAAAATTTTTTTAAAAAGTTTTAAAACAATAAAAGACAAACCACAAACAACAACTCTTCCATTTGTAAAATCTGCACAACAATTTAATTCTGCTGTGATATTATTTTCTGTCCAAATACATTCTTTTTTAAATTTTAAAAATATTAAATATGAAAATTAAAAAATACTTCCATTATTAACATCCCATAAACGAATTGTTCTATCGTTGCTAACACTAAGCATTAAACGTTTTGATGTTATTTGTGGTTGAGATTGAAGAAATATTGCTGCTCTAACATCCTTTTTTAAACAAATTAAAATAATTTATAAAATTTTGTTTTACCTTTTCATGTCCACGAAATCGTTGAATTAAACTCCTTTGTCGAATGTCCCAATGCTACATATTTTTTAGAATTGAGAAGTAATTTACTATTTACTTTACCTTAATTTCATTTCCATCCCCTCCTTCCGCTGTTAATAAAGCATTCGGTTCAAAATTAGCTAATCTACTACAATGCCATATTGGCTGGTGACCACCCGAAGAAGGGATTGTTTCTATTAATGAAAGATTATTTATATCCCAAAATCTTATAGCCCCATCTTCAGCTGTTTGGTAAAGAATTTTATTTTCGTTGTCTACTTCAATGTGTGTTATCTTAGGAGAAAGATACATTTTAGTATTTAATAATTATTACAATATTTTGGCTATTAGATATATTTGAAGAACATATAGGTTTATTAGCATGTTCAATGTTCCACATAAATAATTTCCCATCACGAGCACCAGAAATAAAATTTTCTTCTGAAAAATTCTTAATTATTTACCTCAAATTTATTTTCTAAATATTTACCTCCGAAAGCAGCTAGACCGGTAACCCCAAATTGATGACCATTAAATGTTTGTACACATTCTGTTTCATTAAAACGCCAAAGGCGAATAGCTAATCAACAAAATATTAATAATTACCCCAATCATTACTGATATCCCCAATCATTACTGATATATATACTTACAACAATCTTTAGAGCCTGACAAAACAAAATGTTGAGATCCAGTATGTTTATACAAAACTTTATTTATTTCTTTTTGATGTCCTTTCCATCTAGTTACACAATTACAAGTATCCATATTATTTAAAACAATTGTATTGTCAGAACTACAAGAAACAACCATTTCTGGTCTGACAACACTTAACCAATTTATAGAATTTTTATGTACAGGAGGTGGACGTTGAATTGAATATTGAGAGGATATTGATGATTGTTGGTTATCTCTAGAAGAATTTATTAGAGGGGAAGTATAAAAGTTTTATAAAGTTTCCTTACAAATTATTGTTTTCTGACTGATTAAGAATTAAATCATTATCGTCTAAATTAGCTAATGCAGAATACGTGCTGCCCATATGGACTTTAATTAGTAAATATTCTACAAAATTTACCAGAAAAAGTCTTAAAATAATAAAAATTTTAAACAAAAACAGCATTTTAAAAATATATAGATTTATTTATTTATTTTTATTCTCGTTCTATTTTACTTTAATCTTTTTCATGAGCAAACATTATAAACTTGTGCTAGTCGATCTCCGTGTCGCGGATTTACGTGTGTACGTTTTTCTCTCACATTTTAGTTACTATGGACAACCAGCAACAAAAATATGTATATAAATAAAATATATACAAGGGACCTAGGCTTTTGGAGACCCATGACCGGGGACTAAATCCTTGACCAATAATATGAATTTATAACAAATTGAAAAATTATAAATATTAAATAAAATTTTATTTTTTATAAAAAAACAATTGTAAAATTAAAAAGTTTATGAGATCTAAATTTTAAATTTATTTTAATTAATTAATTTAATTTATTCCCTGTTTAGTTCTTCTTTTAATCCGATAACGAGGATTTATTAAATCAAGAAACACAGCAAAGAAGTAATTAAGTGCCGCACCCCACACCCAAACAATTCCAAACCAGAAACCAGCATTTAAAAGACTTTAAAAATATTTTATTAATTTAATTTTTAAAAATTATTTTTTCACTTTTTAAGACGTTCTCCAAAATTAATTTCAATTTCTTCTATCGCTTCTTTATATACTTTTTCTGTTCTTTTCGCAACATCCTCCCAATTATATGATTTAGCTATTCTTTCATGTTTTTCTTTTGAATTTGGTAATAAATTATTTTGATAATTTTTGATTGAAGTTAAAATTGATTTAATTAAAACTAAAAAAAATAATCAAAATTTAAATTAAAAAAAGAGAACTTTCTGGATTAGGTTCAGCTAAAGTAATAAATTCTGGAGGTAAAACTTCAGGAATTCCTCCAACTTTTGTTGAAACAACGTGTAAACCGCAACAAGCTGCTTCAACAATACTCATACAAAAAGCCTCAGTTAAAGAAGTATTTAAAAATATCTGTCCTTGTATTAAAACTTCGCGGACCTCAAAAATTTATTTAAAAAATATATCTTTTTATTTTAATTACTTTATCATGTGGAAGTTCCCCTTTAAGTTCAACACGATGATGAAGTTTATGTTTTTCTCTCATTTCCTCTAAATCAACACGTTTTGGACCATCACCGCCAATTATAAAACGAACTAAAAATTAAAATAAATATTAAATTCTCCAAAAAATCCCTCCCCTTCTTCAATTTAAATTTTAAATTAAAAACCTTTTTTATTTAATTTACATATTTCAGGTATTATTTGTACTAACAAATCAATTCCTTTTCTATAAACTAAACGAGACAATACAACAATTGTTATATTTTCAGAAGAATAATTTTTATCTGGTGGTTTAAATAACGTTGAATCTATAGCATTTGGAATAACAAAAACATTTGATGGAGGGACACCGGCACGTAAAACTGTGTTCTCTTTACTAATTTAATTATATTAAAAAAATTATTTTTTTAAAAACCTTGTATGAGAAACACAAATTAATCTATCTACATTTATTAAAGAATAACGCAAAACAAGTCGATTACTTAAAATAGCCCCAGCATCCGCAAATCCAAAAAGTGAATGATCAGTAAAAATAGTTTTAAGTCCCAATGTCCATCCGTGCAATAAAGCTTCGTGTCCCATTGTAGAAAATGTGGAATGTGAATGAACAATTTGAATATTTTCAAAAGAAAATATTTTACGAAACCAAGGGAGGGAACCCAAAGCTGAAGGTAAATAATTATTTCCAATAACCAAACAAGGAAGGTAATAAACCTTTTTTTTAATTTTTGTAAAAAAATATTTTAATTTTAATTTAAAACCTTAAGTTTTCCTGAATATAAATAACGAATTCCATTTCTATTTCCATAAGCATGAGTTAAGACAATAACCTCAATTTTAAAATTTTTTTAAAAGTTATTATTAAATACATTTCCCTTTGTAGTAATTAAAGGGAAATGTAATATTTTGGATTAAAGATTGATTACATTTTATCTTTTTTAATTTCATTTGTTTTTTTATCAATTTTTTTTAATTAAAAATTCTTCCATAAAATTAAAATTTTATATTTTTTTAAATATATATTTCCAGACATTTTTAATAACAAAAAAATAAATCTTCTATTTAAAAACTTTAAGTAAATAAATTTAAAACACCATATGTGTAAAAGTACATTTACTATTTATTTTCTTTATTTTTTGTTTATTTTTATAAATTTTTGTCTGATATTTTAAAACCTTATGCCCGTTATTGAGCAGACATTTCGCCAGTTGATAAATGTGTGTCTCAACTCCTCCAGTATTTGGACAAAAAAAGTCGGAGACCATTCTGATAAAATAAACAAAAATTATTTTTTTATTTGTAATTAATTATTTCTAAATATTTTTTTAAAAAATCCAAAAATAGAAAAAATAATTTACGCGATTCGAAAACATTCTTTCCTTTTTTGTTTCCGTTCAATTTCCAATTTTTCCTTTTCCAGATATTGACAACCACCGAAAGAAGCACGCGTTCCTTTTCTCTGAGCCTTCCCCATTTATCAAAATAATTTTAATGTCTGATGATATTTAGGGGAGTATTTACTAAACATTTTTACTAAAATAAATAAATTTTTAGATAAGTAATTTAGTAGAGAATGAATAATTTTAGAAAAATAAAATAAAAGTTGTTTTTGGTATAAATAAATGTCTTTCACTCTTTCTCTGATTCATTATTTCTGCGCCAATTGAGAATAGAAAATTTTTTAAAAAATTCATTTAAAGGATAAAAAATAAATATTTCTAGGAAAGTATTTAATAAAATAATTTCAAAAATTCATAAATTAAAATATACGTATGTCTGCACAGAAATTAACAATTGTCAGGAAATTTTTAAATAAATTTCCTATTTCTGACTTGTATTTAGCTAAATTCTTTTTTGGTATAAATAAAATTATATTCTAAAAATATTTTAATAAAATTTTAGCAACAATTTAAACTCAAAACAATAATCCTAAAAACTTAAATAATAATTAATCTTTTATGTTAATAAATGTCAGTTGTTGATTTTTGAACATTGCTTAAGTAATAATAAGAAAATTAATAATTTCCCCCCAGTTTTTTCTCTAAATATTAACTACTAATATATCTTGTTAATAATTTTTAATTTTAGTAGCTCTTTCAAGATTTTATTTTTTTGTGTTTAATTGTCATTATTTTGTGAAAAGAATATTTTAGTAAATGTTTCTACTTATTATTTTATTTTTCCAATAAAATACCACCCCCCCCCCTCAAAATTACAAACTTTGGTCTTTCACCCTCCGTGTAGTCTAGCAGCTTTTTATTCGTTGTGTTAATTTACGTTCTCGTATCCTTCTCTTATCAATTTTAACGAGAATTTTGAAATAAAAAATAACTTTATACATTTATTTAGACATATTAGAGTCTTAATTGAGGGAAACATTTAAAGGAAGTTAATTCAAAATAAAAATTATTATTATTAATTTTTGTTATTTTCACCTAATTATTAATTATTTTTAAAAATTTTTTGGTAGAGAAGAAGAAAATGTACATATTTTATGAATGAATGACATTCATTTTTCATCATTCATTTCCCCTCTCTGCTCTCTAACTTTTTTAATCCTTTCTCCAATACTTAATTAAACCTTCCTTCTTAATTCTTTTTATTTTTTTATAAATTTTAAATAAAATCTGGAAGTAAAAAAAACTTTTCTTTTTTTATTATCACTTTTCGTTTATTTATTTCAGACGATTTATTGATTTTTAGTGCAAATTAAGCTTAATTTTTAAAACTTTTCCCGACAATAAGTCCCTTTAAAAACTAACAACTGTCTATTAATCAATTCATTTAAATGGATAAAATTTATTAATTCGAAATTTAGTTAAAGAATAAAAAATTTTTTAATTTTAATTTAAAAATTCCACAAATCGTTTAAAATTCTTTAAATTTATATAATAATTATTGTTTTATGTTATCCGGCTAAAAAGCATTAAAATATTTTTATAAAAAATATTTCCTTTAAATTCTTTAAATTAATTTTTATGATTATTTAAACCAACACAAAATATTATTTTTCAAATAAATTAACAAAAGTATTTGAAACGGTTACTTTAATTTACAAATTAATTAACCAATATTCAATTAGGGAATTTGTTTCTAATTTTAGATTTTTCTCTCTCTTCTTTTTTGTCTAAAAATTAGCATAATTAATTTTACATATTTTTACATTACCCCGAATGGATTAATTAATTATTATTAATTTGGAGGCTTTAAATTTTTTAAGATCCTCGTGGTTGAGTCTGCATTGATTTTTATTCTGAGCCGTTAGAATTTGTTGAAGATAAAACTTATAATTTTTTAAAAATATTCTTAAAAATTAACATTTTTAATATATTCTGTTATACATATTTTAAAATATTTTCCCTTTCTTTCAAAGCATTTCACATTTGTGTGTGTACCGACTGTCAGTGCAGTTGTGTGTGTGTGTGTCTATGTACCCGGCTGTCCCCATTTGTTTGTCTAATATATTTTTTGTCTGTTAGCTTTATTCTTTCTCTCTTTTCTATCGTTTCTTTCACCAATTCCCTTACGTACATATATTTCTTTATTTTCTCCCAAATTCTTCAATAATTTTACAGTCTAGTATTCTCCTTCTTCCGATAAATGTCGCGGTTCAATATATGGAAAACTAGGGGGATTACGGCTGACTGGCAATAAAAGTAGCAAAAGAATATGTATACATAGTAGTAACAAGCTTTTTTGCGGAAGGAATTTTTTAGAATTTATTTATAGTTGCTGGAATTGTAGTTGTATAGTAATATGTAGGTAGTGGGGTAGTAGGGGACTTTGAACGTAAATACATAAAATATATTTTTTAAATTAATATGTATTTATACTATTAATCAGTTAATTACTATAAAAATAATTTCTACTAAGCGTGTTTGTTATTTGGGTCTTTAATAAGGAGAGTTTACTAGCAATTATTATACAAAGAAAATTTAAATAAAAGATTCGTATATTTTTTAGTGTATCAAGTTTGAGTTTTGAAACTTTTCGAAACTTTGCAATCTTTTTATCCAAAGTTGTCCTCCCATTACGTGTCACACAACATATCATATTAACTATATGTAGTTTGCCCCCAATAACCAAAGGGTTATTTAAACATATACTCAATCATATATTTTCTTAAATAAATTTTCAACCCCTCTTTTTTACTTTTTTCTGATTTCATTGAAATAATACTTATTTAATTTTCATTACTTTCCCACTTACCAAAGTTTTTTTGAGAATTTGATAATTTTTAATATTTGCTGCTAATTTTTTATACATGTACTATAACAATCACGCATATGTATACCTTTACTTTATTTCAATAAAGTTTTCTTTAATAATTTAATCAATCCCTCCTCCTTTCCTTCCGTTTATTTTTCTTCCTTTCTTTTTAATCCTTCCCCAATCATATTTTTAATGATTTTTTGCGCCGAAATCATCGGCTGTCATCAATAATTAATTAGGTGTTTTAGGACCGGTTGGTGCTTTCCTTAACAGGGCCTAGACATTAATTTATATATATATTAACTTTATTTTTTTACTAAAATTTTACACATGATTATTTTGTTTTATTTTTTTCAATTTTTATTTTTAAACAATTGTTTAAATTATTAATTAAAAATAATAATTATTATATTTTCCATTTTTTTCCTTACTTCAATTTCTTCATTTCATCCCTTTTTTCTTCATTTATTCACATTCCTTTAGTTTTTTCTTCAATTCTCTTCCTTATCATTAAAATTTCTTTTCATTCTTCATTTTAATCTTTTATAATTTTTCCATTAATTCTTTCAATTATTTACCACTTTTTACAAATTTTTAAATTCTTCTCTTTTCTAATTTTTCTTTTTAAATTCTTCTTAATTTACTTTAACTAATCATTTCCCTTAATTTCTCGTCTCTTTTAATGTCCCCCTCATTTTTCTTTCCTTAACTTTTAAAATCCACACAATTTTTTTTAAATCAGACAATAATAAATTTTATTTTTATTTTTGCAGCAAAATGCACCTCTTTTACCTTTTCACTGCCTTCAATGCCGTTACCATAAAAAATTGCTGCCATCGCCCATCGACTGGTTAAAAAACATTTTTCTTCTTTTAATTTCTTTACAATTAACGGCCACACAAAGTGAAGAAATTAAAAATAAATAAAAATAATTTTTGAGAAAAGAAAATATTTTTTTGTGAAATGGCTATTGCCGAATGCTCAAAAACGGCAATGTCAACAAATACTGATTCATCTGCTTTATCAACAAGACATGCGGGTAGTAGAGGGGGTGGGGAATTTATATATTTAATTTTAAGGATATATAGAATAGAAATATTAACATATTTTTGATTAAAATTAAAAATTTATTTTAAACTTGTTTAGAATTAACAATCATTTTCATTAATTTTGTTAAAATTTCTATTTTTAGAAATAAATAGTAGCACTCCTCAACTTCATCAACAAGCTAGCGATGATGAAGAAAAATGCCTTTTAACGCCAACTTCCTTGGCAGGAGAATGTTGTGCTTCTTTCTCTCAGGTTTTTATGAAAGAAAAAATAATTTTTATTTAAAAATTATTTTTTAAAGAGTGATACAGATTTACTTCAAAGGCAAACAGAAACAATTGAAAGAGAAAGAAATCAAAATTCAAATAAAAATAATTATTTGGAAGTTTCTTCCCCACCAGATATTGAAAACGAATATTCTTCCCCTTCCCCTCAACAACAATATTTTCTTTCAACTGCTTTAATTTATTCTGAACCAGCTTTACCTAGCGCGCATTTAAATGATGTTACTGGGCAACAAACAAATATGTCTAATTATCATTGGGCATATTCTGATTTAACTCTTTCTCAGGTTTTGCTGAAATTAAATGATAAAAATATTAAAATAAATTCTCCCCGATGTTATTGACCCTTATACTCCTTTAGAATCTTTATTTGACTATATCCACAGTAAAATATTTAACAAAAATTGGGGAGTTATGGACTCATGTAAATGTCACTTTTAGTGGATTTCCACTTTTAAAGGGTTAAAGCAGTCTTATTTTAATCTCGTTTTCCTATCATTATTTAATTAAAAAGTAAAGATATCTGTAGTTTACTTTTAATTTTTATATAGAGTTGTGCCACAGATACAATCGATGCATCTATTATTTCAAGTCAACAACAACCCCAAGATAATTCTAATTTGAATAGCGCCCGTAGTGATAAAGCTTCTAGAGCCAATACCCCAAAATCTTCTTCCTGCCTTTTTTCCTCAGAAAGTCAGCCATCCATAAGTACATCAATTAGTTATTTACCACACAAACAATCATTTTCAATTGGAGAAATACGGGATACACATTTACAAATACAAAAACGTTATAGACCCTCAAAGAAAAGACATTATACAGATCCTGTTGATTTTGAAGGTTTTATTTGGAATTGAAAAAGAAAATTAAAAAAAAAATAAATTTAGGTATTCTAAATATAATTGGAGGTTGTTCTTGGTGGCAAATATGGGTTTATCTTCTAATTAGTTTACAACAAATTCCTCATGCCATGTTTAATTTATCTGTAGTTTATATGATGTATCAGGTGTGTAGATAATTACACCCCGTTTATTGACACTATCTTTTTAATATTTTTACATTTTTAGCCAGATCATTGGTGTAAAGTGCCAGGTGTTAATTCCTCCTTTCCCCCACCCCACCCCTCGTCAACTCAATTTTCTTCTAAGTCGCCTTACCACTCTACAACTACCTCCCCTCCAAAAACAACAACACAAAGTCCTTATCTTTGGGATTTATCAGATGCATTACAGGGATCTGTAGTTTATCCAAGAACGAGAAATAAACAACGAGACACGCTTAACTTCCATTCGCAGTGCCATTTTTATGATAGGGGAGAAGAAAGGTTTTAAATTATAATTAATTATAATTTAATTTAGAAAAATTTTAGATATGACCAACTCAGACGAGTGCCTTTGGATGAAGCCCAAAAAATTGTTAACGAAAGTGGGGAAAGTCCGGATATAGTAAAATGCCAGGAATGGTACTAAATAATTAATTTATTTTTTAATAATTATTAATTGTTCATTAATTTTATTTTAAAAAAAAGGTATTATGATCAAGATGTTTTACGTTCAACAATTGTAACAGAATGGAATTTAGTTTGTGATGATAATTTTAAAAGAGCACACGCTCATTTATTTTATTCTTTTGGATTCTTATTTGGTTGTTTATTGGGAGGTTTTGCTTCGGATAGATTTGGAAGAAAACCAACAGTTATTGGGTTTGTCTTCTTTGAAGAGATTTTTAATAAAAAAATATTTTTTTCAAGTTTTGGTATTCTTTCTTCTTTATTTGGCCTTTTACTTCCTTATTCAACATATTTTCCGATGTTTTTATTTATTCGATTTTGTGGAGCTGTTTGCAATGAAGGTTGAAAAAATAACAATTTTATTAAAATTAATTTTTAGCTGCTGATTTGGCTGCATATGTTCTTTGTATGGAAATTACTGGAACTAGATATCGTGCAATGGTTGGAAGTCTTTTACAGGCTCCCTGGGCTGTTGGTTATGCTACATTGGCTTTGATTGCTTATTTTTGTAAAAGTTGGCAAAATATACAAGTATTTATTTAAATAATTATTTGCTAAAATAATTATGAGTAATTATTGGGTAATAGTGTCGTTTCCCAGCCCCCTTTTTTTCCTCCCAATTTTCTACCCTATGTTTGTACGGAATGGTCAAATTTTCCCCTTTCTTTCATCAAATTTGCCTTTCCATATTTTGCCTAAAAACAATCAAAAAAGATTAATTTTTTATTCATTTCTTTCACAAGGATAAAAAAGTGAGACATGATGCCAAAAATTATAAAAAACATTTTCAATATTGCCAAATCGTTTTCGCCACATAAATTCCGGGAGATAACTTTTATAGGTTTCAGTGTTGTTACTCTAATACTTATTTAAGTATCACAAATTAATCTTTTTGATTGTTTTTAGGCAAAATATGGAAAGGCAAATTTGATGAAAGAAAGGGGAAAATTTGACCATTCCGTACAAACATAGGGTAGAAAATTGGGAGGAAAAAAAGGGGGCTGGGAAACGACACTATTACCAATTATTGTTTCAACCTCTCGCTTGAGGGGGTAATTAATCGAGAAAGGGCAATTATTTGAGTTTTGAAATTTGGACGAGTATTAGGGCATTTAGAGGAAAAGATTGCTTCAACCTCTCGCTGATGTTGAAATTATTTGAGAGGGAGTGATTATTCGAGCATATACCTAAATTGCTAAATTTTCCTTTTAAAAATTTCTTTTTTCAAGTTAATTACTGCGGCACTTCACACAATTAGTATTTGTTTAATTTGTGTTTTACCAGAAAGTCCTCGTTGGTTAATTGTGAATAATCGAGTTGATGAAGTAAATATAAATATTCTAAAATTAAAAAATTAAAACAAAAAATTTTAGGCAGAAAATTACATTCGACGAGCTTGTAGAAAACCTCCATTTCCTTTCAATCTCTTTGATTTTAATAAAAGTTCATTACCTTCTGATTTAGAATTGGTTAAATAAAATATTTTTTTTTAATTTTTTTATAAATTTTAGGTAAAACATGCAGAACAACGTAAATGGGTACGTCGTGATCAACGTGCAAATATTCTTCATTTACTTAAATCAAGAGCTCTCTGTATGAGAACTGGGGTTATTTGTATTGTTTGGATTGCTACTGCCCTTGTATATTATGGATTAATTATTGGTAGGTTTTAATTAAAATATTAATTAAATATATACAATACCGTTAATGTTGAAATAATTACCCTGGGTCTTTCGCTAGAGGGAGTACATAATTATTAGGGAGGATGTGCGGGATCTGGGATACCTATATCTCAATTTAATTGAGGCGAAATTGATCTATTTTTTGATATTAATTCTTAAAATGTTCCAATAATTAAATTTGGTCGTAATTTTTTTAAATATTTTCAAAGTTTGCTTAAAAAACTGAGGGGTAATTATTAGAGAGAGTAATTATTTCAGCATTTATGTCTTTATTTAAAGAGACTATTATATATTTTTATTCCTTTTAAATTATTTAAAGCTCTATCTGACCAATCTGCCCCCGGTCGTGTTCTCTTTTCTGGCAATTTCTTTTTAAACAATGCAATTGCTGGTGCTATTGAATTGCCAACACTAATATTTTGTGTTTATTTAATGAAATTTGGAAGGAAACGGTGTTTAAATTTAAAAATTAAATTTATAATAATTTAAATATTCTTTTAAAGTTCACAAATATTTACACTTGTTGGGGCTGCTCTTTTTATTATTTTAGCAATGTGTGCAATGAATTTTGGAAGTCCAATGCTCTCTTTAGGATTAATGCTTGGAGGAAAGATTTTTATTCAAGGCGGATTTAATATTCTTTATATATTTACATCTGAATTATATCCAACAGTTATTAGAAATAGGTAAAATTAATTAAAAATATTAATTCGAAAATGGTTTTTTAATTTTTAGTGCAGTCGGTTTCTGCTCTATGGTTAGCTATATTTTTATTTTCTTAATTAAATTATAATAGGCCGAATATTTTTTAAACTGTTTTTGTTAGATATCTAGTCCATTATTTTCTTATTTTTATTAATTTTGTTTGAGGGATTTGATTTTAATTATAAAAAATATTTAAAAATAATTTTGTTTTCTTGAAAAAATTTCCTAATTTTTCATTATTTTTCATTAGATTGCCCGTTTTGGTTCTGGCGTTTCCTCTTATATTGCAATTCTTTCGGACGTTACACTCGCTTTTGTGCCTATGATTATATTTGCAACATTTTCTTTATTTGCTGGAACATTAGTAATGCTTTTACCAGAAACTCGAGATCAACCTTTGCCTGATACTTTACAAGTAATTTTATTTAATTTGGATACTAAAAAGAATATTTTTAAAGGATGCTGTGACAATTCTTAAAGACGATTCTCGTCCTTATCAATGTCGGGGTTTTGGCTCTATTTTTCTTGGAACTGATAAATATAGTATTTCGATTACTGAATTAGTTCAACATCAAAATGAGGAGGAAGAAGAAGAAGAAATAGAAGAACAACAAACAGAACGTGATGAAAGTAGTGAATGTGAGGATAGAAATTGTGGGGGTACTTCAGAAGTTGATGAATTAACAAATAATAATGAGGATAATGATGGTGGTGGGTGGTTATTTTGGAGTAATTAAAAATAATTTTTTTATTTTAATTTAAAGAAAATACTAATATTTCCCCTAAAAATGACAACAAAACTTCAAATAAACGTTTAACAGAAAATGGAATGTCTACCAATAATGAACCTTTGCCAAGTATTCCAGAAGAAGATCATCACCAAATATTACAACAAAAACCATCGTCTTCATCTAAAAATTTTACTGAAAATGAAGAAATTCCTTTAATTTGTTTAAGAAATCGGAAAGATAAAAATGAAGAAAAAATAAAAAAAGAAAATAAATTAAATTCTTCTTCAAATAATTTATGTGAAAATGAAATTAGTATATCCCCATTAACTTCTCATAGTGAATTTTCTCTTTTAATTAAGGTAAAAAATATTTTCAAAAAAATTAAAAATAAATTTTATAAATTTAGGATGAACGATTGGAAAGTACTAATACAATAATTCCATCAACAACATTAATTACTGCCTCATCGGTTGGGCAACTTTCTCCTTCAGGAGTAAATATAGCACAACAAGCATTGGCTATTTAATTTTTTGATTAATTACTGCATAATTTTAAATAATTTTGGAAAATTTTTTTTGTCATTTTCAATTTAAATTTTCTATCTATTAAAAATTTTGTTTAAACACAAATTTATCTAAATATTTTTAAATAATTTAAAAAGAATAGAGTTAAGTATTTTCTATTTATTTTCTTATCTTTTTCTATCAAAATTAATTTCTTTTAAATATTTTAAAAATTTAATTTAAATTCTCTAATTTAAATCCATCTGATTCATTTCCAGAATATTTAATATTATAATTAATTAAATACTTATTTGGATAAAGTTTTTGGCAAAATTATTTTAAAAAATTATTTAAAAATAAATGTGCCTCCATCAAAATTATATTCAATTAATTTAACATATTCTCAAAAACCTTCAAATAAAATCCTGCATTAAATATAATCTCCCCCAAATTTTCTATTAGAGAATTTATTTTATTTAACATTTCTATTTTATTACTTATTTTTTGAATTAATTACGGGTATATTAAATACATATATACTTATTTATTTTAATCGAAAATATATTTTATACTTATCAATTTATTATTTACTTAATTTACTTTAACTTTTCTTTAAATTATCTCTACTCTATAAACTTTACGAGTCAAAATATTAAAAATATTTAGATAAATTTGTGTTTATTTTTTCCCAGTTTATTTTTTAAATATTATTTTTGTTTTACCAAATTTTAAATTTTAGGTTTGATTCTATTTTTTTAATCCGTCCAGTTTTTCCTACCTCATCACACCATTTATAGTTCCCGAGTGCGTGTGAAATGATAAATTTTTGTTTTTCTTGATTTTTATTTAAATTTTTTGAGATTAAAAATATTTAAAGACAAATTACTTTACATTAGAAAAAACATATAATATAATAACAAATACAATTAACTAACATAACAATAATTAACAATATACTACATTAACATTATTTTTATTTCGTTTCCTATCATTTTATATTCATATCAACATTATCCTTTCATTGCTTCAACTCTTTTATCTCTTCCTCTTTTTCGAGTGGCGCTTCTTGCGTTTGTGCTTCTTACGGCGTTTCTTTCCCTTCTTCATTGGACTTGTTAAGAGGATTCCACCATCATCATCTTGTGTTCCTTCTGTTTCGGTCTCAACTGTAGAATCGGAGCTACTACTGGAACTTGTTGTGTCCCTCTTCTTCTTTTTCTTTTTTTTATTGAGACGGCCCTTTCCGCCCAAAGGTGGAAGCGGATGAATAACAATAGAATCTGGTGGTACAATTGGTGTTGAACTTGGTGGTGGTGCAGTTGGAGAATCCTAAATAATATGTGAAAGTCCTTTCTTTTATAATTATTTTCTTACCTTCTTTTCTTGAGCGATTATTGCCGTCTTTACAACTTTAGCTTTTACTTGAGGTGGTGCTTGCACAGGAGGCTTACGAATTGAAGGTTCTTTAGGAGGTGGCACATTATTAGATGGTGGAGGAGGAAGTAGAGCAGTCTGTACTGGATGTACTGGCACAAAGCTGAAATTTTTAGAAAATTTTTATATTTTGATGGTCATTCAAATAATTTAATCACTAACACGATCGGCGGTGTTATTGACGATGGTGAACTTTGTGTACGAGCAATGCCAGGATTGTATATTGGTGGAGGAGTAACTGGTTGTCGTTGAAGTTGTGGTGGAGCAGAAGGCAAAAGCTAAAATAAAAATTTTTTTAAGGAAATTGAAATTATTTATTACAGCAGGCTGTCTCGGTCTTGGTGGCGTAGTTGGTTTTGGTGGTGCTCCTTCACGGATAACCGCACCCTTTCGCTTTTTCGAACTATTGAAAACGACGCAGAGGAAACAGACAGCAATGAAGACAAGTGAAACACACCAAATAATTATCTTAATCAAATCGTCGTCTCTCATTTATTATACAGGCAGATCTCCTCTGAAATTAGATAAAAAATATTTACAAATATTTAAAAAAAAGTTTAATTTACCTATATTATGTTGACAAACACAAGGGCGCAGGATACGTTAACAAACTTATTATGAAATTAATTAAACTTAATTAACAGCCTTTTATATTAAAGATTTTAAATTGATAAAAGATTTTGATTGATTTTTATTTTAATTTTATTTTTAACAGAAAGGAGTTATTCTAATTTAAATCGGGCTTGATATAAGTGTGTATTGTTGGGGGGGGGTTTCATTACAAAGGCAAACATATTTTCATATTCAAGTTTTATAGAGAAATACATAGTTCGAATATTTACATTACAAAATAAGCTTTATTAAATATACAAGATTGGTATTTCTAAATGATGTTTTGAATTTATTTAAGAAATATTTTCAATTAAGCCAACATCAATGTTATAGCCAAACACAAACTTAACACAGCAGAGGCGACAAAGAATAACCCAATTATGGCCTGTTGGATCATTAAACTCTTTTAATTAATTAAAATTTCAATTTATTTTCATTTAAACTTTTTACCTCTCTATGCCCCCCAACATCGCTACATTCACTTGGTGCCATAACCATTAATTGTGGTGGAGGTCTTAAATGTTGATTAGTAGATTGATTAATATTTCGAATATTATATTCTTTAGGTAAATTAATTTGCCAAGTATTCCTTCTTCTTTGTCTTTCATTTTCTTCTTCAAATAATTCAAATCTTTCCCTTCTTTTTAATGAAAACCATTGAAGAGAAAAAAATGAAATAAATGTAAGAACCAAAGAAGCAATTAAAACATCTCTAGCCAAAAATGAGTCAACGAAAAATTGTTCAAATTTAAGACATGCCAATGAAGTAGCAATTGCTAATTAATTAATATAAAAATATTTTTTAAAAAATTCTACCAGAACAAATCCAAGCAATATAACCAAGAATTGAATGTATCCAATTAAATATAAAACGTTTTGGAGATTCTGGTGAACAACGAAATATTGCACATATTGGTTGAAATAAACATATAAAAATACTTAAAATTCCAAATAAAGCGTGTAAAGATTGGGTAGAAAAATTCTGTTCTGAACGATTTGAGAATCGTGGACCGATCCAAAAACCGTCCAATGCAGAATAAATACATAAAAATGAAATAATTACAAAAAGAAAAGCTAAAGAATTGGCTAAACGATGAATCTAAATAATTGAAAATATTTAGAAAAAAATTCTTTTTTCTTTAAAATTTACTTGAAACCAAAGTTGTATTCCAAATAATTCTAATGGTTCTCGTTGATTTCTATGATGAAGAAAACGAGCTGATAAAATTGCTCCGGGTATGAGGAATAACCAAGCAAAAACCATTAATATACCTTTAAGTTAAAAATAAATAATATATTATTTTTTAAAAATAAAAGTTTTATACGTCCAATTAATTTAAATACTTAAAATAATGCGAGAGAATATTATGTAAAATTAACAAATATATAATATTTTTTGGAAGGAGTTTGAATTAACTATTCTTATTTAAGTACTTTCCTAATATTAAAACGTTTTTATTGTTAACGTGCTATTGTTTTCAATAAAAAATATTAAAAAATAATTTTTATTTTATTCTTTAAATTGTGGAAATAACTGTAAAGATGAAAAGAGATCCGCTGGGGCGTTTAAAACGCTTATTGGAGCGTTTAAACTTTAATAAGTTTTAAACGCTGGAGCGTTTAAAACGTTTAAAACGCTTAAAGAGATCCAGCTGGAGCGTTTAAAACGCTTATTTAAGATCTATTAAATGATATACGTAACACAGCTGGTAAAACGTGGTAAGCGAAAGCGCCTTAGCAATAACTGCCAGGAGGTCTTACTTACGATTTAATACAAAAATATATTTATTACAATAGAAAAATGATAATAAATTGGACGTATAAATAAAAATATTTTCTAAAAATTTATTTCAATCACCGTGTGTCTTAATTAAACGAAATTCAGAATTATTCGAAGTTAAAAAAGCATCAGAACCAATTTCTGGTTTATTTGTAGTTGTTCCAAAAGTAATTCCAGAATCAGAACAATCATTTTTTGGATTAGAATTTAAAGAAATATTTTCATTATTTAAATTATTTTTTTGATTTTCTTTTTCTAAAATTTTTGTTGGTGATTTTTCTTCATTAATATTATTTATATTTTCTGAGCTAGGTGTTGTTGTTAAATCAATTTTTACTTAAAAAATATTAATTTTAAATTAATTAAAAAAAATAAATACAATCATTTGTTGTTGTCTGTTCAATAACCTGCGAAGATGAATTATTTTCATTAAAAGGAATTGAAAGTTCTTTTGTCAAATTTATTGAAGAATTAATAAAATTATTATTATATATATTTATTTCCCAATCCCCATTAGCTAATTCTTCAGGGCTCAAATTAAATTTTGTTAATTGTATTGGATGAGAAGAAGAAAAAGGAAAAAGGGAAGAATCAGAATTTAACGAATGAATTGTTAAATCTAAAAAATGGGAAAACTATATTTAATTTAAATTATTTAAATTACCTTTTCCTCTAGTAACTCCGGACGCTAATAAAATAAATATTGGGGCATTTAATGGGCGTACAAATTGTGGCTGAACAGATTCAGGTGGCTGAATTAATTGGGAGAAACGACAATAAATAATACCATCGGCTACTTTAGCATGATGGGTGTAAAGAATTTTAGATTCAAGTCCATAGGCTAGTGGCGCTTTTCGATTACTTTTACCTTTTTAATAATTGTGTTTAAAAAACTTTTATCATTTTTTATCTGAGGATAACCTAAATATATTTCTTTCTAATTTTTTCTCTAGTGGAGATACTCTTAATAAAGAGAGGCCAGTCCTCTATTCAGTATAATTTAAATTTTTTTAAATTTTTTACCTGGATTGTAAGAAAGTCTAGCTTTATAATCTCTTCCTTCTAATGAAGAACAATCTGTAACAGTATCTCCCCCCTTTATTTAATATTTATTTAAAAACAAATTATTTTAACCATAAGTCCATCCACAGAAAATCCAACAGCCGCCCAAACATTTGATTCCCCAGCAACCTGAGCTAATAATTCAAAATAAACACGTTCATCATCTGATATATAACTTAGAGCATAAGAACAGTCATTATATGGATTACAATTTGGTGGTTTAAACAAACAACTTTTTAATTTTTTTAAAAATATTCAAAAAATAATTAATAAAAATACCCTTTTGTTAGACCACAACCTGAAGAATCAAATTGTGATAAATCACCTTTATTGGTTAAATTTTCATTTTCTTCCTTAAGTGCAATTACCTAATATATACATATTGTTTAAATAATTAATTATTAAAATACTTACAGAGTAAAATAAAAAGGAGAATTGAAATAAATTTAATATAAATTTTAAAAATAAAAACATTTTTAAAATAATCTTATTTGAAAATAAAGAATTATTCAAAAAATTAAGTAATACAAAAAATTGACACCAAATATTTTTAAGTGCTTTTTGTTTAATTTTTGAAATATGAGAAATTAAATTAATTAATTCTCTGTTTATTTAATTTTTGAATTAGTTTAAAAGATTTTAAGAAATAGACAAAATATGTGTTTAAAATATTCAAAAAATATTTAAAAAACAATAAGAACCGAAAGGACGGGAGGAAATCTCAATGAACTCAATACAAGGACAAGACGAATTTAGGTATATGTATGCTTTCAAAAAGTGAGTGAAATTTTAGTAGAACTTCGAAATATTTTCACTTAAGGGCTGCACTGTACTTAGAAATGATTTTCATTTAAAAATGTAAATTATTTAATTAGTAATAAAAATTTAACAGGCTATTAAAACGATCATTAAAAAAAGCAAACAAGAGATTGGGCCAAGCAAATATTTGACATTGGAAAATCCAATAGTTGACCAATCTCTTTTCAAAAATTATTAAAAAATATTTTTTCAATTTACGATTTTTATAAATACAATAAATATTTGTAATAATTTAAATGGATTTTTAAATTTATATTTATACAATTCTAAATTATTTTTAAAAAATTGAAAAACATATCCTTTCTAACAAAGTTTTAAAAAAACATTTAATTTATTAATATTTAATATTTATTTCTCAACTTATTTGTCCTTTTTTAGCATTTTAAATTCCAATTAGAGTGATTCAAAATTTTTAAAATAACAAAAAATTCTCTGACTAATTTATATATTTACTTGGACATTTAAAGAGAATTTTTTTGGTTGTTATTTATTTTCAACCTTTATATTTTTATATTTATTTTTAGAATATAAATATTGCTCTAAAGTATTTTTACAGAATTGGGGAGACCATTAAAATTATTTGTCCAGTTATTTTCAGTCAGCTGGCGATTACACTCAAGTTAAGTAGTAGAAGTATTCGGAATTAAATTAGAATAAATATTATATAAGTATATTATAAAAAGATTTAGGATTTTTCATATTTATTTTGCTTGGAAATTTGAAAAATTTTTTTTATAAATTTATTTTATTCAAATAATTCTTTAGTTGGCTGTAAAAATTGCGGTAATATTTTACGGATTTTCTGTTAATTAAACAATTATGATTAATTTTAGTTGGATCCTTACAAGCTGTCAAAGCATTTTACCCCATACCACAACCCATTGAAGTTCTTAATTTCTAAGTTAATCTTCATAATTTTTCCTCGTTTTTATTTAAGCAAAAATCGTCACATTTTTAAATCCGGATTTTTATTCATTTCCTATTAAAAAAGCTTCTCCAGAAAATTTTCCTCTCATTATCTAAAGGAAAAACAAATTTTTACCTCTTCTAAATATTTTTTTCTTTTATTTTAACACAAATCCTTCAATTTCCTTTGTTTTTCTTCTTCTTAATTGCACAAAACGCCGATTTTTTAATGTTTATTTTGTAAAAGAAGAAAATCTGTTGTTATTGTTATGGCCGTAAGGAACAGTGAAGTAGATAATGTAAATATAATATTCTTTTTTAATTTGTTTCTTCATTTTTAATAATTTTATTCTTCTAAATTCCCTCAAATTTCTTTTAAATTTTAGTTCAAAATTAATTTAACTTAAAAAAACAATGTCTTTCATTATTTTCTTGTTAATTTCTGTATGTTCTGCCTTTGTTAGTGCTCAATTTTATTCTCCGCCAATGACCGGATCTGGTTGTGTCGCTACAGGAAATAAATTATATTCACATGGAGTAAGGACGTTTTAAATTTTTTAAATTATGTTTTAGATCTGTTTTTAATTTCAAAAATTAAAAATAAATTTTATCGGGAAAAATAAATCCAAATTTAAAATTCAGAATTTTATTCGAGAACTTACTGGAAAAGAAATGTCTGAAATGGAAATATATAAAAATAAATTGCTTGAATGGAAACAACAAGTAGATGAGGCATATGCTCGTCTTGAGCAAGCTGTACAGCGAAACAATACAGCTTTGCCAATAATCCCTCCAAGGCCTGCTTTGCCGTCATTTTGTACTTCAAATCAAACGACACTGTTATTTTTTATTTTAATTAAAAAATATTTTAAATAATTTAAAAATTAATTTATATTTTTTGTAAAAATATTTTTATTTTTTAAAATTAAATTTAAAAATAGTTATATCCTTGCTGGCTGTACTGTACAAAATAATAAAGTTTATATTGCCGGTAAATTTGCTCGAGAATTAAATGAAAAAGAGAAAGCACAACTCGATGAATTTGCAAAACAAATGCTGTCACAACAACAAGCATCGAAAATGGTTTTAAAAATTATTTTGAAATTTGTTACTAAATAGCGTTTATCTCCTCCTATCCCTTTTTCTCCTCTCATAAAAATTAAAAATAGGTAGTCAAGTCACAAATACGTATGTATACTATAAAGAAGGGATATAAAGTACCCATAAATAGTACACACAATTTCTTTAAATATTATTTTCAAATAAAAATTTATTTTAATTTAAAAAAAAAGGAAAACAAAAATGCTGCTTTTGGCAATAACATTCAAGAAGCTCAATCTCTCCCAGCAGCAGATTCAGCAATTAATACACCTCCACCCCCATCTTCCTCATCAACTTCAACTCCTTTACCAACAACAACAATTCCTTTGCAACAAAATGCTGATATTGGTAGACAAATCGCTTTGGATTTTTGTATGGAATTTTGAAAAAAGAAGAAAGAAGAATGAAAGAATTGATATTCTTTTGTATTTATTTTTAATAAAAATCCAAGTTTGACAAGTAAAGAACTAAAAAAATATTTCTTCTAATTAATACAGTAGTCGACAAAAAGATAGGGACAAACGCAAGTGAAATGGAAATCACCTATTTTCTCACCTAAAAATCGATTTCAGGAAAAATTTTTTGTTTGATTAAATACGCCATTCAATCCTCTATTTAATAAGTAGAAAATTTGCCTGATTAATATTTTATGAAATCCAACCCATATTGAAAAACAAAAGGTATGCTATTTTAAGCGCGACAAAAAGATAGGGACAAGTCTTGTAACTAAGTTTTCATAAAAGCAAAAAATCTGAAAAAATTTGTATAAGCATATTGATTGATACTAAGTTGAAATAAAAAAGAACTAGGTCCATATCTCATTTGGTTGTCAAGATCCCGATACCCCAAAAATCAACGTAAAACAGGGGTAAGCAACTTCAAAATTTTTTTCAACGCCTTATTGATTGTTTTATTTTTTTCATTTTAGGCTCAATCGATAGCCCATGAAATTTGCTATAAACTAGCCAAATTTCATTTTTCAAAAAAATTTCACTCCAGAGTTAAAGGACGACGATTCTCCAAAACGCTGTTTATGAAGGAATTTATGGGGCGCTTGTTGTTTTTTGTGACATTAGCCTCTACAGCTAACGAAATATTTTTTTCTGAGAAATGAAATTCGGCTTGTTTATAGCAAATTTCAAGAGCTATCGAATAGGCTCAAAATAAAAATTCCAAAAAATCCATAAGGGGTCGAAAATATTTTCTGAAGATGCTTACCCCTGTTTTACGTTGATTTTTGGGGTATCGAGATCTCGACATTGAAATGAGATATTGGCCTAGTTCTTTTTTATTTTATCTTAGTATCGATAAGTATGTTTGCACGAATTTTTGTAGATTTATTGGTTGGGTGACTAATAAGTTACAAGACTTGTCCCTATCTTTTTGTCGGGCTAAAATTTGCAGTACTTTTTTATTTCAATTATTTCAGTATATCAAAAAATAATAATACGCCAGATCTTATACTCATTAAATAGAGGATTGAATGGCGTATTTAATCAAACAAAAAATTTTTCCTGAAATCGATTTTTAGGTGAGAAAATAGGTGATTTCCATTTCACTTGCGTTTGTCCCTATCTTTTTGTCGACTACTGTAAATATACATAAATACCGAGTCATTTCCCACTGATTTGAATTAAATAAATGTATAGCTCTAATATTGTTTAATACAGATTTATTTAACAATTCTCGACAAATATTATAAGCTAACCAAAGTGAATAATATTTAATTAAATTATCATTATATCGTTGTGATGATAAAAGATTAAACATTTCTTGTGGAATTTTAATTTTTGTAAGAGAAGAAAATCTGAGAAGAGAAGAAAAACTCTTAAAAAATAAATTTAATAAATAGAATTTTTATTTAATAATTAGGTAAACTACTCTGACTAATTTTCCTTAAAACGATTATTTAGCCAAGGAAGGACTTTCAGGAACAATTATTCCTCTATAGAGTTCAAGACTCAAACAGACTAAACTGACATATACCTAAAGGTCTAATTTAGAGGTCGGCAAAATCGTGTTTGCGGGATCCCGCATGCGGGATTTTTTTCCAAAATTTTTGCGGGACAGGATTTTGCGGATAAATCCCGCAAAAATCCCGCATCCCGCAAAATCCCGCATTCTAAATTTGCGGGATCCCGCGCGGGATTGCGGGATTTTTAAAAATTTCGAAAAAAATTCGAAAAAGTACGCAGAACGGTAAAGTTTAGCCTGAAAAACAAGCTAACGATACGTCTCAGTGAGATAATGAAATATTACCACTTCCTAATGCAAAAACCTGACTTTTGAGGATTGACTTTTGGCTTTTCACGATTGACCTTTGCTGATCCTGTGGCACGACACGTGAGGATCTTCTGATCCTCAAGTCAGATTCTCAAAAGTTGAGGATCTGACTAATAATATCCTCTACATGTAGGATATAGAAGGATTACATATAAGGGCTAAAGTTTAATATACCGGAGTCTTCATCAGCGCGCAGGCAAAAATTTTGAGAATATAAAGAAGGCTGAGTAGCCAAAATTCTCACTTTTCTAGCGCCGCAGGCGAAAATTTTTGGAATTTCTAGAGTTCAAGACAGAAAATACTCAAATTTACAAAAATCCCGCAAAATAAAAATATTTTGCGGGATCCCGCATGCGGGATTTTTTTTCAAAACTTTTGCGGGACAGGATTTGCAGGATAAATCCCGCAAAAATCCCGCATCCCGCAAAATCCCGCAAATGACAAAAAGTGCGGGATTGCGGACGCGGGATCCCGCAAAATCCCGCGCGGGATCCTGTCCCGCGCCGACCTCTAGTCTAATTATTGACATAGTAGAATAACTTACTCTGTGCTCTCTAACCTTTAGCCTTCTCTTTTTAATCATCTAATGTTTATTATTAATCGAACTTATAATTAGAATCTTCGTATCTTTCTAATAGAACCATTGTGGTTCTATTTTTCAACCCTTCGATTTTTGTGGTTAAACAGAAAAGGAGATGTGCCTAACAATAAGATCTTTTTTTCTTTACTCTCATCAAATGTCACTTTCACTTAATGCAAATTTTTTGTCAGGGAAGTGATATACAAGTGAGATTCTACTGTACCTGAAAAAGTAAAATTCCAGGTATAAAATGAACATTAATTCCCGCCTGCCTACAATCTGCAACAAATTGAAAAAATTTTTCTGCTCCTCTATCAAATGAAAATTGGCAAACAACAAAATTAGCATTTCCTTCACAAATTTTTCTTTTTAAAAATAAAATATCAGAATTTCTGTTATAAGCAAAAGGATGACATTCTGGATATCCAGCAACAGCAAATGTTAATAAAGTATTGTTGGTAGATAATTTATTTGATTTAATTCTTTTAATTAAATGAAGGGAATCTAATTGGGGAGATTTTGGTGAAATCTTTTTTTAAAAAATATAAAAATTTATTTTATTGTCAACCTCCAAATTATAATTTATATAATCATAATTTTCTCTTTTTGGCGAATCTCCACTTAATACAAAATAATTATTAATTCCCAATTGTTTAAGTTTTGTAAAATAAAAATCAACAAATGAGTGAGGGAAATTAATAAAACTTTTTCCGGTACTCTTGTGTTATCTCCCCCCATTTTATTTTTCTTCTCCTTTCTTTTTCTTTCTCCATAAAAATCACACATGAATCCGATTAAGATACTGTTAAAGAATTATGGCGATAGGTACCAACTCTGGGTACTTATTTAGTGATTTTGGTGCTGATTTTGGTGTCATTCGACACACCTCGATGGGTTCTACAATTGTTGTTCAGACTGACCATTTTTACATAATTTTCGAAAAAACTGACTGGGGGGGGGGACTAAATAAGTACCCCAACTCTGGTTTTTTAAGGACCATTGTCCATTATTGTGCTTGTTTAAAGTAACTCTGGATGAATAGGGCCCTCTATTCCCTTAAAATATTCTGGTAATACAGTGAGCGCATTGTAAATAGAAGTACTGGTACATGCACCAACGTTGGGATTGGATCTCTAATTTCAAAACATGGTAACTCAAAGCATAGATTCAATTTGACCCATGTGCATTTTTTAAGAAATAAAAATGAAAGGGGAAGAAAAATAAAATGGGGGGAGATAACACAAGAGTACCCTTTTTCCAGTAATGTGAAGAATTAAATGGGAATTTTTTGGAAGAATATTTTCATTTAATATTTTTGAGGCGATTGAAGTTGAGGAATTAGGTAATGAAAGGTCAGCTAAAAATATTTTGAAAAATTTTATTTAAAAATTATTTCCCTTTATTTTTTACTTGGATTATTTTCAGCATGTGCAACAATACTTAAAAATAAAAAAGAATTATTTGTCGCTGTGTTATTAATTAATTTATTTAATGAATTAATAAAATTATTAATTTTATTAATTTCTTTTGGAGGGGAAACTTCAATACAAAAGAATGGACCATCCGTCGAATTTATAAAATTTAATTTATTTAAAAGTGAATTATTATATTGGATTTTATTCATTTAAATATTTCTAATAAATAAATTAGATGGGAGAAAAAATTATAAAATGTGGAGTGATAAGAAGAAATTAACTAAAGATTAATTACAAAAGATGGAGTAAAATTTGTGACAGTCGAGAGTTTTTATCTTTTTGGCATTTTGATATTATTGTTGGGATATTATGTCATTTTTAAAATTAATTTTTAATTTTTTTCAGAATTTTGGAAATGTCAATCAATTTCATTTCTTTACCAAAAAAATATTCCAAACATTATTTACAAATTAATTTCCAAAATTTCCAACAAAAAGCTAATTATGGGGCTCCTCGTTTTAAACCAAAAATTTTGAAGACAAAACCTTTAAGAACTCCATCAATGCTTGCTCTAGACAATTTTGATTTTTATTACGGGCCTTTATTTTCAAATAAATGGCCGTCAATCCGTTTAGGGTTGTTAATGCCTAATAAATTTGCTGCTGTTGTTAATCGATTTTCTTCGAGTTTTGAGGTTTTTTGGGGAAAGAATTCTTAATAAATAAATTTAAAGGTAAATAAAAATATTATGGAAAGTCTGGGAACAATTAATTTAATTAAACAAATTGTTAATAATAGAGATCCGCCAAAAGAAGTTGAAATAATTAGAAAAAGATTTGATTCAAAACTTTCTAAATTACAAGAAAATAAAACAAATAATTTGGTTAGTTTATTTTAAAAAATATTTTTTAAATTAAAAAAAAATTAATTTAAGATTTCAACAACAAATTCTTCAAATCCAATAGACTATGACGTTGAAAGCCGTTTAGAGTCGGGAATGGAATTTTATCTTCCTCCAACACATGAATTAAAACATGGAGAATTGGAAGCTTCAGATAAGGAAATGGAGTTAATTGAAGGGTCTGGGGCCTATACAAATTAAAATCTACATTCTACATCTAAAAATTTTATTGGAGTGAAATGTAGATTGTAGATTTATAGAATGTAGCCAATACCAATAAATTTAAAATGTAGATTAGTAGATGTAGTTTGTAGATTTGTATTCTGCAAATGTAGATAGGATTGTAGCCGATCCAAATTATATTTTTGGTATTTCTACATCTACAATCTACATCTACACTTAAAAATATTATCTTGTAACTAAATTTTTGATAACTAAAATTTTGACACAAGATATTATCAAACACAAGATATTATCTTGTCAAAATGTATTTTTAAAATTTAATCAGTGATGTTTAATCGCAGAAATTAGGGACGGATATCCGCGGATTTGGAGCATCATATCCGTATCCATCCGTATCCGTCCGATTTTTTTAAAAACACTATCCATATCCGTCCGTATCCACGGGTATCCGGATATTATCCGATCCATGACCATGACTCGTACAGCTTGTCTGTGCGTGAAGCGAAATCTTTCATGAAAATCATTGGGTCGATTGTAAATAATACGATTTTTAAATCTATATTTTATTTGTTGTTGAATTTCATCATCATCGGAGTCATTAAAATTAGCGAAAATATATTCTTCATCCATTTTTATAAGTAAAAAATAAAAAACTAGATTTGAGAGGAGGTTTTTAGCGTCTACCAAATTTCCGTAAAATGTAGATAAAAAATGTAGATTTTTGGAATGTAGATTTTAATTTGTATTAAACAGGCTACAACCTACATAATTCTGACAAAAATCTACATAATTCTGGCGACATCTATATCTACAAATTTTGTTTAATTTGTATCGGCTATAATCTACATTCTATACATATACATTTATAAATTGTAGATGTAGGCTGTAGATGTAGAATGTAGATTTTAATTTGTATAGGCCCCTGAGCCGAATATTCGAAGAATTATTTATGACAGCAAATTCAAGTAATTATTTTGATTAATTTTTGGGTAGTTGTGGGGATGTTCATCAAGTCTTTAAAATTACAAATTATAAAAATAACCAATAAAAACCCATTAATGAACGAAAAACATTACATTTTGTCTCTAAAATATTTTTCAGAGTCACAGGTTTAGAATCGATAGATGCCGATCCATTAATTACTGTCGATGATTCTTTAATTTATCCACGTGATCTCCAAGTATTTATACACCCTCCGCAATGTATTGATGGATTTCCTGGCCCAATTAGAGATGAACAAAATGTTTCAGGTTTTTTTAATTTAATTTTTTTCTATTTTTTAAACTGTTTATTTACCTTTAAAAGTAATTTCTTTTTCAATTTTTTTCTCAAATAATTTTTTAATTTTAACATTTTTAAGGCTGGTGGCTTTTGGATGGGGGATCAATTCTTCCAGTACTTGCTCTAGATTTAAACGAGGATGATATAGTTTTAGACATGTGTGCATCTCCTGGTGGGAAAAGTTTGTTAATTACCCAAACTGGAAAATTTGGTATTCTTTCGAGAATTTTTTCAAAAAATTTTTTCCTTCAAAAAAAGCTTCTCTTGTTTGTAATGACAATAAATTATCGAGACTTGGTCAACTTAGAAGAGCTTTGGCAATGTATATCCCCGCTGGAAGTGAGGCAGCATCTCGCATTATTTTGAAAAGAAAGGACGTTTCTAGTGTTGAATCTTGGGATGAATGTGGAATTTATGATAAAGTTTGGGAAAAAATTTTTGTGGAATTAAATTTTGGGTTTTTAGGTGCTTTTAGACGCTCCTTGTACTTCTGATCGTTTATCGGCTAATCAAGATGATAATAACATTTTTGCAACGGATAAAACAACGGAACGATTAGATTTGCCACAAAAACAAACAAAAATGTTAATGTAGGGATTTTTTTGAAAATTAATTTTTGTTTTTAGAAAACGAAAATTTTTAAAATTTCGAAGGTCGTAAGCGAAAAAATTTCATTTTTCCTATCATCTTTTTCACAATATTTTTCCCTTCTCCCCATTTCAGGGGGGGGCTATAGCTCTAGAAGCTCCTTGGTACGTCCTTAACAAAACAGGAATTTGATTTTCAAAAATAGTTATACATTTTTAGAGATTTCTAATGAAATAAAAAATTAAAAAAAAGTTTTTTTGTTTTTTTTTAGTTTTAGGGATTTTAAATTAGAAAATTTATTTTTTATTTTTTAAGTAATGCTCTTCGTTCAGTCCGTGTTGGAGGTTCAGTAGTTTATTCTACATGTTCATTAGCACCAACACAAAATGAATTAGTAGTTGAGAATGCAGTTGTTTTGGCTCAACAACATTACGGAATTAAATTTGTAGAACGTTCATTAAAAAGAATGGAAAAACTTTTAAAAAGGACGGGGCTTTACAGATTTAGTGATCAACAACAAAGAGGAAGTCTTGTTTTGCCTTATATTGTTTCTAATTTTGGACCTATGTTTATTTGCAAATTACAAAGAATTATTTAAATTTTTATTTAAAAAATTGTTTTTTCTTTGTTTGTTTTTAAATAAAATATATAAAATTATTAAAATTTCTAATAGAATAAGGGGAGTAGGCCAACGTACAGCCTACATCAATGCAAACTTTTCATTAATTTCCACTGCAATCAAACGTTTTGAAGCCCAAGGAATTACATTAGCCGAGGATTTTGACTGAAGTTAAAGAAGTAATTGCCGCGGCAACTGGTGAAAAAATCCGAAAAAATTTAACAACGTGCTCGAAAAGAACGCCTTGGCATGGTTGGATGCATCTCGACTAGCTAAATCGAATCATATCAGGATGTCCCGGATTCGACCATTTTAGCTCTGCGGTACGTTGTCTTCGCGGTACGTTGGGATGTAGCCTAGAATATGAGCCATAATAGAGGATGCTTTTTTAGAGAAAAATAGGAGGAAGGCCTTTTCACTTTTATGTTTTAAAATTCACTTTTTATTTTTTTGTCATTTCCTTTTTCTGTGCTTGACCTAATTTAAGAAAGCGCAATTTATTTTTAAAGATTTATGATTATATTTTTGATTGCGAAAAGCTAATTATTTAATATCTTTTTTAATTTAAAGCTTAACATTTAAAAAGTTATTTGTTTAAAAAAATAATGAAAATAAAATATTTCTTAATATTTTTATTTTATTTTAATTTTATTATTTTGTTTTTTGTAATGGCTAAAGGAAAATGGGACCCAAAATTGAAAATAAATATTTTTCCATTGGAACAACAATTCTTTGCTGAGTTTTTAATTTAAATTTATTTAAATATTTTTTTTTATTTTGGACGTTCTGTTGATTTATGTATGATGGAAGAAAATAAATCTAAATGGAGTAATTTTGGTAATTGGACAGAATGCACAGAAAGTTGTGGAGGTTGTGGAATTAGATGGAGAAATAGAGAATGCTTAAAAAAGAAGGATGAATGTAATTGTATTGGGTAATAATTCAGAAAAAAAGAGAATAGGGTAGCTGGGTTGTTCTCCACATGTCCATCACCGAAAGTCGGGAATCCCTGATAGAGTTAATATCAAGTTTTGGATGGAAGGGGAGGGGGAATAAATAAATGAGTTGATAAATAATTAAAAAAAACAAGAATGATTTTGAGGGAAAATTTTTCTTTAAAGAAAATTCAGTAAATTGTCTATAAATATTTAAATAATTTAATATTTTTAAGGAAAAATAGAGAAGAGGAAGTTTGTAATTTACATGTTTGTATTTATCCAAAACAGCCAACTTGTTGTGGTCAAAGGTTTCCTGCATCAGTTAATGGAACATTTTCTTGTGCTATTTTACCTAAATCTGATATAGTAGAGAATGAAACATTAAAATATTAATTTTTGAAGAAATTGTAATTTTAAAATATAATTTTATGGATAATTATATTATTTGTTAGATAATGACGTTTTTATTTTTTATAGACATAATAAACAAGTAATAAAATAACGGCATTATTATCATCAAAAAAATAAAAAATAAAAAGATTTTCAATTGTGTCTGTGTAATATATTCAAACAAAAAATAAATGAGCAATAAACCAGAAGAAACAATTGTGTAATAAATTTTTTATATTTTTTTCAATATTTTTATAACACAATTAATAAAAAAATATTTTTTAAGTAATTCAATTCATTTTAAATTAAAATCCAGTTCTTTGTTATTTTCACTAAAAACGTCTCAACTTTCCAGTCCAAAACCTATAAAATTTTTATATAATTACTGTATCCTTTTATCTGTTTAAATTTCTTTATTATCGCGAATAATTATTAATTTTTAAAATAAAAAAAGTTTATTAGATTATTATTGTATATACTTCATTTTAAATTTAAAGAAATATGCCAAAATTAGAGGGAAGGGAAATTAATTTTTATTTTTTTTTGGATTTTAAATTTTTTATTTAGCGAAAAGAATTCTAATTAAAATATTTAAACCTGAACTTTTGTATTACAGGGAATATATATAAGGGGAAAATAATAATTTTATATAATATTTAAAAATATTTGTTATTTAATTTTTTATTCCAAAATCTTAGAAAAAATTTTTAGCGCCAAACTTAAAAAAAGCAAATCACTGCAGTTTTTAGAGAATTTTTCTTGTATATTTTTAACAAAAAATAAAAAAAGAAAAAGATGCTTGTTTGGATGAATGACCGCCAAATATACCGCGCCGCTAAATCACACACATAAATACATTTACACGTTTTATCAAAAATAAATTGGATAATTTCCAATGAAAGAAAATAAAAGTTTTTTTCCCTTTACTTTTTGCGAAAAAACTCCAAATTTTTGTAATTTTTCTAATTCCATTAATTTTAAATATTCTTTGGCTAAAGCCTTATTTTGGTCAGTTTTTTCTTCTTAATTAAAAACTGGATATATTAATTAATTCTTTACTAAAATCAAAAAAAGTTTTTGATTATTTTCTTTTAATTAATTTAATCTCTCTCTTCTCTCCCTTTATTTATTTTTTATCAACCAAGTATATCCATTTATTTTTTCCTCAATTATCTTCTTCTCTCCTTCCTCTTCAATTATTTTCACAATTCACTAATTAATTTATTCAAATATTTTTCTTTTTTTCTTAACTTTTCTTAACAATTTGTTTATCCTAATTTTAAAAAAACTAAAAAAATAATTAGTTAAAATATATTTTTATATCTAAAATTCTTTTGCTGGTTTTGAAGTTTTTTTTTGTTCTTAAATTAAAAATAAATATACATTTTCCTTTTTTGTATAAATACTTTAATTCAAAATAATTTTATTTTTCTATTTTTATTTTAATCTAGCACTTGAGGTTAATTTAAAAGAAAATTAACTTTTTTGTTTATTGAAAATATTTTTTTGTTAAAATTTTATTTTGACTTAACTACATATGTTTGATTTTTTTCTAACTATATAACATAGTAAACACAAACAATAAATAAATTTGGACAAACTACACCCGAAATTATTTTTTTATCAGCATCTTTATTTAACTTTTATTAAGTTTATTTTATTTTCTGGTTTTATTCAAGTTGGGAATTCGAAATTTAATCAAAAAAACTAAAACAATATTTATAAATAATATAAATTTTCTTATTAATATACTAATACCTATAAATAGTTTATTTTTTATTTTTAAACAAATTAAAATTAGATTTTAAAATTTCTTATTTAATTATTAAAATAATTATATATAAATTAATTAAATGTTCCAAAATTTAAATATTTAAAAAAACAAAGAATGTTTAATTACGTGTTAAGATCAGTCAAAACCGTTTTAAGACATAAAACTATCTCAACCTCCACCCTCTCTATTTACTTTAAATAAAGTGTTGCGCAGAAGGTGGAAGGAAGGGAAGGGAAGGGGGGGGGGTGATGTTTCTAGGCACATGAAAAAGGGAACGTCATTCAAAATGATCTCTCTTATTCAAGAGATTAATTGTCGAGAAGATATATATATTAAAGCTTAATTTAGTTATTTAAATTAATTGAGGTAAAAAATAAATGTCCATGTGTTTATTAATTCCTCCCAGTTAAAATATTTTAATTAATTTTTTTTAAATTTTTCTCTAAAATAAATTTTTTTATTGATATCACAGATCACTTTTTGAATAATCAATCTGTCATTTTGAATCAGAATTATTTAATTTTATTTTAAAGACAGTGATTAATTTAATTGAAGGGCAACAAATATTTTTATTTTCTCGCTTCTGTGGGTGGTTTTGATTTCTCAAATTTTTTCAAAAACATTTAAACACTATTAAATAAATTATTTAATTTAAAAAATATTTTTAATTAATTAAAAATATTTTTTAAAAAATATTTTATTTTTATTTTTCCCTCAATATTTAACTTAATTCATTAATTTTAATACAAATAATTTATTTTAAAATATTTTCCCAAATTGTTAAATTAAATCATTTTAGTTATCTAATTACTCATTTTTTAATAATTTTCTTTTTTAATATTAATTTATTTTAGTTTAATTATTTGAATTTTTTATTAGTTTTAATTAATAAAATATTTAATTTAAATTTAAATAAAAATTTAAGTTATTTTTTATTTAATTATTTTCGTTTACTTAAAAAATATCGGGACGAGATTGATGACCTAAAAAGTTTTTTGGCGACCTTTTTTCTTTTTCTCGCATTTTAACAATATTTTAAGTGTAAAAATGTCTAAAAAATGAATAAGTAGCACTTAATGTTTGCTAATATTTTTTTCTAAATATTTGCTTTAAAAATATTTTAAATAATTTTACTAAAAATACGTATAGTAATTTATATTGAAAATATTTGAATTATATAAACCGTAAATGCTTAAACCCTGGGTGTCGTTTTTTCATGGTCGGTGGGCTTATATTAGATATGGGCTTCTATTAGGGAATGAGCGTTTATTTTTCAATACTTAAACTTAAATCACACTTGGATTACATTTGATTTTCAACCAGGATACAAAGTATACTCAATATGTATAATGTTTATGGTATGATCAAATCTGTCCCGAATGAGATGTCGTATTGATATTTGACTTTATATATTTAAAACGTTTCTTTTAGAAAATACTCTAATTTCCTTTCTGTCAGTTGCGCAATCTGAACTTTTTTTAAATAGGAAAAAATATATGTATTTCAAGTCAATTTCGATTTATTTATTGTCGCCTATATAAAATAAATACTTTAATTTTTTAAACAACACAATTTTGGCAGTTTTCATTTATTTCTACTGACCTTTATTTTTGTTATTTAGACAAACTCTTTTTTAATTTAATTCTCTCCATGTGTAATCACTAAAAAGTGTTGATAACATTTTTTATATTTAATTTGGCAATTTCTCTTTAAATTTTTAAAGTAATTCTTAATTTATTTTTTTCTGACTTTAAAAATTAAAATTGTTTTATTTTTAAAATTTATTTCAAATATTTTTACTTAAATTTTGTCTTCCTACAAAATCTTTTTATAATTTTCAAAATATTTTTAGTTAGTAAATGCGTCATTAACTAAAAATAAATTTAAAAATAAAGTGTATCCATTTTTCAAAGAAAATAAAATTATTTTAATCTTTTGTTTAATTTAAATCTCAATTACAAACAAAACTTTGAGAGAAACAAAAAATTAAGTTAAAACACAACTTTAAATAATTAAAAACAAACTTTTTATTTTTTTATATTTAATTTATTTAAAAAATATATCCTCAATAAATAGTCCAATTTTTATTTAATTTATTTTTAAAAATAATACTAACTAATATTTTTTTAATTTTAGAATTTTAAATTTATTTATAAAATGCCCTTCTTTAATTTAAATAAAAACGGTTCTTCTCATGAAAAAAAAGGTTTTAATCATCGTTGTGATCTTGAAGAAAGTATTGCTGTTGATTCTCTTTTAAATGAAAATAATGAATCTAAGTATGTAAATAATAAATAATTTTAAATAAAAGGGTCCCAATTTTACATACATCCACAATTTGGTAACCTCAATTTATTGTACTTTTTTGAAATTTGTTTGGGGTTTTTTTGTGTTTAATATAAAATATTTATTAAGAAATAATTAAATCAATTTTTTAACAAATATTAAGTCCTCATCTTTTAATAGAAAAATCCATTTAATATTCTTTAATTTTTCACATGAACATAATCACAAAAATGTTCTTAAAATAAATCAAAACTTAATTTCGTCATGAGTAGTTTAAAATAATTTTTTATTTCCTAAAAAGGAGAGCGGAACGTGTTCTTGCACTAATTGCCTTATTGACTTTATTGTTTGTAGCTATTGAAGTTATTGGTGGTTGGCTGGCACATAGGTAATTAAATAGAGATTTTTAAATTTAGAAGAGCTATTTTATATTATATTAAATTAATTGTTAATTTTTATCTTTCGAATAAAAATATTTTTTTAATTTTCCAGTTTGGCCATAATGACAGATGCTTTTCACATGATATCAGATTTAAGTTCATTTCTCGTTTCTATCTTGGCTATTCGTCTTTCCCGTCGCCAACCAAATGTTCGACATAGTTATGGATTTCAAAGAGCAGAAGTACTTGGGGCTTTATCTAGGTAATTTAATTAATTAAATTTAATTAAAATTAAATTAATTTTAAAGTGTTATTGTTATTTGGGTACTTACTGGAATGCTTTTGTATATGGCTGTTTGGAGGATTGTGGCAAATGAATATGAAGTTAAACCTGATACTGTAATTTTTATTTAAATATTTTAAGATTAATTAGGTTAATGTTCCCCTAATTATTCCTTTTTGTTATGAAACTTTGCTACGAAAATAATTTTAATTAATTTTGTAGATGATGTTAACTGCTGGTATCGGTGTTTTATTTAATTTACTTATTGGCACTCTTCTTCATATAGTTTGGAGAAATGGAGGAGCCGGACACTCACATATCCATTCACATAATCATTCAAATAAAAATATTCAATCAAATTTAAACAATAAAGAAGGAAAAGAAAAAAAGAATTCAACAAATTCAACAATTCCAATACAAATAAATTTAGAAGCAAGAAATGGTTCTATTGTTTCTATTGAATCTACAGCGGTGAATTAATTAATAATTAATTATTTTAAATCAAATTATTTAATTAAAACAAGGGTTGAGGCGAAGCATTTTAGACTAAAAAAATCTAAAAATTTCAAACTATAATTTTAATAAATAAAATTATATATTCAAAAAAAATATTTTTCCTTTTAGGTAGACAATACCAATACAAGTACATCATCTTCTTCCTCTTCAGATATTGAAGAAGAAAATAATAGTCAATGTAGTGGTAGTAATAAAAGCAATAATTTAAATATTCGTGCTGCTTTTGTTCATGTTCTTGGAGATTTATGTCAATCTTTGGGTGTTTTAATTGCTTCTATAATAATTAAATTTACTGGTTATGCTATAGCTGATCCTATTTGCACATTTTTCTTTTCTTTTCTTGTTTTACTTACAAGTGTCCCTGTTTTTAGTGATGCTATAACTATTTTGGTTAGAAAATACATATTATTTTTTAAATCTTATCCTTTTTTCTTTAAAGATGGAGGCTAGCCCCCAATTTGTTTCTCACGACAAAATTCATAAAAATTTATTATCTTTGCCAAATGTTGTTGGAATTCATTCTCTTCGTGTTTGGGCATTAAAAAGTGATACACTTGCAGCTACTGTACATTTAGAATTGAAAGAACATTCTGATGCAAACAAAGTTTCAATTATGGCACAACACTTACTTGCTAAAATACATCGAATTCGTTTCTCGACTGTTCAGGTATTTTTTGAATTTAAAAAGAAAATATATAATTTTATTTTTTATAGTCACATTGTAATCAATTTAAAAATAATATTAAAAATAAAAATGAATTTTTGGTGGAAATAAATGAACGGTTGGAGAACAACAAGGAATTACAAACAACAATAAATTCTTTGGAGAAATTTTAAAATTAAAAATCTCAAATTAAATGATTTTTCTTTTTTTGCAATAATAATTTAATTTTCTTTTTCATTTAAACTTTCTAAGAATTGTTATAAATTTAGAAACTTTCCAATAAATGATAATTTTTTTCCCTTTTTTTAAATTTTCGAACCAATTTCTGTCAACTTTTTCCAAAATAAACTTTGTTTTTAATTTTATCAATCATTTTTTAAATTTGTAAAATTTGAATAAAGTTGAAAATTTTTTTTAAATCTAAAATAGTAAATGTCAAAAATATTTATTTTTGAAATTAGGATTGTCAAAATTTCGATTAATCTTTATAAAATGATTTTGTCAATAAAAAATTTTGGGTTTATAAAAAGATATTTAGTAAATTTAAATTGTGAAAAGAAAAGAATTTAAGACAAATGAGAACAATAAAAGGATGAAATAAATTTTTAAAATTTATAATTAAATATTTAAATGCTTTGAATAATTAAAAAAATGTATTAATTGACTAGAAAATATATTTTAAAAAATTAAAAACACAATAATTTCCTTTAATTTATTGTCTAATAAAAGTATCAGGTATTTCATCAATAACACTAAAACTTTCTCTTTTACCTTCTCTATTATTAACATTTTCAATTATTGTTGTTGCTTCCCTTAAAGCAAATAAATCCCTGCTCATATCTGAAAACCATTTTCCAACATTTTTTCTTTGTAATAAAGCACAAATTAAAAGTGAAATTAATCCAAATAATGAAAGACCGGCACCGGCTGCACGAAAAACCAAATCTTTTTGCTTAAAAATTAAATTAGATATTAAATTAATTTAAATTTTGTATGAGAAAAATATTTTTTTAATTTTTGTTTTATAATTGAGATTAATGTTTTTAAAGTAAAATATCTAAATTTTGTCTTTATAACAATGCCAAAACTAATCATAATTTAAAAAATTTTACTTCGATGTTTCTAACTAAAAAAATTCTAATCTATTGATAAGAAGATTTTTTGGTAAAATATTTAAATAAAAATTTATTTTAATTCAAAAATAAACTTACAGAAAATATAACAATTATACCACTTAATAATAACATTAAACCACAAACAAATAATCCAGATAAAGCCATTACTGTTTTTAAAGAACTTGGGACAGATTTATGTTTACGTTTTTCCTTTTTTTAATTTTATATTTAAAAAACAAAAGAAAAATCTAATTATTTAAAATTTCACCTGTTAATTTAAAAAATATTTATTTATATTACCTTTGTGAATGTTGATGTTTGAAAATCCCTTAATGAATCTTTACGCCAAGTTGAATAACGTTTTTTGGGTATTACAATATTAGACATAGTTTTTGATATAGATTGAGAAGCCTATAAAAATAACTTTCTGTTTTAGGCAAAAAATTTAAAACAAATAAAAATTGAAAATTTGTTGTACTCGATACACTTTAGGAAAATTAACTTGACCAAATTATAGAAATATGGTGAACGGATAACAAAGAAATTTGCCATATTTCACAAATTAATTCTATTTAAAGTAATTCATATTTAGGTAGTTTACATTTATATATTTTTAGACAAATAAATGCATAAACTACTTTATTTATGCATAAACTCAAAAATATATGCATAAACTACATACTTTTTGGCATTATTATTTCCAAACAATAAAATAAATATTTTTATTTTGTTTTAAATTTTTATAAAAAATAATTTTAAAATTAAGAAAAACCATTTTTTGTTTATATTGTGATGAAAGCACAGCCTCTCCCATTTTTTTCCAATTTACTTGAGCACTTTTATTTCTCCCAATAACTTTTTTGGTAAACGGATAAGAAGGTCTATTTCTGATAGGCTTAGGTGGAGGTAAAGCATTGGATTCTAAATATAATAATTATTTAATTGTAAAAGTTTTTAAATTTTTTACCAGGAAAAGAAATTTGAATTTTCGGTGTATTTTGTATTGGAGATATTTTATTAGGAAATGTACTGTTATTATTATAAGTACAAACAATATCGGTAGAAAAAGATGCTCGTTGATGGGCATAATAATTTAAATTATTATTTGATTGGAAATTATTCATTTAATATTTAAATTTTATTAATTTATAAAAATTAATATTAAAAAAAATATTTAAAAAAAAAGTTTTTTGCCAATTTTAGCTCGATTTTTAATAATAAAAAGACAATTAATTTATTTAAATTAACCTTCTCTAAAAAATAATTTAGAGAAACAAAAAAATATATTCATGCTTAATGAATTTGTCGCTAGACTTAGTCATTCCTTTATTTCTCCAATCTATTTTCTGTCTTCATAAATTTTCACCTATTCATGCTTTGTCATATTTGCACATCTTTTTAAATATTTGGAGGGAAGAGGTGAAGGAAAAGGAGGGTCAAAGCGGATGAAATTGAGGATGATTCGAAAAATAAAAAAAGATAGGGCCAAAAAAGTAAAAAAAATTGTTAAAATTAAAGAAAAGAAAATCGATAAATTTTAAATAAAAAATGTACTTCTTAGGTATTTGGCTACATAGACAAATATAAGGAAATAAATTTAAAAAAAAAGAAATTGATTTGAAAAAAAACTAGAAGACGTCTATTTGTGATTAAATTTAAAGAAATTTAAAAGTTCACTTTTAATTTTATTGTTTTGTCATTTTTGATAATTAAAACTAGAGTTGGGCAGTCTAAATTAATATTATAAATATATCAATTTTAAATTCATTAAATCTTGTCTTATGGAATTGAAATTATATACTATGTCTGAATATAAATTAATAAAATAAATGAAGATATAATTATCTAATTAAAGTTATCTAATCCAACTCCGTAAAAAGTCAGGATATCAAAATACTTCTGTATTCCATACCGGATATATGTAAATACCCAAAGTTTCGGATTGGATCCTATAAAAAGAAATTTTTTTGACTACATACTTTTTTTTAATTATTTAAGAAAAGTAAAACGAATTTCTAAGCAACAATTAAAAAATTTCTTTTGTAAATAGGTTTTTAATGAACATTTCGGTGCTATCAATTTGACAGTAGGCAAAATAATAGCTTTAATTCCCTAACTTTAACACATTGTATTTGTTTTTTCCTATTAATAATTTGTTTATTTTTATCTAAATCTTTATGAGAAAATATTTTTTTAAAATTGCTTTTTAAATATTTATATTAAATTAGTTTTTTAAATACAATTAAAATTTAATCAAATTTATTTAAATTTAACCAATTAAAAAGTCTTGGGTTTTAAAATATAAAATTAAAAAATATTTTTTAAACAAAATTTTAAGGAGCAACAGATTCATCAGAAAATGCAGATTCATCGCTTTCTTCCCTTTTCTCTTCTCCTCTTAAAAATAATTCCAAATAAGAAGAATAAAAAAGTAAAGAATTTGTAGAAATATTTAATTGTTTAAGTAATTCCTGAGCTTTACAAAATAATTTATTTTCGTCAATTTTATCATTTTTCTCTTGTGGATGAATCTTAAAATTAAAAAAAAAATTTTAATTAAAAAGAAAATTTACTTCAATATCAAGAAAAGTCCCCAAACCATCAACAATATCCAAATGGAAATTAACAGAACCCAAAATAAAAGTCTTTCGCTTTTTTCGAATTATTGCCAATTCTTCCAAACACAAACCTAATGTGTGCTGAAATTTATAGAGGAATTTTTAAAAATAATTTTTTTTCGTTTTTTACTCTAAATTGTCCAGCTTCTTTTAATGTCGACGTTCTCGCCTCAAAAAAATGTAAAAATTTCCCCAAAGATTTACTGTCATGGTCAATTGAAGAATTTTGGACAGAAATTGAAATTAATTCTCCAATATCCTTCCCTGGATGTGCAAAACGAATTTTTAATTGGCCTTTAGGTACTCGATAAAATATTTCTTCTGATGTTGTTACTAATCCGAGAGAGTCAGTTAAAGAGAAAAGTTTCTATAAATTTTTGGAAATTTTTAAAAATTAAATTTCTTCTTTTTTTACCCATTGCATTGCCTCCTCTTCATCATTTACTTTAATTTTAACACTTAAATAACATTTTGTCTGTGCAAAGCGAAATAAAGGTAAAAATGATTTTAAAATAATTTTGTTGTTATTGTTTTTGTGACAAATTGCTTTATTGTTGTCCATTTAGAAAATTAATTAATTTTAAATCTAGAAAATCAAAATATTTAAAAACTCGAAATTTGAACACCAAATCAATGGAAAAAAGGAGAAAATAAGGTTAAAGAATTTTAAAGAATAAAAAAGAATTATAAAATGTTAAAAAGAAGGTTCTCAATTTAAAGTTTAAAAAAAGTTAAAAGAATTAAATTAGTTTAAAAATAAATTAATAAAAGTATGGAATAAAATTAAAATAAATTTTTAAAAGAAATTTAAATTAAAAAATAGCTTTACAAGCTTTTGTATTTAATTAATTAAAAAGTACATACACAATAAATTAAAATAAGGACAGAGCCAGGCACGAACATATTTACAATAAAATAATAATCGAAAAATTAGAAAAGGAGGAGGAGGAAAAAAGAGTTAAATTAGAGGTAGGGAAGGAAGAACGCTAAAAAATAAAATGCGAAAAAATATTTATTTAATTATTTAGGAAGAAAATGATTAAATAAAAATGGACGATTCAGCAAAAAAAAATTAAAAGAAACTCCTTTCTAGGAACAGAAAAATAAAAGAAAAATACTTGATTAATTACAAAAAATATTTTTTTAATTAATTGCTAGAATAGATGATTAGCAAAAAATATATTTTGTTTGTTTGTACTTTTTAATATTTGTTATTTGGGGGTATTCTTTAAAGAAAATTTAAATATATATTTTGATAAACAAATAACAACTTCTTACAAATATTGCTTGTTTGTTTGATAATTTGTTGTAAAAAAAGAAAAATTGGTTTTTAATTGAAAAAAATTTGAAGTCAACGAAGCTAAAAGTTAAAGAAATAATAGAAAAAAAAGTACAGATAATTTAAATAATTATTTAGATTAGAATTTATTTATAAATAAATAAATTCTATTTGAACAAAAATATTTAAAAAAAAGTTAAAATAAAATTATATCATTCTAAGTTACCTAATAGAAGCCCGCTCATTGAGACTCATTGAAAAATAGAAGTCCAGGCTTTAATTCCCTTTAACTTATTACACCGAATCATTTTTAGCATGTTTAGATTGTATTAGGTATTTATAAAGTATTCTGACTAGATTGTTGAAAAAATAATACATCTAAGTTCACAAGAAAATTTATAAAACATTAAGATTTATTGTTGAATGAAAGGAAGATTTCGTAAATCATATTAGGGCTAGCCATAATATTCGGATATGCCTTGAGCTGATGTTTGAGCTGATCAAGCCTAAAATGATGTTTTCACATAGTCCTGAGCGTTTTAAAAAACCGCTTATTGATGAATATTTGTGCATATTTTCATATCGGTGCACATTTTGTCATATTTTGTAAAATTTAGCGTAAGTTGGTCAAAATTTTGTAATTTTTTGATGTAAATTCTTTAAGAAATGCTCTTAAATTGCAATTTTGTTTTGTATTTTTGTTTTGTACTTGAAAAGTTGATTTTTAAAGCAGTATTCCACTGTTATTTACTCCATATTTAGTGCATATCTTAGGATTTTTTTGCATATGTTTTTCTTATTATTTATTTGCAAAATTAAATGATAAAATAATTTATTAATGAAGTTGCCATTTCTAGTTTTATACCGTCTTTTTGTTTTTCCTTCGTGTTTGTCCGCCTTCTAATTGTAAAAATATATTTTCTTATGTAAATTCGATATCCATTATGTATTCGATATCCATTTTTGATTTAAACTATTTTAAATTCACCTTGTGTGTATTAACCTAATTAAACATTATGTAAATTTACATTTTTAATTATATTTTAGTTAGATTTATATATTTTCTAAAATTAAATTTATATTTTTCCATTAAAGATTTTTATAATAAAATTTATTAAATATTTTCATTTTTTCTTTACAATTTTTATTAAAAAAATTATTTGCCATTTTCCCTTTTTTTCATCATTTTCCCGTTTCTTTTTATATTTTTCCCAAAAATTGACTTGTGCGCACTGATAAATATACTGCTACACATAAATGCAGTAATTATCAGTAGCAAAACAACAAGAAAGGAAAAAGAGATTTAAGTAATTTAGAGTCTAAATAAATAAATAATTATTTAAATTTAATAAAGAAAATTAATAATTATTTTAAATAAATTATTTAAATTAAAATAAAAGTTAATTTAATATAAAAGTTTTATTTTTTATTAAAAATTATTTAAAATTAATTTCTTTTTTTACCCTTTACTCAAATAAACCCTTTATTACTATCTAATACCGGTTGTCGCTTGTGTGGTAATAAAATTATATTTAAAAGAAAAATATAAAATTGTCATCGTAAAAAAAAAGAGAATCGTTTTCTCGTGTTGATTATACTCCACAATTAATTTAAAGAAGAAAAGAGATAGTTTTCGGCAATAATTAAAGGGTTGGGTCGAAAGTACAGACAAAGCACCATTTAACTCATTTAAATAAAAAAAAGAGAGAGAAAGAAGCTATAAAAATGTTTGTGGGAAAAGCAGAACATCTTCTCAACGTAAACATTGGAAAAATCAGTGACATGTAAAAGTACATTGTAATTGGTGAAATTCACGTGTTTATCACAAAAAGGTACTGATAATGCACACATTTTATCTCTTTTTATTTTATTAACTCTCTCATTTTCTTCTTCTTTTTCTTCTTTTTCCTCCTCTTTTTCTTCCTCTTCTTTTGGTCCAAAACTTTTTTCTTTTTTGGGACAATTATGTAGATATGTTGTTCTAATAAAATATTGCTGAAATCACATTTAAATAAAAATATTTTTAGCAAATTAAAAAAAAGTTTTAGAGTGATTTTATAAAATTTTAGATGTTTATAAAGTCAGTTAAGAAATTATAAAATCCCCCTATGACAATAAACTTTAACACGTGTTAGATATATTCTTTAAATATATTCTTTAATAACTAATATATACATATGTATGTACCCCTCTTCCGGTCCAAATATTATTTTTGCAAATAAACATT